TTTTTATAATTTTACAAAGGAAACTAAATTTTGTTTAATCTAAAGTTGATTTTTTTACTTGAAGAACATACAACTCTTGTTATTTTTTAAAAAAAAGATTATTTATTTGAAAGGCAGAGTAACAAAATGGAGGGAGAACACACAAGAGGTAGAGACAGAGAAAGAGATCTTCCATCCCTTGGTTCATTTCCCAAATGGACACAGTAGACCTAGGCTGGGCCAGACTAAAACCAGGAGCCAGAAACTCCATCTGTGTCTCCTAGATGAGTTGACAAGAATTCAGGTACTTGAGCCATCATCCCCTGCTTCCCAGGTGCAATAGCAGGGAGCTGGACTGGAATTCAGGAGTAGATAGGACTCCAGCTAGTGCTCCCATATGGGATGCCAGCTTCCTGTGCAGCAGTTTTAACCTTTTGTACCACAGTGCTCACCCCTGGTTTATCTTTTTTACTTTAAATATTTTCCTCTTGAGCCGGCGCCGTGGCTCAATAGGCTAATCCTCCACCTAGCGGCGCCGGCACACCGGGTTCTAGTCCCGGTTGGGGCGCCGGATTCTGTCCCGGTTGCCCCTCTTCCAGGCCAGCTCTCTGCTATGGCCAGGGAGTGCAGTGGAGGATGGCCCAGGTGCTTGGGCCCTGCACCCCATGGGAGACCAGGAAAAGCACCTGGCTCCTGGCTCCTGCCAGGATCAGCGCGGTGCGCCGGCTGCAGCGGCGGCCATTGGAGGGTGAACCAACGGCAAAGGAAGACCTTTCTCTCTCTGTCTCTCTCTCTCACTGCCCACTCTGCCTGTCAAAAAAAAAATGAAGAAACAAAAGAATATTTTCCTCTTTGGGAATAACCAACTTGTATCTAATTCAGCTAAGAAAATCATGTTTGAATATATTTTTGTTCCTATTGTTTTCTTTGTTTTTATTGATAAGTAAAAACTAGTTAGCAGGAAAAGACTTTAATAAATGTCAGGAATTCTTCAGCACAAGTTGCATAGCTCAAAGATCAGCCTGCTATAAAATTTCAACCTATATTATTAGAATTAGCAAAGGCCTGCCTTTCTTATTTTTGAAGAGTTTTTAAAGTAATTAGACCCTTCAGTCCTATTGACAGCATTACCTTTTACACAGTAATTTGATTATATGTTTCAGATTTTCTTACAATGGCCCAGTTTTTACACACAACACATCCTTTACTTGGTCACTTCTTTGATTATTTGAATCCATGTTAAGGTCTCACTTTCTAAAAATCTCCCTCTAGTTTCCATAAAGTTATATGCAAGGTGAATAGGAGTCCATGGTGGATGGAGTTCTGATAAAATGGATTTGATAAGCAAAAGCAGTATTGATAAATTGGTCAGAGATCTCTGTCAGGAAAGGAGATAATATTCCTGAGCCTTCATGATCATTAAATTACATTTGAGTGCCTCTTTTGTGGAGGTAACCTTTAGAAGAACAAAAATAGTGCTGAATTTGCTGTCAGCAGATTAGATATAGTACTAACTCTCCAACTTCACAAGGGATATTAGTTTTATGAAATCAACCTCGTTTCATGTGCAGAGCTGATATTTAGATGGCAAACCTCTGTTCAGTAAAACACTGAAGTGTTTCCCTAGAAGTTGGTAAATAACTGCCGCTCCAAGTTCCCTAGATATCCTCCCTGAGACTCTTCTTGTTCCCACTTCTCCAAAATCCCGTAACTAAAGATTTAAGGCCCGGTGATGGCCATGTGTGTCAGTCCTGTCTTGTGGATTGCGAGGATTGCCTGTTCATGCCCATCACAGTGGGAGGAGGTGGGTGGGCAACAGTAGACAGCTGCCTTACTGTTTCGCAGCCTACCTGCCTGTCAGATTTTAGAAGTTCTCTTCACTGAACAGAGGGTCACTTTTATTTTCATGTGCAGTGTATTCTATATTAATAGTAGGTGCGGGGTGGGGGGCAGCCTGTGGCATGGTGGGCCCTGGTTGAATGCCAGCTATCCACTTCCAATTCAGCTCTCTGTTATGGTTTGGGAAAGCAGTGGAAGATGGCCCAAGTCCATGTGCCCCTTCACACACATGGGAGAACTGGAAGAAGTGCCAGGCTCCTGGCTTCAGATTGGCCCAGCTCAGGCAGTTGCAGACATTTGGGGAGTGAGCCTGTGGATTAAAGACTTCTCTGTCTCTCTGTGCCTCTGTAACTCCACCTTTCAAATAAATAAATAAGATCTTAAGTAAAATAGTAGGCGGGAGAATATCCACAACTTGAGAAAATAATTCATACATTTAGAGATTGAACTCATGTACTCTTAGTTCTGTTGAACTCAAAACAGAGCTAAAAGTTAACTTAAAGAGGAACCTTTTTTTCCAGGTATCTCTATTCCTGATCGTTTATTATTTAATCTAGCGTTTTGTTTTATTTTTTAAAAAGATTTATTTATTTATTTGAAAGGCAGAGTCACAGAGACGCAGAGGCAGAGAGAAATCTTCCATCTCTTGGTTCACTCCCCAAATGTCTGCAATGACTGGAGCTGGGCCAATCCGAAGCCAAGAGCTTGGAGCTTCTTCCAGGTCTCCCACATGGGTGCAGGGGCCCAAGGACTTGGGTCATCTTCTTCGACTTTCCCAGATGCATTGGCAGGGAGCTGATTGTAAGTCAAGCAGCTGGGACTCAAACCAGCACCCAAATGGGATGCTGGCACTGCAGGTGGCAGCTTTACCCACTATGCCAAGTGTCAGCCCCTACCCCAGCATTTTTTTTTTTTTTTGACAGGCAGAGTGGACAGTGAGAGAGACAGAGAGAAAGGTCTTCCTTTGCCGTTGGTTCACCCTCCAATGGCCGCCGCAGCTGCCGCACCACGCTGATCCGATGGCAGGAACCAGGTGCTTCTCCTGGTCTCCCATGGGGTGCAGGGCCCAAGCACTTGGGCCATCCTCCACTGCACTCCCTGGCCACAGCAGAGAGCTGGCCTGGAAGAGGGGCAACCGGGACAGAATCCGGTGCCCCAACCGGGACTAGAACGTGGTGTGCCGGTGCCGCAAGGCGGAGGATTAGCCTAGTGAGCCACGGCGCCGGCCTACCCCAGCATTTTAAAATGTGTTTACTTATCTAAATGAGCTATTCTAATAACTCCATCAAAATATATTCTAATAGCTGCATCCTATGTCTTTCATTGGTGGCTATTCTAAGGGGTGTTTTATTTGTAATATCGTCTTCCTAAAATAATAACCTTAATGAAAAAAAATTTTAAATATGTATTTACAATTATTAGTACTATTTATTTATTTATTTATTTATTTATTTATTTATTTTGCCAGGCAGAGTTAGTGTGAGAGAGAGACAGAGAGAGAGAGTTATAGACAGTGAGAGAGAGATAGAGAGAAAGGTCTTCCTTCCGTTGTTTCACTCCCCTAATGGCCGCCATGACCCAAGCACTTGGGCCATCCTCCACTGCCCTCCCAGGCCACAGCAGAGAGCTGCACTGGAAGAGGAGCAACCAGGACTAGTACCTGGCACCCCAACTGGGACTAGAACCCGGTGTGCTGGCGCCGCAGGCGGAGGATTAGCCAAGTGAGCCACGGTGCTGGTCAGTACCATTTATTGAATTATCACTTCTGATCTAAATATTACTCTTACTTCACAGCATTCAACAAAGTTCCCTGACATCCTTTCCAAGTTACCTTTTGTTCTGAAAGCTCAATCTTTGTAAATTTGAAAATTTCTACACTGAATAGATAATCAATCATTGTGCTTCCTAAGATCTTCTTTGCCAAATTTTAGCTCAAAACACTTTCAACTTTTTTTTTTTTTTTTTTGACAGGCAGAGTGGACAGTGAGAGAGAGAGACAGAGAGAAAGGTCTTCCTTTTCCATTGGTTCACCCCCCAACAGCCGCTGTGGCCGGCACTCTGCGGCCGGCGCACCACGCTGACCCGAAGCCAGGAGCCAGGTGCTTTTTCTGGTCTCCCATGCGGGTGCGGGGCCCAAGCACCTGGGCCATCCTCCACTGCACTCCCGGGCCACAGCAGAGAGCTGGACTGGAAGAGGAGCAACCGGGACAGAATGCAGCACCCCAACCGGGACTAGAACCCAGTGTGCCGGTGCCGCAGGCGGAGGATTAGCCTATTGAGCTGCAGCGCCAGCCCACTTTCAACTTTTAAAAATACTTAGTTTGAGGGGCTGGCATTGCAGTGCAATGGGTTTAGGCTCTGACCTGCAGTGCCAGCATCCCATATAGGTACCAGTTTGAGTCCCAGCTGCTCCCCTTCCTGTCCAGCTCCCTGCTAATGCACCTGGAAAGCAGTGGAAGATGGCCGAAGTGCTTGGGTCCCTTGCACCCTCATGGGAGACCCAGAAGACTCCTGGCTCCTGGCTTTGGATCAGCGCAGCTCTGACCATTGCAGCCATTGTGGGAGTGAACCAGTGGATGGAAGACCTTTCCCTCTGTCTCTCCCTCTCACTGTAACTCTACCTCTCAAATAAATAAATAAAATCTTAAAAAACAAAACAATACTTGGTTTGAAAGAGTGCAACTGAATATAAGTGCTGGTATTTCTACTGCTACAAAATTAAAAGGAGCTTGCTTTAGTGACAAGCAGAAAGCTGATAGGTTAGTTTCTTTTACTTTCATTAAAGCCTAATAGAACAAATTTCATTCTTACTGTAGTATATGTTGTATATGTTGCATTTAGTTCATATTTACATAGGATTTATTTTGTGAAATACAAAATTTTCAATGGAATACAAATACAGAACACACAGTAGAGACCAGTACTCAAAGTAAGAAATCAGCATTAAAAATAGGGTAAGAGCCTTGTTTAACTATGGTTATGTTAACGCTTGTTTACATTAAAGCTTCTGGTTATGCTTTTGCTTAGTGACACATTCCTAACATGCATATTCAAACTCAAGTTTTTGCTGTCCTTCCTCAAGAAATGTTGGTCATGATCATGCCTTTCTGAAATTTGCTAAGAGCTTTGCATTGTTTAAAAGTGACTTCTTGGGTTTTGTTTTTTCTGACTTACTTTCCTAGACTGATCCGGTTGAGAACATATACGTACGGAATCCCAGTGTAAAGGTTTACCTCCAGTCAAGGTCCACAGTGTCTTCTTCCACATCTAGTGAAGCTGAGCCAGTTAAGGTGCCTCACTCCCCAACTTTTCACTTGTGTCATTAAAGAGGGAATAGAAAAAAACGAGTGAAATCAGTCTCTCGTCTTAATCAAATATATTATTTTTATATTCTATTGAAGATCTTACACTTGCCTAATAATATAGATAGAAGTAGAAAATTAAAGTTGTAAATTGTTCACAAAAGTGTAATATGAAATAGGTAAATTATTTAACATTAAATATACTCTTAGAGAAATACATAGAACAGAAGATAATTTTATGTAAATTTTTTAATTGTGAGACTGCCATTCTCAAATTTTAGTTGTTTTAATAAATCTGATAAGCCAACATGTAACTATATATCATAAGCAGAACTTAAAAATTGCCACAACTGGCAACAGAGTAGCTTACTCTAACAGCTAAGTCAACAACAGACATTGAGGCCGGCGCCGCGGCTCACTAGGCTAATCCTCCGCCTTGCGGCGCCGGCACACCGGGTTCTAGTCCCGGTCGGGGCGCCGGATTCTGTCCCGGTTGCCCCTCTTCCAGGCCAGCCCTCTGCTGTGGCCAGGGAGTGCAGTGGAGGATGGCCCAGGTGCTTGGGCCCTGCACCCCATGGGAGACCAGGAAAAGCACCTGGCTCCTGGCTCCTGCCATCGGATCAGCGCGGTGCTCCAGCCGCAGCGCGCCAGCCGCGGCGGCCATTGGAGGGTGAACCAACGGCAAAGGAAGACCTTTCTCTCTGTCTCTCTCTTTCACTGTCCACTCTGCCTGTCCAAAAAAAAAAAACAACAGACATTGAACTAAATTAGTCTTTTAGCAGTACAAAAAATAAAACTGCTGTGTTTACACTTCTTGTCAGTCAATGAATAGCAACTGGCCAATTTTCTCAACAGAAGCCATTTCTTCCACCAGGCAGAAGAATGTGTTGTATTTCAGTTTGTACCATCCTACCTCAAGAAGCAGTACAGGTTCTCTCTTTCACCATCACAGTTTAGACAGTTTCCTTACATCCCATTTTATATTACTTTATTACCTCCAGAACTGTTTTTAGCATTTCAGTAGAAGCAGATAATCTGGTCTGAAAATTATCTACAGGGAAGTGTGAGTTTTAGTCAGTTGTCATGACTGTTTTCCAGTCTTAGGATGGACTCTGTCAGACTGGTTTAATAAGATCTGTGTTTTTTAGTTACATTTGTTTTAATATTTATTCAGAGAAAAAGATATTTCAGAAATAGTTAAAACATCTCTCCTTTTACCATTACTCTCTGCTTTTCCAGATGTACTTAAATATCCTGAAGCTGGGTTGCATCCTCTGTCCCTTGGTTTCAATGTATTTATTATTTTGTTTGTGTTCATAGATACTATACAGTAGTACTTGTCATATATTTAAAATTTTTACAAATATAACATGTCCTTCCACAGCTTTTTTCATTCAGAAGTATTATTCTTTTAAGATTTAATCATACATGTCTGGTTCATTCGTGCTATATAATGTCATTGTATGTATATACCACAACCATCCATTTTTGTTGGGTATTTAGGTTGTTTGCAGTCATCTAGTATATAAACAGTGCTGAAGTGAACATTCTAATATATTTGTCTGCTTTTGCATATATATGGAGTTCGTTTAGCATGTATACTTAGAACTGAAATTACTAGGTTGTCTGATATTTGCTTTTGCAACTTCAGATCTTGCCAAATTGCTTTCTGCACTAGTTGAATTAATTTTCACTCCAACTAGCAGTAAGGGAGTTTATGTCCCCACATCTTGGCTAACACCTGGTACTATCTGTCCTTAACTTTTGCCAGTTTGATGAATATGAGTGACATTTTTGTTTTAACTTATATTTCCCTTTTTGGTGTTAGTGTTTTTTTTTTAAGTGTGTGGGTTTTGTTTTGTTTTGTTTGTTTTGTTTTGTTTTGTTTCGTTTTTTATTTGAGAGGTAGAGTTACAGACAGTGAAAGGGAGCAAGAAAGGTCTTCTGTCTGCTGGTTCACTCCCCAGATGGCCACAACGGCCAGAGCTGCGCTGATCCTAAGGCAGGAACCGAGAGCTTCTTCCGGGTCTCCCAGTGGGTGCAGGGGCCCAAGGACTTGGGCCATCTTCTGCTGCTTTCCCAGGCCATAGCTGAGAGCAAGATGTAGAGAGGAGCAGTGGGGACTAGAACTGGAGCCCATATAGGATGCCAGCACTGCAGGCAGAGCATTAACCTACTGTGCCACAGTGCTGGCCCCATTGTCTTTTTAAATATGTATATTGACAACTGATGATTTGCCTGTTCCTATCCCTTGTCCATTGTTCAATTGACTTACTTTTCTTATTTTTGTAAGCAGTCTTTATATATTCCAGATATTAACTCATTGCTGGCTTAACATGCATTGCAAATATTTTTTCTCCCAGTATGCCTTATTTTAAAATTTTGTTTGTGGTATCTTTTTGTCTTGCAAGTTTTTATTTTATTTTTTTAAAAGATTTATTTTATTTATTTGAAAGACAGAATTACAGAGAGAGGTAGAGACAGAGAGAGAGGTCTTCCATCCACTGGTTCACTCCCCTGATGGCCACAACGGTCAGCACTGCGCCGATCCAAAGCCAGGAGCCAGGAGCTTCTTCTGGGTCTCCCACGTGGGTGCAGGGGCCCAAGGACTTTGGCCATCTTCTACTGCTTTCCCAGGCCATAGCAGAGAGTTGGATTGGAATAGGAGCACCCGGGACTAGAACCAGCGCCCATATGGGATGCCAGAGCTTTAGGCCAAGGCTTTTACCCACTGTGCTACAGCACAGGTCCTGCAAGTTTTTTAAATCTTTTCCTTTATGACTTCTGCTTTTTATGTTGTGTTAAACTCATTCTTCCATATGCCAAAATTATCATTATGCTTCCAAGTTTTACAATTCTGCTTTTACATGTTTAGGACTTCAATCAGACTGAAGTTTGTTGCCGTGTATAATAGGAAATGGTGTTCTAATCTCTTTTCCTGTGGGTGTAAACAGCTGACTCCTGTAACCCCTGATTTGTAGTGTAGTCACTGCATGGGTCTGTTTGAGAATTCTATATCCTCTTCTCTTGTTCTTTTGGTTATTCCCTCACTGATAGCCCATTTTTTTTTATTACTGTAGTTCTGAAATAATTCCTGATACTTGGTATGCTGAACCACTCCTACCCACCTTAATTATCTTCCTTTTCTTCTTGACCTAGTCTTCCATATTATTTTTAGGACAAGCTGGCCAAGTTCCACTGGGACTTCTGATTGGAATTGCATGAATTTATAGTTTTATTTGGGGAAAATTGATGTCTTCATGATACCAGATATTTCTGTCTATGTACTTGATATACAATTAGTTAGGTATTCTTATACATAAAATTTCATTATTTTCAGTATACTTCATATTGCTTATTAGATTTGTTCCTTAGTACCATAAATTTTTTGTTGTTATGATCAATGAAATGTTTAAAAATGTTTTCTTAGTCAGCATTACTGTACTTTATAAACTCTCTTCATCTTTTATCTGGCACTCTTGTTAGATTCTTTTTCATTTAAAGACTTCTCTTAGCTTCCTATATGCTTTCTTATGACAATTTTGTTTTCTGTTATTTTTTATTGCACTTTATATTGATTCTTAGTGTTCTTCTCTTTCACACTTATATTTATCTTCCCAAATATTAAATTATATATTTTCTTCAAAACTTTTTCATATTGTTCAAAAGTAAATAAATTTTAAATTAAAACTAAATGCACAAACAAAACTCTGAGAAATTCACTTGAATTTTTTTAAGGCTGTGGTGAATATAAAATATTATGTTTTTTGGGTTGTAAAGTAGCAAAGACAAAGAGACCAACCTTGTTATATTTTAAAATATTCTGTAACTTTTAAGTATTCTTTTTCCTCTTGTAAGTTGCATAGCTTTCTAAAAGGTAGTTTTTCTTTATTTCTTTTTTTATACTTTGCTAAGCATTGTCTCTCCTTTCCCATAATAACATTGAGTAAAATCACTGATTCCTTTTATTCAAAGAAATATCTTACAGTAATACTTCGTAAAAGACATGTTTTACAGAGCTAACTAATAGATGTAATTTGTAACTAAGTTTGTACTAAGTTTGCAATTCCAGTAATAACCCTTTAAGTCCCTTTTTTGGAAATAATTTCTTCACAAAAATCCCACTAATCTCAGTCTCTGTCTGTTTGTGGGAGTCAAGTAGTTAAAAGATTCATCTAAGCCGGCGCCGTGGCTCAATAGGCTAATCCTCCACCTTGCGGCGCCGGCACACCGGGTTCTAGTCCCGGTTGGGGCGCCGGATTCTGTCCCGGTTGCCCCTCTTCCAGGCCAGCTCTCTGCTATGGCCAGGGAGTGCAGTGGAGGATGGCCCAGGTGCTTGGGCCCTGCACCCCATGGGAGACCAGGAAAAGCACCTGGCTCCTGGCTCCTGCCAGGATCAGCGCGGTGCGCCGGCTGCAGCGGCGGCCATTGGAGGGTGAACCAGCGGCAAAGGAAGACCTTTCTCTCTCTGTCTCTCTCTCTCACTGTCCACTCTGCCTGTCTAAAAAAAAAAAAAAAAAAAAAAAAAAAAAAAGATTCATCTAAATATCTTTAAATCTTGCTAAAAATCAGATACTTTTTAGAATGAATATGGCAAATTGAGATGAACATAAGAATTAATGTCTTCATTTTTATATAGGCTGTATGCTATGACTGTTTTCTTCTGTAGATTTTCTTTTCCAAATTTTTGTGTTTAAATTTCAGACTAAGACAAATTTTACTAATTGAACAGATATTTCATTGGAAGATATTGTAGGCAGAAATTTAAATTAGCAACACTGAGAATTTTAGGTTTATTGAGGTATACTTTAGTAAAACTTTATGTCACATTAATGTTTTAGCTTTATTTTATTTACTTTGATTTCTTTCTAGTTATATTTGAAATTGATGGAGTGTTTCATGACATTTATTTCCTTTTTTGCCCTGGGGTTTAGACTGTAGACTCTACTCCACTTCCTGTTCACACACCAACCTTAAGAAAAAAGGGATGTCCTGGTTCAGCTGGCCTCCCACCTAAGGTACTTGCTTTGTTAGAAACATAGTTTGTTCACAGCAACAAACAAACAGAATGGATTTCTTCAGTTTTGTGTATTTGCTGTGATTTTTTTAATATTGATTTCTTCAGAGTTATTAAAGCTTGAGAGAAAAATAAATTCTGTATGAGTGAAAATAATTACCATTGAAAACAGGTACAGGAGGAGTATACAGATTTTTCTTTTTCATCATCTTAAATTCACTGTCCTGAAGCCTGTTACAATCTTGATACCTAAATAAGGTATTAACTTGAGGCTACTTATGACAGAATCTGAGATTGAGATTAATAAACCACTGAGAAAGAGAAATGATTAGTGAAAAATGTCAGGTGGATTCTTTGTTTTCCGTTCTATTCAATGTAATTGAATCAAGAATTATAGACTGTAGAACATGAAGATTTAGATGTTTATCTCAAGCTCTTATAGAGAAATTCTAAAAATTGGAAAACTGAGATGATCTACCTGCTTACAGTATAAACCTAGATAAACCAACAGAATGTAAGGTCAGTAGATCTGAAAAACTGATAAAATTTGCACAAAGTAAAATTGGTGTGAAAGCAAGACAGCAAAACCTATTCCCAAATAATGCCAAATTTTGAGATCAGATAGAAAATTAATTTAAAATAAACATAGCAAATATGTGTAAAGAGATAAGAAAGGAAGTATATTTAATAACATGAGCCAGTGTAAGATAGCAAGAAAAATAAAGTAGAAATACTTCACATGAAAATACAGCTACTGAAGTAGCTCAGTAGATGGCTTTAGTAATGGAAGAATAGATAAGAAGAAAAGTGACTAAGATGGAAGATGAGATACAATATATGAAAATTAATTCATGGCAGAAATAGTGTCAACATCTATGTAGTAGAACTTTCAAAAGAAAATGAAAAAAAAATAGCAAAATGGAACTACTTAAAGAATCAATGACTTAAATTTGCCAAATTAAAAATGAAAAGCCTCATAATGAAAGATATCATTAGGTATTATTGAAAATAGATAACAAAAACTCATACCCAGAAACATTATAATAAAAATTTAAGGTTATCATAAATCAACAGAAAATTATAAGAACTTTTAAAAAGAAAGAACACATCATTTTTATAAAAGAACAAATACTGAAATTTGGTCAAGTGATTCTGTATAAAAGGATTACCTGCTTTTCTCCTCTTGGCGTTTTTGACTTTATTTTGTGGTACATAAATAAGATATCACAGAGGAAGAGAACAGAATTTGTTGTAAGCTTTAAATTTCAAGTTTTAGATATTCCCTTAAGTTTTTTTTAGTTTCATGTTAGTCTCAACTGAAATAAATACTGCTTCATAAGTGTTTTTCACCAATATTCACATTTTATGGTATATAGAAGAATTCTTACTAATTTAAGTCAGGGCAGATATGAAAGAGAAATAACTGACTAGATTTGTATCCATTAAAAAAATAAATGATCTTTGAGTGCTTACTATATACAGGGCACTGTTTGAAAGGCTTTGTTTTTATTTTATTAACCACATCATAAAGTAGCTATTATTCATCATATTTTTAAAATCGGAAAGTGAGTCACAAAGGAGTTAAGTAATGTACTCCTCCTAAGTTCACAAAACAGTCACAGTTGTTTATTAAAATTCATTTATTGTTGAAATATGCTAAGCATTAATCTAGAGAAAAAAAAGGAATATTCCAAAGAGATAGTCTGCATTAGCTTAACATCATATAAATCAGACAAGACAGAGATTTCCAAAGTGTTTTCAATTAGAAATTTCAGACTGCCTTCTAACTCTAGAATCATATGCATGTATTTTTTTCTGCTCATTGAGATACTGCCTCTTGCCATGGGAGAAAAGAGATTTATGAAGTATAATGTTTAGTATTGATCATAAAAAAATTAAGCTCATAAGTCACAGTGGAAATAAAACTTTTAATTGTTCTCTGTTATTCGTAAGAAGTATGAAGCATATTAAAATTCTATGTTTGTATAGGTACAAATGTGCAGATTTCACTTACTTCTTTGGTAAAAATCTGTGAGAAAAAAAAATCCCAAATGCTGCAGTTTATTTTGTTTACATACTATTCAAATGATATTCAAGAACAATTAATTATTTTAGCTTAATCTGGCTCAGCATTGCTTAGTAAAAATATTTAAAGATCAGAAACTATAGAAAGATATCTTGAGAAATAGAAAAATTCATCCTTCTTTAGGAAAATATTGTAGTAGGTGGTGTGGGTCGTAGGGGTTCACTGTTGGAATCATTTAGTAAGTAATCAGTGTGTGTGTTTTTTTTTTTTTTTATCAATTTGCTTTGCAGCGCAAGACTCACCAGTTTTTTGTAAAATCTTTTACTACTCCTACCAAATGTCATCAGTGTACCTCTTTGATGGTGGGTTTGATAAGACAGGGCTGTTCATGTGAAGGTAAGAACAAAATGGAAAGAAAAATGTGACTTTAGAGTCCTAACATTTACTACCTAAATTGTAATCAGATAACCTTATTCCCTTTAAAATGTATAGAAAATGCTTGTTTGATTGTTAGTTTTACTTAATTGTTTGCTTTTCTTTGGCTAACAGGAATGGAAGAAGTAAATTGAACACCTTACTAAATTCTGTTGAATTATCAGAGAAATTAGACTGATTTTCTTCAGAAATACTTTTTAAGGATATGTATTTAAATACATTTCATTCATCTTTGTTTCATTATTTGGGTGATTTTGTTGTCCCCAAGACACCATTATGTACGTGACAGAAGATAGGAAAATTATCCTTAGAGAAATTGTTATTTAAAAGTAGGCAGTGTAGTACATTTTCAGAAATATTAAATGCCTGCTGCTACACCTTAAAAAAAAAACATTTTATTTTTAGTATTCAAAGCAATAGTTTTCCCCACCCATTCACTGATTCATCCATCCCATGTGTATGGAATACCTGTTCCACACTTACAGGCATTGAGGATGCAGTTGTGGACTAGAGGGAAAGACAAAGATCCTGCCCTCCTGCCACTTACATTGTGAAAGTGAAAGAGAAAGGATCAAGGGCATTTAAACAGAAAACAGAGTACATTTGTTTGGAAAAAACTAAATTTTTTCCCAAAGACCTCTAAAATAAAAATCATTTAAACTGAGATAAGGTATATTGTTTGTAAATATTTTAGAAGCATACTTCTTTTAAAATCAAATGAGACTTGCCACTACAATAGCACTCTATAAATTTCTGGTCTTATAAAAAATTAAAAAATAATTACTAATTCAAATGCTAATAATAGATTCCCTTATTACATAGTTCTGCTCTTAGGGTTAGAAGGGACCTTAAAGTCAATGTAGTCGATCTTCAAGAGATACATGTGTTCTTTTTATAATATACTTCGAATTAGCTAATATCTGACTGTTTTGTGCAGGAGGGAATTAATATCGTCTGAAAGTAATGCATTGTAGTTCTCACAACTCAAGTGGAAGATTTAGATTTCATTATCTTAACTAGTCCATTAAACAATAGTTTAGAGCCAAAGAAAATGGCCAGGACTCAAAAGTAGAGGCTTAACAGTTTTGAGTTTATTAAGTCATGAATAATATGAGTGAGTGTCCAAGAAACACCTGCAGATTGAAAAGAACAAGTATGAGGACAGAGCCTTATGGGAAGACAAAAAGGAAAAGAGCCAAGAAATCTGAAAAAAAGAAAAAAAAAAACCTGTATCTTTAATGAGGAAGGAAGGCTGATTGATGCTAAAGGGGAGAATTTTTATGGTTTTCCTTTTTTTTAAAGATTTATTTTATTTATTTGAAAGAGTTACAGAGAGAGGTAGAGACAGAGAGGTCTTGCATCTGCTGGTTCACTCCCCAGATGGCCGCAACGGCAGGCACTGAGCCGATTTGAAGTCAGGAGCCAAGGGCTTCTTCCGGGTATCCCACGTGGGTGCAGGGGCCCAAGGACTTGGGCCAGATGAGGAGCAGCAGGGATTCAGGCCAGGGCTTTAACCCATTGTGCCACAGCGCTGGCCTCTTTATGGTTTTCAACTTTTGTCTTGTTCTGGAATCTGGCCAGTACTTGCAAGTTGTTTTAGAAATCTACCTGACTTTATGTTTCTTGTAAATTTTTATGCATTAGAATTATTTGCCATTCTATAGTAGGAATTTTTGAGATCTTCCCAGGCTCTCTTCCTTTATAGAATGTTACACCATGATTGTGCCTTTGAAATTGATCATTCAAAGCTGTGGGAACAGTAGAACATCCCAGTCCTTGACAAGCTTTCATAAATGTTATGATAATATTGTTAGAGCCTGTAAAAATACCTGTCTTTATTTTTTCTGCGTTGATTAGAATTAGACATAGTATGGGTATCTTACTTTGTTCTACTGCCCTTGGGAGGTAAGATTTTGCTTTTCAATAAAACAAATCAGAACTTCTTAGTTCACTTGAAAGTGAATTGAGAAGTTTGGATAGTTTTTGGCAGTTAGCAGTAGTCCATCTTGCTGTATTGGTTTCATAATATCCGTTAGTGATGCATTATCCATTTCCACCATTTATGTGCATTCTCAAAATGATATTCCTTTAGTTCTCTTCCCTTTAGTCTTTTCCTAATATTCTCTAGGATCTAAGAGGATAATCTTTGATGATAACCCTTCACAACAAGATTGTTTGCTTTAAATATTTAACTTTTAATTTCTCACTGAAGCCTATGAATTTATTTTTATTTATTGTCTTAGAATCTCAAGTTTGTCATGTGAGCATCAAATAGAATTATCATAGCTTTGTTGTTAGTGGTTACAGGCCCTGAGCTAGACTGCCTGGCTTTATATTTCAACACTGCCTCTTTAGGTGGTCTGTGATCCTGGGCAATTAATGTGTAACATGGGAATAATAAATGTGCCTCTTTTTGATTTTATAAGAGAAAAATAAAGCCACTCCATAAACTGTTATTATCATCCTAGAATATTTTAAGTGTATATAATAACATTAATAACTCTTAAAATTCACCCTTAAATACTTTTATACACATTGAAAAATTCCATTTCAAGAAGGATTTGTAAACCTTGCTAGATGTAGCAGGGATGTCAAGCAGCTTAATATCCATTAATGATCCTTGAAAGGGAAATTTCAGGACAGATAACAGTGCGTCAAGAGAAAGAGCTATTTCAAAATTCACTCTTTTAGAAATTATAATTTTAAATCAACCACGTTAGTTTACAAGATTAGATGTTTTTTCTGTTTGCTTCTTGTTTTGATCACTAATGCTAACACAAAGCCCTAGTATTACAAATAATAAAAAAGTATTATTTTTCATAGAAATTCTTAAGCAAATATTGAGCTCCCCAAGTGATAGAATTGTTCACAGTAAAATCAGAGTTAAGTGTTCCTCTAAACATGACACATTGCATGCAAGCAGTGCTCAGTGAATCATTTTGTTATTGTTAAAATAGATTTCTTTCTTTGTTTCTTCCAAAAGTATGTGGATTCTCATGTCATATAACTTGTGTAAACAAAGCTCCAACAACTTGTCCAGTTCCTCCTGAACAGACGAAAGGTCCTCTGGGAATAGATCCACAGAAGGGAATAGGAACAGCATATGAAGGTCATGTCAGGGTATGTATGATTAGATTGAGTTTAAGTTAATCCTTTAAGGTTTATTAATGCATTAAAATGGAATCCAATCACTTTACAGATACAATACTTGACAGGAAACTATAGGAATAAAAATTTACCTGATAATTTATTTCATCCATAGTAATGACTTGAAAACAAAGCCTCTTCTTTACTTAGAAATGATTTTTTGAAATATTTATTTGAAAGGTATAGTGGGAGAGAGACTAGGAGGCATAGAGAGAGAACTTTCATCTACTAGTTAACTCTGCAGATGGTTTCAACAGCCAGGGCTGGGACTTGCTGAACCCAGGAATCTGGAACTCCATCCAGGAGGTCTCCCATATGGGAGGCAGGGTCCCAGGTAGTTTGGCCATCACACTGCTCTCCCACGTGCATTAGCAGGGAACTGGATTAGAAGGGGAATAGCCAGTAATAGAACTGGCTCCACAGCACCAGAATGCCAGCCCCAGAGAGAAATTTTTAGATGTCTAAAATGTTTCTCTATTGTCCCTGTTTTTGAGATGGACAGATATTGAAGTCCACATAAAGGAATCTTTGTCACCTATTTTTGCCAGAGGGGTGACATGATTATGAATTATGAGGTATTATCAATACATAATCTCATTTGTTATCTTGGGTAATATTGATAGTATGAGCTGAATTTCACTTTACTGCAAAGTCTGAGTTTATGCTATTTAGAAGAATAATCCATGAGTTATTTTAATGAAATAAAAGTGAAAAGAAAAATAGTACCATTTAAAGAGTCTTCAGGGGCCGGCGCAATGGCTCATGAGGTTAATCCTCCGCCTGCGGCGCCGGCATCCCATATGGGCACTGGGCTCTAGTACCGGTTGCTCCTCTTCCAGTCCAGCTCTCTGCTGTGGCCCTGGAGGGCAGTGGAGGATGGCCCAAGTGCTTGGGCCCCTGCACCCACACAGGAGACCAGGAAAGAAGCTCCTGGCTCCTGGCTTCGGATTGGCGTAGCTCCAGCCATGGTGGCCATTTAGGGAGTGAACCAAAGGAAGGAAGACCTTTCTCTCTGTCTCTCTCACTGTCTATAACTCTACCTGTCAAATTAAAAAAAAAAAAAAAGAGTCTTCAGAATAAGTCATATTTGAATAGTATATTCCTGGCTGGCGCCACGGCTCACTTGGCTAATCCTCCGCCTGTGGTGCCAACACCCCAGGTTCTAGTCCCGGTTGGGGCGCCGGCTTCTGTCCGGGTTGCTCCTCTTCCAGTCCAGCTCTCTGCTGTGGCCTGGGAGTGCAGTGGAGGATGGTCCAAGTGCTTGGGCCCTGCACCCACATGGGAGACCGGGAGGAAGCACCTGGCTCCTGGCTTCGGATCGGGCGCCGGCCGTGATGGCCATTTTGGGGGTGAACCAACAGAAAGGATGACCTTTTCTCTCTCTCTCTCTCTCACTCACTCACTCACTCACTGTCTAACTCTACCTGTCAAAAAAAAAAAAAAAGTGTATTCCCACACTTTCTCATGTTGATAATGATGAGTCTTCATCTGCTACTTTACCAACCAAAGTGTCAGACTTGTAGCACTTAATTACATTATCTTTAGTGTTGTCCATGCAATTAACATATGTGATCAAAGGGACTATGGTTGACATTTTCATTTGATTTATTTTTTAAATTGTTTGCCTGCATGTCAAAAACAAAACTAAAGATTCCTAAGCCAGCTGGAGTGAAGAAAGGATGGCAAAGAGCATTGGCTGTAGTTTGTGACTTCAAACTCTTTCTGTATGATATTGCTGAAGGAAAAGCATCTCAGCCTACTGTTGTCATTAGTCAAGTGATTGACATGAGGTAAGTTTGAAAATGTTCGGATCTTGCAACACAGGAATCACAAAATTTATGATTTTTCTTTTAATTATATTGCCATGGTTTTATCTAATTTCATATTTTCTAATTTACTATATTGCTGTGCTAATACAATTAGTATATAAGGTTTACTTATAGGACAGGTTGATATGAGAGGGGACTGGGAGTCATGGAAAAGATGCTGGTATTTTGAGTCCAAAAGCCTAGTAAAAGTTACTGGTGTAACCTGATGAGGCCTAATTTTCAGTTTTATATCATCACCTAAGGGCCTAGAATATAATTCCATTGTAGGGGGAGGAAATAAAAATCTCAAAAGTCAGATAAGCTTTTGCAAAACATAATGAACCAGTGAATAAGTAACGTCATCTCTTGAATGATTTTGGTTTCATTATCCAGATACTTCCTCTGCCCCTTAGAGTGCTCTCATTTATTTGTTCTTATAACTCCAGGCACTGACCCTGAGGGATCTTAGGTACTCCCATAGCTTCAGCCATCACCTCTGCATTTATGATTTCCATACATGTAATTCCAGTTTAGACATACCCACCCATTATTCAAAACCAGCATTTCCTGCTGTGTCTAACACTGGCATTTCACATCAGCATCTCAAACACATTATCTTTCTCTACGAATATGAAATATAAAGGGATAGATCAACAAATAAGGTCAGGGATAATCTGACAGAGCCTTCTAAGGAATGAAATTTAATAATACAGGAAGAAGAGGTAGGCATTTGCTATAACAATTAAGTCACCACTTGAGACATCGACATCTCCTATCATAGTACCTGATTCGTGTCCCAGCTACTCTGCTTCCCATCCAGTCTCTTGCTAATGCTCACGCTAGGAGACAGCAGATGATGGATCCAGTATTTGGGTTCCTGTCACCTACACAGGATACTTGGGTTGAGTTCTGGATTCCTGACTTTGGTCTGGCCCAGCCCTGACTGGTACAGGAATTTGGAGAGAATCAGCAGTTAGAAGATCTCTCTCCATCTTTCTTTGTCTCTGCCTTTCTCATAAAAATGAAAATAAATATAGTTTTTGAAAAGTAAAATCAAAGATGCTAATGGTTAAGCCTTCAAGACCAAGTTAGAGTGCTAGTCACAATTACAAAATTAAGGAAATCACTATGGATAAATTTGTGGAAGAAACTTATTTTAGATGTTGAGCAAACATTAAAATATAAGAAGAGTTGAGTTGGGGAGCACTTGAGATTTATTATGGGAAGCAAGAGTGTCTGCTAGAGGCCCTGGAGATGTACCAGGGCTCAGATCTCAGTTCCACTTTGTATGCTTATTGGCCTTGTGAACAGTTATTTCTAGCTGTTGTATAATATTCCACTGTTAAGTTACTCTTGATAAATTATTTTTGGGCACTGTCAGTTGCAAGGAGAAATCACATTATTACAAAAATTCTGTTTGGGTGTTTGGTGTACTTAACAATTGATTATTGATGCATTTGTATAACTTGGGTACACAAGCAAATCCATATATACATAGCCACTTTTAATGTTTCACCTTTCTTTCAGAGATGAAGAATTTTCTGTGAGTTCAGTCTTAGCTTCTGATGTTATTCATGCCAGTCGAAAAGATATACCTTGTATATTTAGAGTAAGTATATATGCCATAATTTGATTATTGAATTATTTTAATAAGTATGGTTTGCCTCTCTATATATCTCATAAACTTATTAGAAGTGGAACCATATCTTACATTCCTTATCACCCAGTACTTGAATGTATATAAAATTGGTACTAAGTAAATATTTCATTAGTAAAAAATCTGTAGAAAGTATGAATATATTGCTTCTAAAAGATAATTTTTTTAGTCCAAACTTGATTTAAAATGAATACCACCACATGTAAAATTGGATAAGTAAGTTGTTTCTCAAGTTTTTGAAAAATAGAAGTTTCTCTCTTTAAAATCTCATTTTAGGACATTGTGTTTCAGTTACCTATTGCTTGGTAACAAGTACTCCAAAACCTAATAGCTTAAAAAATAATGATTTATTAGTTTGCACCATTTTGTGGGCCAGCTGTACAGTTTGGTGTTAGTTGGGGTTAGTCATGTGACTACATTCAGTTCATTGAAGGCTAGAGCATCCAGAACAAGGTCACTATCACATCTGGGGCCTTGGTGCTGTTAGCCGGATGATCTCAGTTTTCCTCTTTGTTGACTTTCTCCATGTAATGTCTAATCATTTCAATTAAGCTGAACCCCTAGTGTCTGGCTTCCATAAGTAAGAAAGAAAGTGCCAGACCTCTTAAGGACTAAACCCAAAGTATTCCTGATAATCTTTCTGCATTCTCTGTTGGTTGGAGCAACTCATGTCAGCCCAGATTTAAGGAGAAGGGAAAGAAACTTCACCTTTTAATAAGACAGAATTTTTATGGGCGGAATTATTGGTAGCCATCCTTGGAAACTGCTTTTACAACAGTGTGATCTTGAATTGGTGAATTAAGATAATTGATATAAAAAAAAAGGAGAGAGAGAGACTACTGACCTGTTGTTAACGCCTATCTATCTGCTTAGTGTTTGTCTATGAATTTTGTGCCTGAATAAGGTTAGGAAAGACTTAATCTCTCAGTTCCTATACCAGTAACTGTTTATTCTCCCAAAAGTTGCTAAGAGAGCCCAGGAGGCCCACTTATCTCTAACTGGTTTGCACAGTATGATTTTATTGTCACTGGTGCTTAAATTACTTTTAATAAGAAATTCATCTTATATAATTTAAAACTGTTCTATTGTAAATGTTGTATAGAAAGTGAGAAACCTTCATTTAAGTGCTAAATCAAACTTCTTGGCCTTTTGGCTAAGAGCAAGTGTAATGCTATATCTAAGTGATCTGATGTTTTCTAATGATAACATAAGTTGTTATTATGAAGTAACAAAGGATATAAATATTTCTGAGCATTTCTGACTTTTTAAAAGAAATTGTAGGCCAGCGCTGCAGCTCACTAGGCTAATCCTCTGCCTTGCAGTGCTGGTACACCAGGTTCTGTCCCGGTTGCCCCTCTTCCAGGCCAGCTCTCTGCTGTGGCCAGGGAGTGCAGTGAAGGATGGCCCAAGTGCTTGGGCCCTGCACCCCAGGGGAGACCAGGATAAGTACCTGGCTCCTGCCATCGGATCAGCGCGGTGCGCCGGCCATAGCGCGCTGGCCGTGGTGGCCATTGGAGGGTGAACCAACGGCAAAGGAAGACCTTTCTCTCTGTCTCTCTCTCTCACTGTCCACTCCGCCTGTCAAAAAAAAAAAGAAAGAAATTGTAAATCATTACTGCATAGTGCTTAAGAGCATGGACATGGGATACCAGACTTTAGTTTTGTACCCTTGAAGAAATTATTTTATTTCTCTCTATCATTTTTTCATATATAAAATCAAGAGGAATGTTAAATGAGATAATACTGATAAAGTACTTAGATCTTCCCAGTATACAATAATTACTCAATAATTTCAGTTGTTGTGCTATAAGTATGTGTAGTGCTTGTTTTAGTGATTGTGTAATAGCTGGGAAAATGAATGCAATACTAACATTTCGAAAGATTTCTGTTACCTTTGCTTTGTTGTGAATTCTATTGCTAAAGCTAGTTAATCTGATAAAGAATCACTTTAATTCAGTAAGGTATTATTTTATGAATGTTCATTTATTAATGAGTGCCAAACAAATTAGTATAGTCATCAGACAAGCATGTAGGATGTCTGTTTTCTAATTTCTTGATTATTGGTTAAATTTTTCTAGGTCACAGCTTCCCAGCTTTCATCATCTAATAACAAATGCTCAATCCTGATGCTAGCAGATAGCGAAAATGAGAAGAATAAGTGGGTGGGAGTGCTGAGTGAATTGCATAAAATTTTGAAGAAGAACAAATTCCGAGATCGGTCAGTCTATGTTCCAAAAGAGGCTTATGACAGCACTCTACCCCTCATTAAAACAACCCAGGCAGCTGCAATTATAGGTATGAATTTATAACATAACATTTATCCTATTAGAAAAATCTACCTTGTGAGCCAGGATCTGGCTTTCATCTAGGAATACCCAGCGTCCAGTGTAATAGTGTTGTATGACAAACACTGAGTAAATTTTCATTAGTTGAGACCTTTATCAGATCTTTTTCAGTAAACAGGAATAAATGCCCATTCTGAGTACATAATTTTTTGTGAATTATTTTGGTTTTTAAACTTTTTGATTAACATGAAATATTTGTAGATTTTTATGTGCTACAGTACCGTATTCAAACATATATACACAATGTAAACCAATCAAATCGGACAACTAGTTTTCTTTTTTCTTTTTTTTCTTTTTTTTTTTTTTTGTCTAGAGCAAAGTAGGCCATAAACAAGAGTGTCAGTTTGTTAAGTCAACAACAGGAGTGACTGTGCACTTACTCCTCATGTAGGATCTCTGTCCTTAGTGTGCTGTACATTGTGATTTAATGCTATTACTAGTACTCAGACAATATTTTTCACTTTATGTTTCTGTGTGGGAGCAAACTGTTGAAATCTTTACTTAATGTATGCTAAACTGATCTGTATATAAAGAGAATCCAAAATGAATGTTGATGTGAATGGAAGGGGAGAGGGAGTGGGAAAGGGGAGGGTTGCGGGTGGGAGGGACATTATGGGGGGGAAGCCATTGTAATCCATAAGCTGTACTTTGGAAATTTATATTCATTAAATAAAAGTTAAAAAAAAAAAGAAAAAAAAGTATGCTTTCTTCTGAAAAAAGCAGCAGTATTGTAGTTTAAACTACAGATCTGTTTCCTGCTTGTGTGACTTCAAACAGGATTCATTTCTTAGAGCATAAGGTTTATTTGATACGAATTACCTTGGAACGGTAATTTATGTAGATACGAATTACCTTAGAAAGGTCGTTGGGAAGTTTAAATAAGATGTAATACATTACACAGGTTACCATAGGTTTAAATGCACTCTATCAATGGTAGCTTCTTTGTCAAACGTTTTAATTTCTTTCCTTACTCTTACATGTACCTTCCTCACTCTTTTGTTACTTTCTAGTAAATACTGAAAAGTTGAACAAGCAGACTCACCTGCCATTCATAATTTTTCTCTCTCAAAACAAGAAATGGATCCCTAGGGCACTAACAAACTAGATTTTAAGTATTTCTATTTATTCATTAAGCTTTATTTCTTTTTGTACTTGTTTTAGTATACATGTAGATTATTTTTCAGTGTTTGTTATATGTTTTTTTAAATATTTATTTTATTTATTTGAAAGGCAGAGTTAGAGAGAGAGATACAGAGAGAAACATCTTTCATCCGGGGGTTCACTCCTCAGATGGCCACAACGGCTGCGACTGGGGTTGGGCCAGGCTAAAGCCAGGAGCCGGGAGATTCATCCAAGTCTCCCACATGGGTGCAGGGGCCCAAAGACTTGAGCCATCTTCCACTCCTTTCCCAGGTACATTAGTAGAGAGCTGGATCAGAAGTGGAGTAGCCAGGATTCAAACTGGTGCCCGTATAGGATGCCAGTGTTGCAGGCTGCAGCTTAACCTGTTATGCCACAAAGTTGGCCCTTAATGCTTGTTATATTAAAAAATACATAAGATGTTTACCACTCATAACTTGAAAGGAAATTTCATAATATAAATTGCTACAATTTTCTTATTGTTTTATTGCCATTTTTATACCAAATTTCCTTGTTAATCTGTTAAGTTTACATAATTTTTTAACTGATAAAAATGTCACATATTTTTTTCTTACAGATCATGAACGGATAGCTTTGGGAAATGAAGAAGGGTTATTTGTTGTGCATGTCACCAAAGATGGTAAGTTAAAATGTAATTATTTGAGAATAAATTTCAATCATATGTTGTTAGAAAATTCTTTTTAAAAATTTTTATTAATATAAAGAGAACAGATTTTATGTATTTCATACATACAATTCTAAGATAACAATACTTCCCTCCCTCCCTTACTCCACACCTCGTTCCCCCTCTTCCTTCCTTCCTTTTTTCCCTTCTTTTTGTAAAAACATAATTCCAATTCATTCTATAATCACAGGCTTAATGCAGCATTATCTGTAATATTCAAGTAAAAAATAGACCACAGTTCCACAGGAGTATAACAGTGGCTAAACAGAAGAATCAAATCACAAGATGTCCATTTCATTGCTATGCATTTTTTATATTCTGTGTTAGCTACCATATATGGGAGAAAACATATGACATTTGTCTTTTGGGACTGACTTATCTCACTAAGTATAATGGTTTCCGGCTGCATCCTTTTTATTGCAAGACAGGATTTCATTCTTATGGCTGAGTAGTATAGTGTAGATATACCATATTTTCTTTATCTAGTCATCAGTTGATGGGTATCTGGGTTGATACCATATCTTAGCTAATGTGAGTTGAGAGGAGAAGGGTTTACAAAGAGTTCTTTCATATGATGATTTCATTTTGTTTGGGTAAATACCTAGGAGTGGAATGGATGGATCATATGGTAGATCTATTTTCAGATTTCTGAGTAATCTCCATACCATCTTCCATAATGATTGAACAAGTTTATATTCCCATCAGCAGTGTATTAGGGTATCTTTTCCCTCACATCCTTGCCATCATTTATTGTTTTTGTGTTTTAGATGATAGCCATTCTGACTAGGGTAAGGTGAAACCTCATTAGGGATTTTATTTGCATTTCCCTGATGGCTAGTGATCCTAAGTGTTGTTTTCATGTGTCTGTTGGCCATTCGTATTTCATCCTTTGAGAAATGCCTGTTAATGTCCTTTCCAATTTCTTTTTTTTTATTTGAATTTTTAGTTAGTTTTTAACAGAGTCAGTATGGTTTATAGATACAATTCTAACTGCATGATGATATTCTCTTCTCCCTCCTTCACCCTCCCTTCCACCCTCCTTCAGGCTTAATGCTTCACTGAATAAGAAGTTTAACAAGTGAAAAGCAAAAGGACACCAGTTTAGTGGTAATATAGGCAGCAGCTATAAACAATAATTAAACAGAAAAATGACCATTTCACCCATATACAATAAATTTTAAAGTAATTACAGATCATTAAAACTATAGTAGTACAACATTCTTACCATTGGTTTCACAAAAGTATAAAACAGAGTTTCACAAAACTATTTGCAGCAATATTAATACACATAGGCATTTCTTTCTTTTTGTTTGCTTTTTTTTTAAAGTAGCTTTAGGGAGAACATGGGGTATTTTTCTTGATTGGCTTATTTCATTCAATGTGATGTACTTCAGTTGCATCCATTTTGCTGCAGATGGTAGAATTTTATTTTTTTATAGCTGAATAATTCGATTATGCATATATACATTTTGTTTCATCTATTCATCTGATGATGTATACCTTAGTTGGTTCCAAATTTTTGCTATTGTAAATAGTACTGCTATAAACATGGTGGTGACAGTATATCTATTTATTTTTTAATTTATAGAAAGGAAACAAACTTCATACTTCATGTATTTCTTGTTTATAATTTTAAAAGCATAATGGTGTTTCTCATCCTGCCCTCCCTTACTCCTACCCTCTTTCCTCCTTTTCTTATTTTTCTTTTAATTTCTACAATGACATACTTTTTTTTTCCCAAGATTTTATTTATTTATTTGAGAGAGAGAGTTACAGACAGTGAGAGGGAGAGACAGAGAGAAAGGTCCTCCTTCCAGTGGTTCATTCCCCAAATGGCAGCAATGGTCGGAGCTGCACCGATCCGAAGCCAGGAGCCAGGAGCTTCTTCCAGATCTCCCACATGGGCACTGGGGCCCAAGGACTTGGGCCATCTTCTGCTGCTTTCCCAGGCCATAGCAGAAAGCTGGATTGGAAGAGGGGCAGCTGGAACTAGAACCAGCACCCATATGGGATGCCAGCGCCGCAGGCAGAGGATTAACCTCCTGTTCCACAGTGCAGCCCCAATGACATACTTTGAATTTTATTTATAATCACAAGTTTAACCATCCACTGAAGACAGAATTCAACAAGTAGTAAGTAGAAAAAAGCACTATTCCTCAAGAGTACAGACAAGGGCTATAAACAATAATCAAATGTCAATTTCAGTAATATACATTACATTTTTTGTACTCTATACTACTTACCATAAATCAGGAAAACATGTTTGTCTTTTTGAGCCTGACTTATTTCATTAAGCGTAATAGTCTCCATTTGCATCCATTTTGTTGCAAAAGACAGGATTTCATTTTTGTACAGCTGAGTAGTACTTTGTTGTGTATGTATACCATAGTTTTTTTGACAGGCAGAGTGGACAGTGAGAGAGACAGAGAGAAAGGTCTTCCTTTTGCCGTTGGTTCACCCTCCAGTGGCCGCCGCGGCTGGCGCGCTGCGGCCGGCACACCGCGCTGATCCGATGGCAAGAGCCAGGAGCCAGGTGCTTTTCCTGGTCTCCCATGGGGTGCAGGGCCCAAGCACCTGGGCCATCCTCCACTGCACTCCCTGGCCACAGCAGAGGGCTGGCCTGGAAGAGGGGCAACCGGGACAGAATCCGGCGCCCCAACCGGGACTAGAACCCGGTGTGCCGGCGCCGCTAGGCGGAGGATTAGCCTAGTGAGCCGTGGCACCGGCCCTGTATACCATAGTTTTTATCTAGTCATCAGTTGATGGGCATCTGGGTTGATTCCATATCTTAGCTATTGTGGAGTTGAACTGCCATAAACATTGGGGTACATGCATCTCTTGCATATGCTAATTTCATTTCCTTTGGTTAAATTCCCAGGAATAGAATGGCTGGGTCATATGATAGATGTGTTTTCAGATTTCTGAGGAGTTTCTATACTGTCTTCCATAAGGGTTGTAGTATTTTACATTCCTACCAGTAATGCATTAGGATAGCTTTTCTCCACATTCTCTCTCTCTCTTTTTTTAAGATTTATTTATTTATTTGAAAATCAGAGTTATACAGAGAGAGAAGGAGAGGCAAAGAGAGAGAGGTCTTCCATCCACTGGTTCACTCCCCAATTGGCCACAACAGCCTGAGCTGCACTGATCCAAAGCCAGGAGCCAGGAACTTCCTCTGGGTCTTCCCATGTGGATGCAGGGGCCCAAGGACTTAGGCCATGTTCTGCTGATTTCCCAGGCCACATAGCAGAGAGCTGGATTGGAAGTGGAGCAGCTGGGTCTCAAAGCGGTGCCCATATGGGATACCAGCACTGCAGGTAGTAGCTTGACCCACTACTCCACAGTGCCGCCGCTCCCCCGCCCCCCATTCTCTGTGTGCAGGGTCTTAGTCCACCCGTAGGAGGATGGATTGGGTCCCGAGGATGGACTGGGTCCGAGGAAAGGTAAGTGTGCCGCTCGCCCGTTTCACAGCCTCCCGAACTCGGAGACAATCAGAGGCAGCGGGGAGCTAAGTGAAGCAGGGATTTATTGCATGTATAACAAAGCCTTTTATAGCACAAAACTGTAGAGTCATTGGGGCAGGGCATAAGGACCAACCAATCACTTAAAGGGTCACTTTTAGGAGACGATTTCTTACAGGACCAACCATATGTCTATACACTTGCTATCAGTTGTGGTCACTTCCCTTGATGTTGCAAAGCCAATTAGCTTTGGTGGTAAACAACTTTGAGTTCCACCCACCTTACTTCCTCTCGCTGCCATCTTTGAATTGCCTCATGTAACTAATTTCCCCATATCTGTGTTGTATCTTTTCTGGTTTTGAAGTTAAGGTGATGCTGGCCTCATAAAAGGAGTTTGGGGGGAGAGGGGTTCGCTCTCTTTCCATTGTTTTGAATAGTTTGAGGAGAATTGGAATTAATTGTTCTTTAAAAGTTTGCTGGATTTCAGCAGTAAAGCCATCTAGTCCTGAGCTTTTCTTTGTTGGGAGGGTCTTTGTTACTGATTCAGTCTCCGTCTTGGTTATGGGTCTGTTTAGGCTTTCTGCGTCTTCATGACTCAATTCTGGTAGACTGTATATGTCCAGAAATCTTTTCAGTTTTTTCTCGATTTTCCAGTTTGTTGACATATAGCCATTTGTAGTAATTCTTGATGATGATTTTTATTTCTGTAGTATCCTTTGTAACATACCCTTTTTCATCTAAATTTTATTGATTTGTTAGTTTGTGTAATAGTATGTCAATTTTATTCTTTTTAAAAAATAAGCTCTTCATTTCACTGATCTTTTTTGTTTCAATTTTGTTTATTCTCTAATTTTAATCCTTTCTTTTTCTCCTAATTTGTGTTTGGTTTGTTCTTATTTTTCTAGATCCTTGAGATGCATTGACAGATCATTCATTTGATGCCTTTCCAATTTCTTGATGTAGGCAATAATTGCTTTAAACTGTCCTCTTAACACTGCCTGTTGTGTTATCATTTCATTCATTTATAGGAATTTATTTCCCTTTTGATTTTTACCATGACCCACTGTTCACTCAAGAGCACGTTGTAAAAAAAAAAAAAAAAAGGCCAGCGCCGCGGCTCAACAGGCTAATCCTCCACCTAGCGGCGCTGGCACACCAGGTTCTAGTCCCAGTCGGGGCGCCGGATTCTGTCCCGGTTGCCCCTTTTCCAGGCCAGCTCTCTGCTATGCCCGGGAGTGCAGTGGAGGATGGCCCAAGTGCTTGGGCCCTGCACCCGCATGGGAGACCAGGAGAACCACCTGGCTCCTGCCTTCGGATCAGCGCGGTGCACCAGCCGCAGGGCGCCGGCCATTGGAGGGTGAACCAACGGCAAAAGGAAGACCTTTCTCTCTGTCTCTCTCTCTCTCTCTCACTGTCCACTCTGTAAAAAAAAAAAAAAAAAAGCACGTTGTTCAGTCTGCATGTGTTTGTATATTTTGTAGTTTCTTAAGTTGTTAATTTCCAACTTCATTCGTTGTGGTCAGAGCAGATGCATGGTATGATTTCAGTATTTCTGAATTTGTTGAAATTTGCTTTGTGGCCTAGCATATGGTCTATCCTAGAGAAAAGTTCCATGCACTGATGAAAAGAATGTGTGTTCTGCATCTGTGTGATGAAAGGTTCCATAGATATGTTAGGTCCACTTGATCCCTAGTGACAATTAGCTCTGTTGATTCTTTGTTGATTTTCTGTCTAGTTGATCTGTCCATTGATGAAAGTGGGGTGTTGAATCACCCATTATTATCATATTGGGGCCTATGTCTCCCTTTAGATCTATTCACATTTGTTGTAAATAGCCAGGTACCCTGGCATTGGGTGCATGTACATTTACTATTGTCACATCTTCCTTTTGGATTGATCCTTCAGTCATTACATAATGCCCTTCTTTGTGTCTTTTGACAGTTGCTGTGTTAAAGTCTGTTTTGTCTGGTATTATGCTGGTTAGCCCTGCTTGACTTTGCTTTCCATTAGCATGGAATATCTTTTTCTAGTCTTTGACTTTTAGTCTGTGTGTATCCTTGTTGGCAAGGTGTGTTTCTTATAGGAAGTAAATAGAGAGGTCTTGTTTTTTAATCCATTCAGCCAGTCTGTATCTTAATTGGGGGATTTAGGCCATTCTAAAAAAAAATGTAGCTTGATTTTTCCATTGTTCTGTTAATACTATAAGAGGTAAAGTATTATTACTGTGATTATTATTATGATTATTCTAACCACTATTAAAATGTGTTTTGGGGATTTTTCTTCCCACAGTTCAGTTTTTCTGGGGAAAAATCAATGCTAAGTGTAAGAAAATCCAATTTTATTTGGTATTCATAAATATAATATTCTAAGTTAGATCTTGGCAACACAGTGGATTTAAAATTTGCTACCCATAAAATACCTTCAGAGAAACTTGAATTACTCAGTTACTCATTTTTTAAAATAGAATCTCCATGGTGAAGTTCTATAGAATTTAATGTCAATAAAAAGGTTTTTCTTAGAGATTAGATAGGCTTTTACACAAAAGCACTTTTGCCATGGCTGACAGGAATCTCAACGCTAAATTTAATACCCAGTGTAGGTGATAAATATTTTATAATCTGTTTTCTCCATGATTTTTGATCTCTTATTCTTCTATATGTGTATCTTTGTCTTAAGTTGACTTTAGCCTTTGAATTTAATTGGAATTAAAACAGTTTGCATTTATTATTATTTCTGTGTGTAGAAATTATTAGAGTTGGTGACAATAAGAAGATTCATCAGATTGAACTCATTCCAAATGATCAGCTTGTTGCTGTGATCTCAGGACGAAATCGTCATGTACGACTTTTCCCTATGTCAGCTTTGGATGGACGAGAGACAGAGTTTTACAAACTGGCAGAAACTAAAGGGTGTCAGACTATAACTTCTGGAAAAGTGCGCCATGGAGCTCTCACATGCCTGTGTGTGGCTATGAAAAGACAGGTTTTCTGTTATGAACTATTTCAGAGCAAGACCCGTCACAGAAAATTTAAGGAAATTCAAGTCCCATATAATGTCCAGTGGATGGCCATCTTCAGTGAACAACTGTGTGTGGGATTCCAGTCAGGATTTCTACGATACCCCTTGAGTGGAGAAGGAAGTCCATGCAGCATGCTTCATTCAAATGACCATACACTCTCATTTATTGCACATCAGCCAATGGATGCCATCTGTGCAGTTGAGATCTCCAGTAAAGAATATCTGCTGTGTTTTAACAGCATTGGGGTATACACTGACTGCCAGGGCCGAAGATCTAGACAACAGGAACTGATGTGGCCAGCAAATCCTTCCTCTTGTTGTAAGATGCTATTTTTTGTGACTGTCTTACCTTTCTTTTTCTTTCTATTTTATCTGTTATAGATAGTCATTATTAGTAACAGGTGTTTTTTTTTTTAAATCATCCTCAATGCTTCAATGTTTTGCCTCAGGATTAATTATGTTGTTTATATATATGTAAAGTAACTAGGTCTAGATAGACAATTTTGGTGCTACATGTGCATAATTAAAACTTATCTTTCTGTGTGAGATTTTACTGAGATGGATTTTTTTGAAGCCTATGTTACATTTTTAAATAACCCTCAGTAGTTATCTTCATTGTCCTCAAACACAGCTAATAGCCATAGCTATCTCATAGGATTTACTCTGGAGAAGTAGTTACTAGTGAATTATTTCATCAGCTATATAGCTGTGTAATGTAGCTTCTTTGAGAAGTATTATTCAGTCTTGCACTTTTATCTAAATATGTAGATATTGAAAAATCCCTCATCGTAACTCTTTCAAGACATATTAGGATATTAATAAATTTTGAATACTTTTTTTAGAAAGTTTGCTTATTCCAAAGGCAGAGAGAGAGAACTTCCATGTACTGGTTCACTTCCCAAATAATCCACAACAGCCAGGGCTGGGCTAGGCCAAAGCTAGGAGCCAGAAACTTTACCCAAATCTCCTACATAGGTGGCAGAAGTCCAAGTACCTGGACCTTCAACTGCCTCCCCAGGCATATTACCAGGAAACTGAATGATAAGAGGAGCAGCGCGGTAAACCACACTCTGATATGGAATGTACACATGCCAAGCTGCTGCTAAACCTGCTGCATCAGGACACTGACCCCTGGATGTTTCTTAATATTAAATAATAGTTGTTGTTATTGCATATTGGCCTTTTCACTGTATGAGGGACAGTAATGAGTTAATAGGGTTTAACCCTCACAGAGCTTAACGTGCAGTAGGAAGGATTCAAGATAAAACAAATAATTACAAATTATCAGTGCTATAACAAGCAGAAGTACAGAGTTCTATAGACGCACATAGAGGGAAGTATCTAATTAAAGTTTTTGTTTAAAAACTAAAGGGAAAGAGCTGCTGGGAACTACTAGGGAACGGTTGATTATATAGGAAATAGAGCAAGATTCTCAAGATGGCCAGAGAGGATTTGAGGATTACATTGGGCAGGAATAAAGTTGCTTCCATTGTTAAAAGACAGAAGGTGGAATAATGGATATGGATTCAGTAAAGTTTAAAGTTTCAGTGGAAGAAAGTTTAGGAGAGAAAACATGCTTTTTAGAGGAAAGCTAGAAAATCTAGATAGAACAAAATAAAAATACCTCTGCTTCTATAGACTTTAGCTATTTTGAATGATTTGTTTCATCTGAAATATAAACTCTTATGTATGGCATTGTATGTAGAATGAATGCTGTTTTGTAACTGAGTCAGATAATAATTTTGCTTTTAATATGGACTAAAAGTTGAAATATCTGACTCTTATTTATAGCTTTGTCAGTAACACAGTTTGTGACTTCAGTTTAGGTAAATCATTGAGCCTCTCTTTGCTTGTATCACTATTTAATGATACTCATTCTTTCAACACAAATGTTGGCCTTCTTTCCTATTCATGTAACTGTGCCAAGGTGCTTTATTTCCCATTGATAATTGGGACTAGAACACTTACCTTAAGATTGCTCTACTTTCTTTTTTTTTTTTTACAGTAACTTCTTTAGGAATAAAATACTTTAAAATATAGTGAAATACCTTTATAGAACTATAGTGAGCTAGAGAATCGCATGCTTGATGTTAGTAGAATTATTCTGTATTATAAAGGCTGTATAATCTGAACCATGTTATGTCAATTCCTCTTTTATGCTTAATGTTGTGTTTACTTCAGAAATGTCAGGATGTAGATATTATATGATTACAATAGGATTTTGGTGGTATTCCATTCTACTATGCAGCACAGGCCTTTTTAAAGAGTTTTGGGCTTTATAGTTAAAAGTAATCAGCAGGCTGTTCCCTCCTTCCCTTCTCCCAGGTTACAATGCACCATATCTCTCAGTATATAGTGAAAATGCAGTCGATATCTTTGATGTGAATTCCATGGAGTGGATTCAGACCCTTCCTCTTAAAAAGGTAATTTAAATTATTTTTCAGTAATTCAACAGTTTTTAGCGTATGTAGTTGGTAATTTAGAATTTAGCTAAGAATGATAAAAAATGCAAATAAAAACTAGACTAGTTAATTTTATTATAGGTAGCTCAACAACCTGCTATTTTTATTATATTTAGTTTCTCTGTATAAAGTGTAATTGTGATCATCATGAGCAATTAGATTATAGCCTACAATGTAAAATGTTAGTGTTACTTTTGGATTGAAGACCTCTGAGGGAGTATATGATTATTATTAATTGTAGGTATTTTTCACAGAGATATGTAATGTTTAATCCTTTGAGGACAGGTTTTACAGGCTAAAAAATTGGTTAAACTTAAACCAAAACTGTTTAAGTGTCTTATGATTAAAAAATAGTTTTTATGTATTACTAATAAAATGTAATATTTTCCCTTAATATTATGGAAAAGTGGAATTACAAGATGAGTTTATTTGAGTATGAAAAATTTTGAAATCCATATACTTTTTAAGATTTTATGTATTTATTATTTGAAAGATAGAGAGGCAGAGAGAGAGAGAGAGACGCAGAGATTGATTTTCCATCTGCTGATTCACTTCCCCCAAGTGGCCACAACAGCCAGGCCCGGGCCAAGCAAAAGCCTGGAACTCCATCCGGTCTCCCACCTGGGTGCCGGGACCCAAGAACTTGAGCCATCTTCTGCTGCTTTCCTTCGCACATTAGCAGGGAGCTGGATCTGAAGTGGAGCAACCAGAGCTCGGAACTGGTGCCCAAATGGGATGCTGGCATTGCAGGTGGCAGCTTAACCTGCTGGACTACAATGCCAGCCCCCAGATATTTATTTTGTGATATGTACTGTCTGTGAACTTTTTGAAAATTCCTTATATGTAGCATGTGTATCATTAGAGGATAGGGTTTAGAGGAGTAGATGAAAAAGTAGTGAGAACCACGTTGTGTGTGGCCATAGGTTAAGCCTCTGCTTGAAATGCCAGCATCCCATATCGTAGTGCCACTTCAAGTCTAACTTCCTGCTAATGTGCCTGGGAAGAAAGCAGAAGATGGCCCAAGTATTTGGGCCCCTCCCACCTGTATGAGACACCTATAAATACTCACTTAATGAACTTCAGCAACTATGTGGCCAAATCAGTTGGCTGAAGCCCTTCCTTCCCCTGACACCTGCAGAGCTTAGACTGATATTTGATTTACTGACTAAGGGAAACAGCCCTTCTTCAAATATCACATTGACACCAGCAGCCAAATCCCCTATAGAAAGGATCAACACCCAGTTGTCAAATTTTGAAACCTTTAGATATGACTCTCAGGTGCCTCTATTTGCCATAACCATATCTACCCTCAAGGCCCCCTTAGGAGTTATTTGGCAACAACATGGACCAACATAGCCTGGAGCGAGTGTCATAAAATAGTTAACAAAGTAGATGCCATCCTATGATGGGACTTAAATTAAGATACTATGCCAATAAGATATTTAACACAGAGGCAGACATAGTGGTCCTACCCCTATCACAATTAGAACTGTCCACATTGATGCAGAATAGCATGCTCTTTCAAACGTTAATGATAAATTTCCCAGGACAGGTTGACAATCACCTGCCAGCGGACAGGCTACTCCAGATGTTACAAACCTTAGAAATAGACTATCCAAAACATGCTTTCCCTGCTAATCAACCTATACCCATGGCACCGTGTGCGTTTACGGACACCAACAAGTCACTGTTTGGAATAGTGATCAAATCTTCAACAGAAAAAGATAAGATCCATGTAGAACCCCATTCCTCATTGCTACCCCTATCTGAGCATGCACTCCTGTGGTCTCCTGGTTGAGCACTGGTTAGTCAATGACAGGTAAGATCCCCTGGGGGACAACCTAAGACAGGCACAGCCGCGTACAGAGATCACATGGAAATGGGGTCAACAATGGTGTGGCCAAGAATCATGCCTCCCATTGCTCAAAAATAAACAAAAAGGGGGAAATGTGGTGGAATGAGAAGGCCAAGATGGCCACTGGCAAGCGAGCATCAGTTACTCAGGAGTGGCTTTGGAAACCCCCTGGGAAACCATCTGGCAACAGAGCCTGCCTGGCAAAAGGCTGTGATTGGATGGCTTTGGAAACCACATGGCAATGGAGCCTGCCTGGCAGCAAGCTGTGATTGGATGGCTTCGGATACTGCCTGGCAACAGGCTGTGATTGGTTAGGGCATAAACCGCCTCTTGACCGGATTGGCTGCCTTAGCTATTTAAGCTGCTGTACCTCACCGGTGCCCCGGCTCACTAGGCTAATCCTCCACCTTGCAGCGGCGGCACACCGGGTTCTAGTCCCGGTCAGGGCGCCGGATTCTGTCCCGGTTGCCCCTCTTCCAGGCTGGCTCTCTGCTATGGCCCCGGAGTGCAGTGGAGGATGGCCCAAGTGCTTGGGCCCTGCACCCCATGGGAGACCAGGAGAAGTACCTGGCTCCTGCCATCGGATCAGCGCGGTGCGCCGGCCGCAGGGCGCTGGCCGCGGCAGCCATTGGAGGGTGAACCAACGGCAAAGGAAGACCTTTCTCTCCTTTCTCTTTTTCTCTCTCTCTCACTGTCCACTCTGCCTGTCCAAAATAAATAAATAAATAAATAAATACATGCATGCATGCATGAATGCTGCTGTACCAACTGAAATAAATGAGTCTGCAGGCTGCCCACCTCTAGCCTGCTTTCACCCGACTACCGGGGTCTGTGTGGTGACTCCGTGCCTCTTGCCCCCACCATGCTCCTCCTCTCAGAGTAAATCCACAGCAACACACCTGAATGGAGTTTCTGGCTGTTGACATCAGCCTGATCCCAGACCTGGCTATTGTGGCCATTTGTAGAAGAACCAGCAGATGGATGGTCATTCTTTCTGTCTCTCCTTGTCTCATTTTATCTATCTAACTACCTACCTGTTTGTTTATTTATTTGAAAGGTAACTGCCTTTCAAATAAACAGGTAGGTAGTTAGATAGATAAATCTTTTTTTTTTTCCTTTTTTTTTTTTTAGTTATTTGACAGGTTCAGTTAGACAGTGAGAGAGAGAGAAAGGTCTTCGTTCTGTTGGTTCACTCCCCAAATGGCTGCTACGGCCGGCGCTGCGCCGATCCGAAGCCAGGAGCCAGGTGCTTCCTCCTGGTCTCCCATGCGGGTGCAGGGCCCAAGCACTTGGGCCATCCTCCACTGCCTTCCCAGGCCACAGCAGAGAGCTGGAATGGAAGAGGAGCAACTGGGACAGAACCGGCGCCCCAACCGGGACTAGATCCCAGGGTGCCGGCGCCGCAGGCGGAGGATTAGCTAAGTGAGCTGTGGCGCTAGCTGCATATGTCTTTATGTATGCAGAAGTTTCAAAGTCATAAGGCCATGAGTGGAATTGATCAGATATGGGAAATGTGATTGCTCAGCTTTAAAGATAATGTCTTGTTGTTTTCCAAAGTAATTATACAAATTAACACTCCCATCAACAGTGTATAACAGTTCTTACTGATTCTCCATCCTCTGTAATACTTGTCAGAATTCATACTTTCTGAAAATGATTTATAAAGTAATATCCCACTGAAGTATTAATTTGCTTCTCCCCAGTTAACTGTGTAGTTGAGAATCTTTTCTGTTTGTCATTCATATTTTTTCCTCAGTGAAATGCCAGGTCATATGTTTTTATTTTTTTGGCAGGCAGAGTGGACAGTGAGAGAGAGAGAGAGAGAGAAAGGTCTTCCTTTGCCGTTGGTTCACCCTCCAATGGCCGCCGCGGCTGGCGCGCCGCGGCTGGCGCACTGCGCTGATCCGATGGCAGGAGCCAGGTGCTTCTCCTGGTCTCCCCTGGGGTGCAGGGCCCAAGTACTTGGGCCATCCTCTACTGCCTTCCCGGGCCACAGCAGAGAGCTGGCCTGGAAGAGGGGCAACTGGGACAGAATCCGGCGCCCCAACCGGGACTAGAACCCGGTGTGCCGGCGCCGCAAGGTGGAGGATTAGCCTAGTGAGCCGCGGCGCCAGCCTGCTCATATGTTTTACACGTGTTGCAGGATTTGGGTTTTGTTTTTGTTTTTTTTTTTTTTTGGGGGGGGGGGATTCTTTGTATAATGTGGATATTGGGCTAGTAATGGATGTGGTAAATTTCTTCCCTGCCTGTGACATACCTATTCATCTGACAGATATTTTGCTACGCAGAAGTTACTAGTTTTAGTGTGGTTACCTCTTTCTTACTCTCTATGTTTGTCTTTTTGTTCTTGATTAGGAATTTTTCCTACCTCAGAGTCATAAAGATATTACCTCTCTTTTCCTCCAAACATTTTAAAGTTTTGCCCATTACATTTATGTCTTTAACACATTTGAAACTGGTTTTTTTTGTATATGTATTTTTTATTTAAGACTTATTTATTTATTTGAAAGGTAGAGTGGCAAAGATCTTCTATCATTCCCAAATGGCTGCAATAGCCAGATCTATACTAGGCCAAAACCAGGAGCCAGGAACTCTATTCTGGTCTCCCACATAAGTGGCAGGGACCCAAGTACTTGGTCTATCTTCTGTTGTCTTCCCGAGGTCAATAGCAGGAAGCTGGATCAGAAGTGGAGTAGCTGGGACTTGAACTAGTGCTACAATATAGGCTACTGGCATTGGAAGCAGTAGCTTAACCTGCTGTGCCACAAATGCTGGTGCCTGTGTATGTATTTTTTGTATGTGATTATTGGATCCATATAACCAGTTGTTCCATGACCATGTATTGACAGTCTTGTTTTCCCCTGTCATCTGTATGTTCACTTCCATTGTAGTTTTTGATAATAAGAATTCATAAAGCTGCTTATGTTGATATGTTCTTAATATAATTATTTGGTCACTAATGGCTTTAAAAAGTCAAATTTAAAGTTTAAATGTTAAGAAGAGCAGGGTGGGAAGTGGGGTTGAGGCCACAGTATGGCCTCTGCATTATAAAATAAAGCACTAGATATCCTCATTTCTCACTGTCAACCTATAGGATCCTGAATTGTCATTGTTGCCACACTGAAGTTGCTTCTGTTTGTTCATGTCCTTTATCCGAATGTGAAAGGCAGATCTTCCATCCTTGTAACCATAACAGAGTCTCAGCAAATATTAATAGTGGATAAATGACAAGCGTAATGCAATTTACAATGTTTCCAATGATATGATAGGAATGGGCATTTGGTCCCCACTGTAGGCTATTGGTCATCTGTATAAAAAACTAATCTTTGGTGTCCTGTCCCTTTAGAGAATAAAACTGATATGAAGGATGGTATGCCAAAAAATAAAGTTTAAATGTGTTCCGACTAAGTTTTATTTATTTGATTGCTCAGAATAATCTTTCTTTAAAACATTATTTTAGATTTATTTGTTTAAATTATATAACGTTACACCTCTACAGTCAGAATTATTGTAAATTTTCTGATTTTTTTTTCTGACAGGGCTGTATATTAAAGTAACTAACTGGTCTTAATTTTGTAAATAAACTCTGCGTGTCATGATTTAATTTCTAAGGATGTTATTGAAATACTAATTGTATTTTTTATTATTTTAGGTTCGACCCTTAAACAGTGAAGGATCATTAAATCTTTTAGGATTGGAGACAATTAGATTAATATATTTCAAAAATAAGATGGCAGGTGAGAAAATGCATATATTAATAGGATAGCTTTGATGGAAAGATGATCTCTAAACTGACTGCTCAAGGGCAGATGAATAATAAAGCAGGGACCAGGTTTAAATTCAGGTGTGTCTTACTCCAAAGTCTGTAATCCTGGCCATTGTCATACTGTGGAGTAACAAAGTAAGTAGAGAAAGTATAACTGAATTTGTCTTTATTGTATTTGTAATACTGCACACCCTAACCAAAATTTGTTACAATAAAATTATGAATCATCCAGAACTCCAGTTTGGGACTTCAAAAATTCTTTTCCTGCCATTGCAGAAGGCTCGGCACTTATGAAGTGCAGATGGCTACATGGGAAGATGAAAAACGAGGAAATAGAAACGTGCAAAGAATTAGGAGAGAGAATGGGATACTGGGTTTTACAGATAGGGGAAGGGCCTTTGATCTGTAACCAAAGTAGTGAAGTGAGATTGTCACACACAGGATTACAAATCAGATTGTAAGAAGCCAGGGAGAAGGTCCGCATGCTATTAAATGTGTTTTACCAAGGTGTGCTCAGTTTAAATTTCACTTTTTTTTTTTTTTTTTTTTAAGAATTCATGTATTTATTTGAGAGACAGAATTACAGACAGAGATAATGAGAGACAGAGAGGTCTTCTGTTTCTGCTGGTTCACTCCCTAGATGGCCGCAATGGCTGAAGCTGGGCTAATCTGAAACCAAGAGCCAGGAGCTTCTTCTGGGTCTCCCACGCAGGTGTAGGGGCCCAAGCACTTGGGCCATCTTCCACTTCTTTCCCAGGCTCATTAGCAAAGAGCTGATTCAGATGAGGAGCAGCTAGGACATGATCTGTCACCCACATGTGATGCTGGTGTGGCAGGTTAAGGCTTAACCTACTACGCCACAGCACTGGCTCCCTGAATTTCACTTTTAACAAATATTATTGTAGTTCTCTATTCTGTACGATAAAGTCATTCTCATGTCATTTTGACAAATTAATGCAGAACAGAGGCATACATAGTTTTCTGATCTTCTGTGGTAGATTCTTTTAATAAAAATGTACCTTTGATACATTCTGTATCTAAAATCGTATTTAGATTGATTTTAATATAGTTTAAAAACATTGGCCTCAAGACAACATGTTAAAATTTTATCTTTTGAGGGCTAGCACTGTGGTGTAGAGGGTAATGCCACCACCTGCCTTGCTAGCATCCATATGGGTGCCGGTTCAGGTCCCTGCTGCTCCTCTTCCAATCCAAATCTCTGCTGTGGCCTGGGAAAGCAGTAGAAGATGGCCCAAGTGCTTGGAAAATATTTTCAAAGCTATATTTAAGCATATATCTGTTTATGTTCTGTTGAAAATTACTGCTTATTTACTATGATTATTAGTCTAGAACTTTGAGAAATCAGAATTGTATATTGATTCATGATAGTATAGTCTTGGAGATTAATGGATAAAAAGCATTTTAACAGTTTAAAGAACATCATTATTCTTTGTGTGTGTATTTTGCACAGAAGGGGATGAACTGGTGGTTCCTGAAACATCAGATAACAGTCGAAAACAAATGGTTAGAAATATTAACAATAAGCGCCGTTATTCCTTCAGAGTCCCAGATGAGGAAAGGATGCAACAGAGGAGGTAAATATTTTGTTTATATTTAGCATCCATACATGCTTGTAGCATCTGAAGAACTATTTGGTGATAATACCATATATGACTTGGAAGAAAAGTTTTCCATCTGAAAACTGGTTATTCATCTGTAGTATCAAAAACTGCAATAATAACTATTAACTCCTTAGTATTATTTTATTAATACTCTCAAAGTTACGAATATACCCTAGATTAAAGTACCATATTTTGGTTGACTTATGGAGTAATTATAATTTTAGGGATATGTGCCTTGTTACATTGTAAACATAGAACACATCTGTGAATACAATAAACTTGTAATATGTTGAAGAAATTCAGATGGAGCTGGTGTTGTGGTGCAGTGGCATCCCATATTGGAGTGCCAGTTCAGCTTCAGCTGCTCTGCTTCCAATGCTGCTGCCTGCTAGGAAAGCACCAGAAGATGGCCCAAGTACATGGACCCTTGCCACACATGTGAGAGTCCCAGATGGGCTTCAGGGATCCTGGCTTCAGCCTGGCCCAGCTGCAACCAGTGTGGCCACTTGGGGATTCAACCAGCAGATGGAAGAGCTCTCTGTCTCTCTCTACCCCTCTGTCCTGCCTGTCAAATAAATAAATTTTTAACAAAAAAGAAACTCACATTGACTTTTGTCTTTATGAACTAACAGAAATGGGCTGTGTAGTATTTCTAGTAACATACAAGAATGTTGCTTTTTTTTTTAAATTTATTTGACAGAGTTATAGACAGAGACAGACAGAGAGAAAGATCTTCCTTCCGTTGGTTCACTCCCCAAATGGCCGCGGCTGGTGCTATGCCGATCCGAAGCCAGGAGCCAAGTGCTTCCTCCTGGTCTCCCATGCGGGTGCAGGGCCCAAGCACTTGGGCCATCCTCCACTGCCCTCCTGAGCCACAGTAGAGAGCTGGACTGGAAGAGGGGCAACCGGGACTAGAACCCGGCGCCCATATGGGATGCCGGTGCTGCAGGCAGAGGACTAACCAAGTGAGCCACAGCGCCGGCCCCAACAACGTTTCTAAAAGTGTTATCACTAATTTTAAAAGCATGTAAATGTTCAGAATTATCTGTAAAATAGAGCTACTTTGGTGTCTAAGTGTTTAAAAGAACTTCTGTTCTCTCACCCAAAATCTTAAGATCTTTTATTTGAAATGAAATATAATGAGTGTGAACTCTTAAGTGTATTGTTATTCTATTTATATCCTTCCTTACTGATATGATTTAATAATTTTACTTTTATAAAAAATATAGATGCATATTTTGTTAAGCTATCTAGATTAATGTTAGGAAAGGTGTCTAAACAGATGTTTTGTCTTACAGGGAGATGCTACGAGATCCAGAAATGAGAAATAAATTAATTTCTAACCCAACTAATTTTAACCACATAGCACACATGGGTCCTGGAGATGGAATACAGATCCTAAAAGACCTGCCCATGGTAAGGAACAGAGTGAATGTGAATGGGATGAAGAATAAGTGGGGGTTAGTTAAAGGGAAATATAATATACATATAATGTATAGATAGAGGCTTGAGTAAATACATAGAGTACAAAAGATACTTTTGGCCGGTGCCGTGGCTCACTAAGCTAATCCTCCGCCTTGCGGCACCGGCACACCGGGTTCTAGTCCCGGTCGGGGCTCCGGATTCTGTCCCGGTTGCCCCTCTTCCAGGCCAGCTCTCTGCTGTGGCCTGGGAGTGCAGTGGAGGATGGCCCAAGTACTTGGGCCCTGCACCCCATGGGAGACCAGGAGAAGCACCTGGCTCCTGCCATCAGATCAGCACTGTGCGCTGGCTGCAACGCGCCGGCCGCGGTGGCCATTGGAGGGTGAACCAACGGCAAAGGAAGACCTTTCTCTCTGTCTCTCTCTCTCACTGTCCACTCTGCCTGTCAAAAAAAAAAAAAAAACCTTTTATTTCAGTGTATCACAGCATATATGATGACATGTTTAATGAGAAAAACATAATACATAGACATCTGTGAAAAGCAAAAAGATCAAGTGCTTTAGTCTTACCCTACAAATCTCTGCCACACCTAAATTTACTGTTGTTGGTGGAAGAAATTGCCAGTTTGTAGAGGCTCTCTACCAGGTTCAGAACACGGTTATGAAATGACTAAAATTTCATACAAATACTTTGCCTTTTTTTCCCCAGAAAATTATACTAGCTTGTTCACTAATGTCACACTTCTCAGCTAATTTTAAAGCTAAATATTTTTCCTTTGCTCTGTTACGAACATGTTACCAGATCAGTTACACATAAAAACATGCAACATAGAAGAGCTGCTGTGTTTTGTTTTTGTTTTTTGACAGGCAGAGTGGACAGTGAGAGAGAGAGACAGAGAGAAAGGTCTTCCTTTGCCGTTGGTTCACCCTCCAATGGCCGCCGCAGCTGGCGCACTGCGGCCAGTGCACCGCGCTGATCCGATGGCAGGAGCCAGGTGCTTTTCCTGGTCTCCCATGGGGTGCAGGGCCCAAGAACCTGGGCCATCCTCCACTGCACTCCCAGGCCACAGCAGAGAGCTGGCCTGGAAGAGGGGCAACCGGGACAGAATCCGGAGCCCCGACCGGGACTAGAACCCGGTGTGCCGGCGCCGCAAGGCGGAGGATTAGCCTAGTGAGCCGCAGCGCTGGCCGCTGCTATGTTTTAACAATATGAAAATTGGGTTCTCGGATTTATGTTTAGAATAAGAATATTATTGGAATTAGTTAATAATTCCAGACCCTGTTCTGAACGTATTTTGATAGTACTCTCCACAAACTATTAAAACTTTAATATGACAGTTGTAATCAGTGTTGTTAACTTTTGTACCGAATTTTAAATTAAAATTTATATTTCATGGTAACTTGAGAAATTATTGGTGAATCTTTAATCAAATGTTTTTCTGAGGAAATCCATCTTAACCATATTATCAACACTACCACACTACTGTGATAGAAAACATACATATCACTAAGAAAATGACAGGTTAAATAGTTTGTGCAGTCAACATTTTAGCATAAAAACTTAAAAGGGAAGTTTTACACTTAATTCCTGGAGAGAAAAAAATAATTTATATTCTTTGGAGTCTCAGTTCTTTGTTGCAGATATCCCTATTAATCAGTTGCTTATGAATAAATGTGACATTCTTAGTGTTATCTTTATTCATCATCAAAACATTATTACATAGTCATAATAATAGTCCCTCTTTTAAGGAGTACAAATTATCATTTATCCTTTTAGAACAGATATTTTTATTAGCTATGTTGAATAAACACGAAGTATGCAAAAACTAAATAATAAATTACAAATAATATTGACATAGTAGCAGTAAGAAATTAAAGTTGAGCACACTCAATATTGAAACTATTCTACTTGACTATTATATTTAAAAGCTTATACTATTTTTTTCAACTTTTGCCTGGGAGTAAATCACAAATTTCTCTCTGTTCTTTTCCCATTATGAACATTTACTTAAAATCCTCAGTCCAATTCTCTTTAAATCTCAGAAGTAAACATCACATAATCCTACAGTCAAAAGCCTCTATCCTTTTCCATTTACAAGTTGCATGTAAGGCATAAAATACCTTTTTTTTAAACTTTTATTTAATGAATATAAATTTCCAAAGTACAGCTTATGGATTACAATGGCTTCCCCCCCCCCGTAACTTCCCTCCCACCCGCAACCCTCTCCCCTTCCATTCACATCAAGATTCATTTTCAATTCTCTTTATATACAGAAGGTCAGTTTAGCATATATTAAGTAAAGGTTTCAACTGTTTGCACCCACATAGAAACACAGAGTGAAAAATACTGTTTGAGTACTAGTTATAGCATTAAATCACAATGTACAGCACATTAAGGACAGAGGTCCTACATGAGGAGTAAGTGCACAGTCACTCCTGTTGTTGACTTAACAAATTGACACTCTTCTTTATGGCATCAGTAATCACCCTAGGCTCTTGTCATGAGTTGCCAAGGCTATGGAAGCCTTTGGAGTTCACCGGCTCTGATCATATTTAGACAAGGTCATAGTCAAAGTGGAAGTTCTCTCCTCCCTTCAGAGAAAGGTACCTCCTTCTTTGATGACCTGTTCTTTCCACTGGGATCTCACTCACAGAGATCTTTCATTTAGGTTGGTTTTTTTTTTGTTTTGTTTTGTTTTTGTTTTTGTTTTTGCCAGAGTGTCTTGGCTTTCCATGCCTGAAATACTCTGATGGGCTTTTCAGCCGGATCCACGTGCCTTTAGGGCTAATTCTGAGGCCAGAGTGCTATTTAGGACATCCGCCATTCTATGAGTCTGCTGTGTATCCTGCTTCCCATGTTGGATCGTTCTCTCCCTTTTTTATTCTATTGGTTAGTATTTTCAGACACTAGTCTTGTTTATGTGATCCCTTTGACTCTTAGTCCTATCATTATGATCAATTGTGAACAGAAATTGATCACTTGGACTAGTGAGATGGCATTGGTACATTTCACCTTGATGGGATTGAATTGGAATCCCCTGGTATGTTTCTAACTCTGCCGTTTGGGGCAAGTCAGCTTGAGCCATGTCCCAAATTGTACATCTCTTCCCTCTCTTATTCCCACTCTTATATTTAACAGCGATCACTTTTCAGTTAAGTTTCAACACTTAAGAATAACTGTGTATTGATTTCAGAATTCAACCAAAAGTATTAAGTAGAACAAACAAAAAAAAAATACTAAGAGGGATAATGTATTAAGTTGTTCATCAACAGTCAGGGCGAGGGCTGATCAAGTTACCGTTTCTCATAGTGTTCATTTCACTTTAACAGGTTTCCTTTTTGGTGCTCGGTTAGTTGTCACCGATCAGGGAGAACATATGATATATGTCCCCTTGGGACTGGCTTATTTCACTCCACATAATGTTTTCCAGATTACTACCAGGGATCACTTTTCAGTTAAAATTTAAACACCTAAGAATAATTGTGTGTTAATTACAGAGTTCAACCAATAGTACTAGAACAAAAAAAATACTAAAGTGGATAAAGTATTACATTGTACATCAACAGTCAAGACAAATTACTGTAACCTCAGGAAAAAATTGCAGAGGAAACTCTTCAGGATCTAGTGGATGTGATAAGGCATAAAATACCTTAATTGAATTTTTGAAGTTATGGTAAACAGTTTAAAGATTACTATATTTTAACATATTTGAAAGCTCAAGTGTTATGAAGTGTTTCAATTGAACTTTTTGAAATTTGGTTTGGAATAGTTTTCAATACGTGATATGTAGTGATACAGGGATATAAATTTCAGACATGCATGCTATAAGGCAGCACATCAACAAATACAAAATTCTTTGTAACAAGGTTTTAATAGGTATTATCCTTCTAAAATTAAAATTTATTTCACTTTTGCTTCATTTTGTTGCACAAAGGAATATATACTTTCCATCCCACCATAGCAAGAATTATCAAAGTTTCTGTAGAAATCCCAGTACTTTCTACATATTACAGTATTTTTCTTGGAATGGGATAGTTTCAATATTTAACAGAATGTTACTCATAGCAATTATCGATGTTTTTGTAAAAATCATAGTATATCCTATAAATTATAGTATTTTTCTTTGAATGGGATAGTTTGATCTTTAATGAAATGTTACTGTGCTTGGCATTCTCCTCCCCTTAGTTGAGAAGTCAATTTGCTAATGTTCCAGAGTTCTTTCAGACCTCACTGTGCAATAAGACCATGCTCCCAATGCTAAAGTCTCACATTTCAAACATCACGAGAAATTTATATCAAAGCATCCATTCTGACTTTACTTTTTCCTCCCTTCACCCTCCCACCACTCTAAAGTGAAAGAAATCTATATTTCATCTTTTGTTCAGAGTAAGACCTGGCTTTATTACTAAGCAAGTTCAGATAGCATTTCCCAAAGTTCAGTCTCCCAGCTGACTAATACATGACCTTCTCTGCTGGATATCCAGTTAGACTGCTTGACTAGTTTTTGTCATTTGGTTTTCTTAGCCCATGACCACCCTGTTGGTTCTTGCTGGCATTAGCACAAACGACAAGTGACCTTTTGCCCTGGCAATTTAATCCAAATTGTAATGTGCATTCCATTCCTTTAATGTTTTCAATTCAGGTAAGCACTTTTGTATTTCCAGGACAAGAAGTGGGCGTAAATTTTTGAAACCTGTTTCTTCACCTATACATGTAGTATGCATCATATATTTTATGTGTCTGAATTCCCATTTCTCACATCCATATTTTATTTGTGCATGACTGTTCTCATTTCAGTACCAAACAAAGGACATATAAGCTGAGGTTTTTTATAGACGTCCAGTAAATTGCCAAATAAATATTCCTTTGGTACTTTCTATGTGCACAGAACCATGCTTATTTCAGAATATACATTGGTAAACAATACAATAATATGCATGTTTGAAAATAATAACAATAATATGCACATTTATGCCTATGTATGTGTATGTATCTGCTGATTTAAAAGTTAGTGATATTTAATACAGTTTCAGATTTTCATATGTTCTTTCCACTGAAGTCAAATTATTATGAGCTATTTTCAAAAAAATATAGATGGATTAAGTTTGCCTTTTAACTTATAAAAGAGCTTTCAGTTACCAAAGCCATGTGTTACCATCTGTGCGAGAGCATGTGCCACATTTTTTTATGTTTTAATTTATGAAACCAATATTGCTCCCAATGAAATACTTATAAGCTTGGAAAGTTTATTAAATATCTTCTTAAGCCACTTTTGTTTATTTTATGCCTAGTGATTCTAAAATAGGGTTGCTTGCTTCTTGAGCATTGAAGAGCCAGTAATGCTAAAAGAGTCATTTTCTTATCTCCTATATCAGATGTAAACCTTGTCTTAGAAATATATAACGTGGCCGGCACCGCAGCTCACTAGGCTAATCCTCCACCTTGCGGCGCCGGCACATCAGGTTCTAGTCCCAGTCGGGGCGCCGGATTCTGTCCCGGTTGCCCCTCTTCCAGGCCAGCTCTCTGCTGTGGCCAGGAGTGCAGTGGAGGATGGCCCAAGTGCTTGGGCCCTGCACACCATGGGAGACCAGGAGAAGTACCTGGCGCCTGCCATCGGATCAGCTCGGTGTGCCGGCCACAGCGTGCCAGCCGTGGCGGCCATTGGAGGGTGAACCAACGGCAAAAGGAAGACCTTTCTCTCTGTCTCTCTCTCTCACTGTCCACTCTGCCTGTCAAAAAATAAAAAAATAAAGAAATATATAACGTGTTTGTTTGCTTGAATCTTTTTTACCACTTACCTTTTGTTTCTGGTAATAAAAGACAAGTTTTCTACAATTGAATAAAAGAATAATATTTTACCTATATAATTATTTTTAGCACATTACATTTTCCTAATACAGGTTTTCAAGCTAATTGACCCTGGGATTTTAAGAGGTAGTTTTTCTTCTTAAAGTTAAATTATTTTCCTTTTTGGAAAGAATCTTAGTACTTTTTTTTGAACTATAACTTTTCTTTTAAGAATAGATAATTTGTAAGGTCTTTTTCAGTAAGCTTATCTCCACTGACAGGAGCATGAATTTAATCTACTTAATTCTCTTCAGCAAGTCATTCAGCTTGGCCTCTAACGAAAGGATCATATTTTCTTAGAAACAGTTATTCATCAAGAAAATTCCCTGGTGACTGGTGGCTCCTAAATATTCAGAATTATATTATCTGAAAAATTAGAATCCTTGGCTTCAAAAGTGTTTTATCTTTGGCATTACATTATTTCATTTTTTAAAAATGTACCTGAATATTGAAGGGAAGATTTTTTTGTCTTATTAAATAAATGAAGATAAGTTTGAACTATTAAAGATAAGCTAACAAATAGTACATTCCATAGTTGTTTTTCTTATAGAGAAATAAGATGAGTAAAAGAAATCATGTATCACAAGTCTACAAATACCAGAAAATGGATTTCAGTGGTATGGATTTCTAAAGAAACAGTTTCAGAACACAGCTAGTTAGGTTCACTTGTCCTTTTTTTTTATATTTTTTTAAGATTTATTTTATTTATTTGAAAGGCTGAGCTACAGAGAGAGAATGAGAGAGAAAGAGAAAGAGGTCTTCCATCCACCAGTTTACTCCTCAAATGGCTGCAATGGCCAGGCTTGGCCAAGCCAAAGCCTGGAACCAGGAGCTTCCTCTAGGTGTCTCCCATGTGGATGCAGGAGCCTGAGCGTTTGGACTGTCCTCCACTGCTTTCCCAGGAACATTAGCAGGGAGCTGGATTGGAAGTGGAGCAGACAGGATTGGGACCAGTGCCCATATGGGATGCTGGCGCTGCAGGCGGCCAGTTCACTCCCTGCACCACAATGCCACCCTCTTTTTTTTTTTTTTTTTTTTTTTTTGGTTGACAGGAAGAGTTAGAAAGACATAGTGAAAGGTCTTCCTTTTTTCATTGGTTCACCCCCCAAATGGCCACAATGGCCGGCACTCTGTGGCTGGCGCACTGCACTGATCCGAAGCCAGGAGCTAGATGCTTCCTCCTGGTCTCCCATGCACTTGGGCCATCCTCCACTGCCTTCCCGGGCCACAGCAGAGAGCTGGACTGGAAGAGGAGCAATTGGGACAGAATCCAGCACCCCAACCGGGACTAGAACCCAGGGTGCTGGCACTGCAGGCAGAGGATTAGCCAAGTGAGCCATGGCGCCGGCCCACCCTCTGTTTTTAATTTTAATTTTTAAGAGAGACGCTGGTGGGGATGGGGAGGAGAGAACTACTGTCTGCTGGTTCACTCCCCAGCTGCCTGCAGTGGCTCCCACTGGGACCAAAATCAGGAATTGAAACTCAGCCCCAGTCTCCGGAGCACAAGGGTAGCAGGAACCCAATTGCTTGAGTCATCATTACTGCCCTCCAGGGTCTGTATTAGCAGAAACTGGAGTCAGGAGCCAGAGGTGGATACTGAATCCAGATACTCTGGTGTGGAACAGGGACATCTTAACCAGCTCTTAACTGCTAGGCTGAACACCCGCCCCACTGTTGCTTTCTTAAGCTTTGCTTTTTTTTCCTCTTCAAATTTATTGTGAGTTTGTGCCATGTTTAGGTCATCTCACGTAACAGAACACTGAACTAAACTGAGAATTTCTTCACATCTCTGTTAAGTCCAGTTTGTACTCACTTAACTATGGTAATAAAAGAGCAATTTTATAAGGAGTATGCTGTTTTGTAAATGAGCTGTTTAAGTAACTGGCAAGAGGATTACAAAATTTAACTTTCTTAAGCCTAAAAGTATTTCATTAATTATTCAATTCTGATACAAGATATTACTTCATTTTTACTATGTGCATGTTGTCTGAAATGTCACATATAACCAGTGAATACATCCTCATCACCTTACCACTTTGTTTTCTTCTTTCTGTTGTTTTTGATAGCCAGGTTTCCCTTATCCATCCCCTCATCATCACTCCGGTCTGATCTCCTCTCCGATCAACTTTGAACACATCTATCACATGACTGTTAATTCTGCTGAAAAATTTCTCTCTCCTGATTCCATAAACCCTGAATATTCCCCGCCTCTGCGCTCTGTCCCTGGTACACCCAGCTTTATGACTCTGAGGGTATGGACAGCTGAGTCAGGTGTTAACTTGTACTAACCATGTATGGATATCCTGTTGCCTGGCCTAATAAGTAATGCTACTGAGGTGGTACCATTTTGTGAACATTTTCCTTTGACCTTTTTCTCTTCAGCTTTGCCCTTCCTCTGTTTATTTTCCTCTTCCAGTTCTATTTTGTTTCATCTTTTGAGAAAAAAGATGGAAGAATAGAGAAGATTTTAATTTTCATTTTTGAAACTATATTAGAGATTCATAGAAGGTTTTCTCATCATAGTATTTTCTATTACAGATACCATTCTAACAATAGGCCCTAGTGAATCTTTATTCTGTTTAAAAAAGAAAAAGCAGAAAGCATTTACAGAATTTCTGAATTTTTTGTAGCTAACTATGGTATAACCAGTTCAATTTGGAGGCCTTTTTTTTTTATATTTAATGAGATTAGAGTCTATGGTAGAGCCAATCCACAGACTTTCTGTCTACAATAAACTCTTTTTGAAAAGCTTAGCAATCCTCCAAAAAATTTGTATAATACTATTACTGAGAAAGAGAAATATATTCAAAAATAAGGTAGATTTTATCATCTTGGAGTTGCTGATACTCGTGTAGTTTCAACCAGGATACGCTCAAAGAGGAAGTAAACAATGCATTCTGTGTTCTGAAGGACCATGGCATCTGTTGTTGGTCTCTTCTGTTCAGCATTTTGTCTTTGTTACCAGTGACTTATAAGTGGGATGGAGAGCTGGTGGTCATTAAAGCTGAATATCTATATGACCACCAAGTAAATATGCTGATACAAACTTCAGGGAAACATTTTCTGAAGTTAATTTTGCAGATAATGAAATATTTAGAGCAGACTTTTCCCATAATGCCTCCTGACCTAGAAAAGTTAGTAACATTGATTTTTTTAGGAATATGGTAATTTTCCAATAAGAAAATTAACCAAAAGAGTGAGAAGTTTATTTTTGTTTGTATTGTAAAATTATTCTAAATTATTCTAAATATCACCATCATTAAATTTTAATGTCATTTAAATATCTTAATTGACAAAATAAAGGTAACCATGATAAAATAAATCTGAGTTTGCTTAGTAACAGATTGTAGGAAGTGGAGTCCAGGTGAATGTTATGTAAACTACTCAGTCAAGAACTTTTCTTGACAGAAGTAATGAAAGTGTTGCTTAAGTTAATCGTCTCTGAGTAGAAATGCCACTCTATCAGTGAAAGTTTTACCTTAATCTTAAACATGATCACACGTAGAATGAGAGGCTTAGCTTTCTAAGCTGTTTATGATGAAGTTTATTATTAATTGACTGAATGATAGACTGTTTTGTTATAAAGCATTTTTCAGTATATCATTCCTTTGTTACTTCAGCATTCACTGTTACTAAGGAACAGTGTGTTTTATAAGGTTAATTTTTGCCATTTATTCTAGGGTAAGTTTATTTTATAGAGAAGGAAATTACCAGTGTATCTTAAAGCTTATATAAAAAGTAGAAACAAAATCTACAGTTTGATATTGCCATCTCTTTTTGAAAAGCTTTTCTTTGCTATGCTGTGCACATGTTGCTTGTGTTTTCTGGGTTGCTAATGTTTGTGTGAATGATAAATTGCTAGTGTTGACTATTTCCATCTTAAATTTCTTTATTTTCTTAAAAACGGGTAATACATTTGCTCTAAACAAATAACACACTAGGAATTACATGGATTTTGCAAATTTGGTCTATAAACCAAAATGGCAGTGGTTGAATTTAGGGCCAGCTGACCAACCAACTTTCAGTATGTGTGATTCTTCAAAATGTATGATTTGGAGTTTTTCAAGTCATGTTATTGCTTGTTTCCTCATTGCTAGCCTTGGCTTTCCTTTAGCTGTTTTTCCTTAACTTTTTCTTAGTTGTCTCAGATGCACATGAGGAATCCAATAGTATGAAATTATTCTGAACCATGACCTCTCCTTTGGGTTTCACAATTGCATAGCAACTGGGAACCAGTTCTAGATTTTCATTAAATAACTAAAAATATTTTTAGCTTTGCTAGTACATTTCTTTATTGTTTGTATCTTTTAACCTCAAAAGCCTTAAATGTTTGTGTTCATTTCATTATATTCCGTGTTGTTTTTGAACTATATTATAGACAAGAAATTATTAGCATGTAAATCAGATTATTTGAAGAATTTAACACCATTTAATTCATCAATTACCAGAAAATATTCTGCCCAAACAATACAAGTATAAATGCACTTTGTAAAATCTTCAAAATACATGCACACATATATCAATATAAACTAGAATATTATGTGTTCTACAGAAAGGATTTGAAAATTCATTCATTACATTGCCAACTGAATTAATCCCAGTAGTTGAAGTAGAAAATTGGGATTGTAGATGTAACCCAAGTATCTTATTCGGCAGCTGTTTTAGGTGTTAGAGTTCAGTGTTATTATTGTTAGGTTTTAGGATTTTATGGTTGGAAGGAGGAGATGAGTGGCTAAAGTGAAGAAGACTTTATTTTAGGGAGGACAGAACAGGGGGTAAAGAGAGAGTGAGTGTTGAGCCTGCCTGGGCAGAGAGCAGGGGTTTGAAGCCGGGCTTCACTCCCTTTGAAGAGCAGGCAATCCCTTCTTAAGGAGTTTTGGGGGGAGGCACAGAGCACCACATGGACCCTGCCTAGGTGGGTGGGAGACATGCAGAAAGGCTCCTTGGTGGAATTCACAGTGCATTTGTTTCAGCAGTTGGAATGTCCCAGGTGAGGGGCTTTATGGGGCAGTAAACATTCTCCTAGACTTTAGATTGACTACCTGCACTCAGTTTCATCAGTCCTGGGGGATCAGGCCCAGTGTTTTAACAGTCATAGTAGTAGTTTATAGCGTAAATGATGACTAATGAAATGAAGTTAGAAACAGTCACATGGGGCAATTGTTTGTCCTAGCAATTAAGACTCCCATTAAGATGCTCTCAGCCCATGTCAGCGTTACTGGGTTCAATACCTGACTCTGGCTGCTTACTTCAGCTTCCTGCTAGTGCAGACCATGAGAGGTGGCAGTGAGAACTCTATTAATTTGACTGTCTGCCAACCATAGGGGAGACCTGGATTGAGTTCCAGGCTCCAAACTTCAGCCTGGCCCAGCCCCAGCCATTGCAAGCATTTGGGGGAGTGAAACAACTGATGAAGAGCTTGCTTGGGCACTTTTTCTCTGTCTCTCCCTCCCCTCCCTCTTTCCCTTTCTTCCTCTCTCCCTCTCCGTGTGTGTGTGTGTGTGTGTGTGTGTATAAGAGTCTCTCTGCCTCTAGAATAAATAAAAATTTAAAAAGAAAGAGTCACATACTATATTCTTACTAAATAACCAGGGCAAACTGCACTGAGGTCACCAATGAGTGAGCTGAGATTACCAGAGAATGAGTATAAACGATAGGGTTCCTACCAGTAGTATTCCCCAAGTTTTATGTGTCTAAAGGGCAGGTACAAGGACATTTAGTTAAAAAAAAAAAAGTATAATTTAAGCCTTTTCTCTTGTGAAAACTTGGAAAGCATCCAGCTAAGTTAGATCTCTAATGATATTGAAGATTATAATTCCTGAACAATTCCAAGTCATACCACAAACACTAATTGCCAATGTGTGGCAGGTAGATGAGTAAAATTATCTGATATGTTCTTAACTTTAAGATACCAGAAAAAAGAATGCTTACAGATCCTCAGTGATTTAAAGATTGTGTGTGTGTGTGTGTGTGTGTGTGTGTGTGTTTTGACAGGTAGAGTTATAGACAGTGAGAGAGAGAGAGAGAGAGAGAGAGAGAGAGAGAAAGGTCTTCCTTCCGTTGGTTCACTCCCCAAATGGCCGGCGCTGCACCAATCAGGAGCCAGGTGCCTCTTTCTGGTCTCCCATGCGGGTGCAGGGCCCAAGCACTTGGGCCATCCTCCACTGCACTCCCGGGTCACAGCAGAGAGCTGGACTGGAAGAGGAACAAATGAGACTAGAACCCAGCCCCCATATGGGATACTGGTGCCACAGGCAGAGGATTAACCAAGTGAGCCACAGTGCCAGCCCTGATTGAGTGCTTTTGAAACAGTAAAACAAGGTAGAGAATTCTAAGTTTAAAATACACTAATGGGACAAATATTGTTGCACAGTGGGTAAAATATCTGCCTGCATCACCAGCATTTCATAGGAGCACCAATTGGAGACCCAGGTGCTCCGTTTCAGATCCAGCTGTCTTCTAACACACCTGGGCAAGCGGAGGATGGCCCATGTCTTTGGGCCTATGCACTCATGTGGGAGACCAGGAGGAAGCTCTTGGCTCCTGGCTTCAGCCTGGCACAGCCCCAGCTGTTGCAGCTGTTTGGAGAGTGAACCACCAGATGAAAGATCTCGCTTTCTCTTGTCTCTCTCTCTTTCTCTCTCTGTCTCTACCTCTCTCTGAAACTCTGCCTTTCAAATAAATAAAATAAATCTTTTAATAAAATACACTAGTTATTTTAATACTAGCCTTGTGTTCTCTTATGATTGAGAAAAGCCTGAGATAGTATGGTCAATTCTTCTTAAAAAGATGAAGAACTTGTTAGCACTTAGAAAATATATTATCTAGTAACTGTCTTAGTGGTTGTGGCTATCTATTTATCAAATTGATCCTTTGGAAAAGTCACAAAACTTGAATTTTTGACTACTTTTTAACGTGACTTTTTTCATTACATTTTCATTATACAGTTACATACTTGCATGAATTTTGTAACTGCCTTCTCTTCTGCAGATTTGCTGTTGTAAGTAAAGGGAAAAGGGACAGTTGTATTGCACAGTGCTGTTTGAGGTCCTTATTAGAGCAAAGAAAGGTACCTACTGGGACTGGACTAATGGTCTTGTTTATAAGGCATAATTACTTCCTAAAAGAGCTCTGTGGAGCAGGTGTTATGTGCATACTAAAGCTCAGAGTTGAACAAGCCCAAAGCCTGCTGTCAGTGAGCTAGTGGCACCTGAGTGAATGTGATCTGTATCATTGTGTGGCCTGTGCTCACCAGCTGCCCTCCAGCCTCTCTGCTAGGTTTGGGGATTGTAAGGGTGGTGGGCTGTGTACGGCCAGCTAAGTCATACAGTGTGCTCTGCCAAGGCAACCACAGGAACTTGAAAAATTCATTAAGTATATAGCAGACTAACTTTTGAGTTGATAATTTTGTATGGCCTGTGATGGGCATCGTAAATATACAATTGGCCCTTGGCAGACAAAAGGTTCCCACCCCTGCTGTGCTGCTCAGCAATAGCTGATGGAATTGAAGGAAGCTGGCTGACAGTGAACACCATGAGTTTGTAAAATTGCTATCATTTTTGTGGCAATGAAAGAAAAATTGATAGGAACAAGGGAATTTTCCAATTGAATGTACTATAAGTTAAAAGAAATCCATACCGTTAGTATCAGAAAATGCTTAAATGAGACTAGGCCCATGTCCATACCTGGAGAAAGCATTGTGATTGGTAAAATAGATGTTAATAATATGGTATATGCAGTTGCAGTAAATGTGATTTGCAAAGAATATTGAAATATTTTCCCCTCCTCTTGGCTTTTGTCAGCCCCCAAATCCCAACCTCTAAGTCTTAGAAGCCTGCAAGGTTCCTGTTCTCAGCTATGCTGAGACAGCTCATTCTGCCCCTACCTCTGTCGCTTGCCTTTACATGTGTAGGATTGGCACAACATTCCAAGGGCTGTTTTCATATCTGGGACACCAAAATTATTCAACAATTAGTTGGAGAAATTTCAAATTAATGTTTACAAGTTAAATAACTTCACCCAGGTTGTAGTTGTTGCAACATGATTTTCTTTATAAGATTTATTTGTTTCAAAGAATTAACAAAGAGGGAGGGAAAGACAGAGACATCTTCTATCTGCTGGTTCACTCCCCAGATGACTGCAATGGCTCGAGCAAGGCCTGGCCAAAACCAGGAGCCAGGAACTCTTTCCAGATCTCCTGTATGGTAGCAGGGGCCCAAACAATTGGGACATCTTCTTCAGCTTTTTCCAGGCCATTAGCAGGCAGCTGGGTTGGAAGTGGATTATCTGGGGCTGGAACCAGCACCCATATGGAATGCCAGCATTGCAGGCAGAGGCTTTGCCGGGTGCGCCACAATGCTGCCCCACAATGTGACTGAGTGTGTGAGCTGTTACAGATGTCTGGTGACTGAGAGTGTGAACATTTAAATGGCACACCTGGTCTCACATCAATAATTCTTTTAGAATAATGTAGTTTTAGCTGAATTTTCTTCCAAATAGACTTACTTAGCTGTTGAGTTACCTAAGCAAATAAAAGCCCCATGAATAGTGAGAATTTTGTTTGGATTATCTGCAAATGTCCATGTAATTCTACACTTGACTGTCACATCTAACCATATAACTTTTACTTACTATTTCACAACCAAAAAAAAAATCCACTGATGCTTGTTTCAGTAAGTATGAGGATAGGTACTTATCCTTGATTGGGATGAGATTTACTTCATGTTAGGGTTTTTTATGTTTGTGTGTGTGTGTGTGTGTTTGTGTGTGTTTTACTTTTGTAGGTGGGAGGGATTATGTAATCTGATGTTCCTTACTCTGTATTATTCTGGTCAATGGAATTTTATTTCTTGGTAATTACCATGAAAATTAGACTTCTCTGCAGAAAATCTCTTTCTTTATGGCTGAAGAATGTATCTTCTCTTTTGCTTTAGAACCCTCGGCCTCAGGAGAGTCGGACAGTATTCAGTGGCTCAGTCAGTATTCCATCTATCACCAAGTCCCGCCCTGAGCCGGGTCGTTCCATGAGTGCTAGTAGTGGCCTGTCAGCAAGTAAGTGGCCTGGGCTGCCTCCCTCCTGGTCCCCTGGGTGCCATGTTCTTCACCTGTGCATGCTCTGTGCCTGCAGAGCCTGCTGAGTAATGCCTAGTAGACATGAGTGCTTGGTTAAGAAACAGTCCTGGATTCTAGAGCACACAGTCCATTTGAGATACAGAAAAGATCACAAATCCTGTGACAATGAAGGAAATAACAGAGTGCAATAATGGAGAATAGCAATATGTAGCTGTTGGGGATAAATTCCTACTTAAAAATCAGATCCCTTCCTTAGAGGAGGGTGGCTATGATAGTGGTGAGGGAGTGACAAGAAATACAGTGGGAGAGGAATGTAAGGGTCAGATCATGGGACTTGGAGAGTAAGGTAAGACAGGACCTGCAGTACAGAGATTTCCTTAGAAGAGCTGAAGTGAAAATCTCCCATGGCTGTTGACAATATGGAAACTACTGGAGCTATCTTCGCATTCCTATCAAGGCCCTGAGTGAGGTAATCAAACTTGGCCTTTTTGAGATTCCTGGTTGTAAGGTATGAAAAAAGACCATCCCAGGAATTCCAGGTGTGGTTTGCTCTAGAAATGCCCCTTATTGGATCCAAGAATAGTCCCAGCTTGTTTAAGACATGTCTAGAAGAGTAGCAAGACAAGGAAAAAGGAGAATATATTGTCAGTGTTCACAGTAAAAAGCAAGGAATATTCCGCACCAAGACGCACCATGGCTTTGGGATATGAAGTCAAATTAAACAGTGATTTTCACCACCCCTATCCCAGTCCACTGGAGGATGGGCTTGCAGGGGAACCTCTTAGACCCTGTTAGCACACAAGGTTGCATGCCGTATCTCCAGAACCACCGCATGAGACTGTGGACTTAGTGAGACCACCATTCTGAGACTGTCATTTTCAAATTTTCCTTGGCCCCTTGTGCTGTTTCATCAAAACAGCCTGCCTTGTTTTTTTGTTTTGTTTTGTTTTATAAGATTGAAGTGATTGAATGTAACCTTCCTTTGAAAGGAGTAGAAACACGTCATAGGCCCCTTCACCAACCTCTGTCTTGCATTTTATTCCTTGTGTATTGAGTTTTCAGTTCCCACAAAGTCCTCATAAAGTAAAATGGTTTTCTACTTTTTTTAAAAAAAAGATTTATTTATTTTACTTGAAAGAGTTACAGAGAGGCAGAGAGAGAGAGAGAGAGGTCTTCTATCCACTGGTTCACCTCCCAGATGGCCACAACGGCTAGATCTAGGCAGATCAAAGCCAGGAGCTTTCTCTGGGTCTCCCACGTGGGTGCAGGGGCCCAAGGACTTGGGCCATCTTGCATTGCTTTCCCAGGCCTTAGCAGAGAGCGGGATCAGAAGTGGAACAGCCAGGACATGAACCGGCACCCATGTGGGATGCCAGCACTGCAGGCAGTGGCTTTACCTACTATGCCACAGTGCCGGCCCCAAAATTATTTTATATTTACCCATAAGTAAACTGAAACTCAGAAGGAAAAAAAAAATACTTGCTTAAGGACACACTGTTAATAGAAGAGCAACAGAAGTCTCTTGAAGTTTGGATTTTCTATTTAGAATGACAAAATTTTAAAATAACGTAATTTTTTGTTACCTGAGCACTCAACAAGACATTAACTTAGAAGGAAAATCAAATAAAAAATGACTTAGTTCTTCAATTAGGTTATATTCCAAGGAGACAGAAGAACCACATCAAAAAAGCAAAGAATACATTTCCGAAGAAACAAATCAATGAAAACCAGTGCTTGTCTAAAGAAAGCTCTATCTAGAAACTGGTTGGTAGGAGGTAGAATGTGGAGAGAGCAGATCTAAGGAGGGAGATTAAATTAGTGGTTCTCAACCCACCCAGGGTGCAGTCTTGCATCAACAGGAGAGCTTCTAAAAGTTAAGTCAAGAGCAAGTGTTTGGCACAGTGGTTGGGACACTCCTATCCCTTATAGGAGTACCTGGTTTAGAGCCCTGACTCCACTCTGCATCCTAGCTCCTGCTCAGATGCACACCCTGGGGTCTCTGCCACGCACACAGGGGATCCAGATCCAGATGGAGTTCCTGGCTCTTGGCTTCAGCCTTGCCTAGCCCTGGTGTTTCTGGGCATTTGGAGAGTACACCAGTGGATGGGAGATTATTTCTGTCTCTCCTTTTCAAATACAATAAATAACTAACTTTTAAAAATAATTAAACCAGAAATTCAGCTGTAATTGATCTGGGATAGGGCCTGGGCACTTTTCAGGCTATGTACTACTCAGTATACCCCCAACACTGCTGGCCTATGTAGTCAGTTTTGGTGTCAGGAAAATGCAAGCCTGTCTCTGACTCATACCCAGGAGCTTAGTCAAGAAGCAGGAAAGAACAGGGTTAAAGGGAAATTACCAAAGATGCTCTGCCAGGCAGGCTTAGGCTCAGTTCACTTACAATGGACATGTGTTTTAGTGGTCACTAGATCACTGTGATTTAAACAGCTGTTGATGTTTTCACTGAATTCGTAATATTTTTTAAAAATTGAGATGATTAAACCAATGGAAAGTTGAAACAATCACAGTCTGTGTTTTAGAGTTGTATGAGGGTACCTCACAAAGTTCATGGAAAAACAGAAAAGCACAAAAAATTTTAAAACACATGTATATGAAAGATCTTTATAAAAGGTTCATAGAAAATGCATGCTAGGAACAAATTATGCATAGGTTTCAAGATTTGCACCCCCAAAAAACATCTTTTAATTCAGTTTTCCATGAACTTTTAGAAGTATTCATGTACTGAAACTCAGCTGTCTTTTTTTTGACCAATGATTCTAATGTTGAAGTTTAGGAAGACTGAAGGATTTTTAAGGATTTTTATTAAAGAATAATAATGAATGCTAAGAGCTTTAAATAGGGGGCGCCAGTTCTGTCCCAGTTGCTCCTCTTCCAGTCCAGCTCTCTGCTGTGGCCCGGGAAGGCAGTGGAGGATGGCCCAAGTGCTTGGTTCCTGCACCTGCATGGGAGACCAGGAAGAAGCACCTGGCTCCTGGCTTCAGATCAGCCCAGCGCCAGCCGTAGCGGCCATTTGGGGAGGGAACCAACGGCAAAGGAAGACCTTTCTCTCTGTCTCTCTCCCTTACTGTCTAACTCTGCCTGTCAAAAAAAGAGAGAGAGAGAGAGAGAGTTTTAAATAGGTACTAATAATACCCCCAATATTTTCAAAGGTTTTTTTTTTTTCTTTCGGTGAATCCTGATGATCACCCTGTTATATACCCCAACTCTAAGATACAAATAGTGTATGAAAGTGCTTCTTTAGGTTTCCTGTGTTGTTTCTGAAAGTTCTCTAAAGGTGAAGTGACAGTGCTCTGTCAGGTGGCATGGTATCAGCCTGGAGAGGGCTTCCCCAGCTTCCTCTTGGAGCACATCTGCTTTGAGCTTGCCACATGCCCAACCCTGGGCCAGGCCCTGGAGAGGCAAGGACACCACATCTCTTAGGAGAATGGCAGGCACGTGTTTCTAAGCTGATTTCACAAGTTCTGTGAAAGACGTGAGCCCCTGAGGATGGCAAAAGCTTTTGAGACAGAACTGGGTGAGGGGAGACTAAACAGCATTCAGTGGGAATTATTAGCAAGCAAGGCATTTGAGCAGAGGACACCATCTGGAGGGTGTGGTCCACTCAGCAGAGTTCCTCATGGCTGGAGTACAACAAGAACAAGCGGGCAAGACTGCTGGACTAGGGGTTGAGGTTGCTAGATCCACTCTCTTTAGGGCAGTGTGACTCTGGGCCGTGGTGAGGATGGCGTGTCATCTCTGTAGTCGGGCACTTTCTGAAGGCCTGCCCTCTTCTACACACGGTGAAGTTTTGCCTGATTGTTGTACTGTAGGATCATCTGCTCAGAATGGCAGCGCATTAAAGAGGGAATTCTCTGGCGGAAGCTACAGTGCTAAGCGACAGCCCATGCCCTCTCCATCAGAGGGCTCTTTGTCTTCCGGAGGCATGGACCAAGGAAGTGACACCCCAGCGAGAGACTATGACGGAGAGGTGAGGGGAGCATGGGTAGCAAGGACACCTAGAGACAGGCTAGAGGTCAGCATGTATCAAAATGACCAGTGCTTTTACCCAAGTAATCCCACTACCTTGAGCTTATCCAGGGTGGGTGCCAGGGTGGGGTGGGGAGGTCCATATTTACTTGCCATTAGGGTGGCAGAGCCAGTTCTGCAATTTTCCCAGAGGTGTGCAAACTTCCAGTGGCTTTTGTGTGAAAACTGCATTTCTGGAGGCCAGGAGAAAGCACTCTAAGCACTTGTTAGGCCTTGTTCCTCTGAGCTTTCAAAAGGACCTTTATACTAGCAGTAAGTGAATCCCATCCTTTGGTCTCAGTGGCTGGTGGGGACCCATTGTGACCCCTTTTCTGTCTCTGCTTAATATTTCACTTTGGGCCTTACAGGACTCTGATTCTCCAAGGCATTCCACAGCTTCCAACAGTTCCAACCTGAGCAGCCCTCCAAGCCCGGTTTCACCCCGAAAGACGAAGAGCCTCTCCCTGGAGAGTACAGACCGTGGCAGCTGGGACCCGTGAGCTGCTGTAGCACTTGGACCAGGGTGGCTCTGGCTGCCAGCTCCTCTCCATTCGGCCCTTCTCTCACTTTTCATCTCTTCCCTCCACCTTGGCCTGAAGCCCGAAAACGACCAGGGGCTGGTGGCAACAGCAGGGTAGGGACTCTAAGAGTTCTGACAACACACCTCACAGATCCACACCCCCAACCTAACAGCAGCAACAAAGGCAGACTTCCTTTCATCAGCTTACATCAATATTGATTTCATTCCATTCACTTAGAGTTGCTTTCAGTAATATTTTACTCCTCCCCTAAAAGGTAGCTTAAATAGACAGATTACACAAGTGTAAGTGATAAGAATAAGATTAGACAGGTTCTGTTTCACAGTAGAGCCTCACTTTAGTCCTTAAACAACGCATGGATTCTCCGCGTCCAGAGGGGAGGACCAGCCCTGGAGCGGCCACTGAGCTCACTCAGCAACCGCAGTGAGTGCACCTGATTGTTGCCGGGAAGTCCTTATGAGTGAAAACAATGCATATTTTACTACAATAAAGAGTTTAAATAAATACATAAATGTAGAAGTTAAATACTGAATGTATATAGCAAAAGAAGCATCTTGTATTCAATGAAAGATGGGTGCATATATGAGAAAGAGATCATTAATTTAACAAATGTGTTGTTTCCTGTCTGTCTTCCAGCTTGGTCAGGTAGAGAGTAGAAGGGCCTCAGCTGACGTAGATAGAGGGAGAAGAGAGGACTCAGAGTCCCTTCGGTGCCCTGGTCTCGGCCCGTAGTATGTCACGGGTGCCTGGGGAGCCTGCAGGCTTGGGTTTTGCTGGTTTGCAGGGTGGCCCAGTCACCAGAGTTTGGACATTTGAAGCCACTTCAGCAGTGGCATCGAAAGGTAAACTCACCTCCTCTACCCAAGACATTTCTGTTTCTGGTGGTACAATTTGAACCACATGTCTCGTTTTTTATCACATTATGATATCTTCTGCGGGTGAATGTAGAAATATGATTCTGTCACCTTCTGATCCCTTATGTCTCAAAGTGTACAAAGATTTTCACAGCTTCTGAAGGCCCATTAAAGGTCATCAAAGTGCTTTTTTTCCTGGGCTAACCGTGTATCTCCTTAAGTTACAATGAGGTGTCCATCTAAGGACTGGAGACAGTTTCTCACAGAGCACTCTGTTGAGAGCACGTATGAGCTTTGCAGCTAAGCCTGGGAAAAAAGGGCTTTTGTTACCAAATAATGTAAAACCTCAAAAGCAAGGACTTGAACAGCCTTAACCAAATCTTCTTTACCATAGCCAGTGGAGAATGGATGTGAGTGACTCTAGTGCACAGGCAGGGAGTCAGCCGGGCATGGCCGTTGTGACTGGATTCTTCCTAGGTTGCTTTATTGTTATATTTCCATTTGAATTCCTGCTGTTTTAATTGCCATAAGGAAATGAGATGCAGAGCCAGAGTACTTATTTCTACAGTCATTTCACCAGTTAAACACATGAATAGAACAAGAAAAAATAAAATTTATCTCATGGAAGTAAAGAGAATCCGTCTCTTTTACTTTTCATCTAGTTTCCTTGAGAAATAGAAACCATGTTTTTGCCTCCTTCTTTAGAATGCAGCTAAAATGATAACAGTTCTGTATTTGTGTCCTGGGTTGCAGTGTTTGAGCCCTGTCATCTCACCACTGGTCCCTGGCATCCCTCACCCTTTTGTTAGCAAGCCTGCCGCAGGCTGAAGGACCTAAGTGCTTCCCTCAAGTTCCTGCTACTTCGTGGGGGTTACAGAGATCCAGAGAGGGACAAACGATCCTGTTGGAAGATATTGCAAGATATTCTAATAGAGAATTTTAAAGAACAGCTTTTACACTTTAGCATTCTGGATTTGGTGGTAGCTGGCTCAGATATGATTGCTTTATTTTGGATGAGCATAATACACTTCACACTTCTAATCTACTAAATCTTTCTCCTTTTGGAAAAGAAATGTCTTGTAAAAGTATTTATGTACATCCAAATATCAAGGGTTGAGCCTCAAGTTTGGCAATTGCTATATGACTCTGGAAGCTTCTTAAACTTGGCACTTTGAGAGCAGGGACTGAACGAGGCAGCCAGCATGTGGGGCGCTTGTGGCTATCTCCCCTCCCTCCTTCTCCTACACCTCTGGTCCTCTGTCTTTCCTTCTCCTTTCTCCCAGGCAGTGGGGGTCAGACTCAGGCCAAGAGTAACAGGACATCACATTAAGCCATCAGTTTGTGGCTTTGATGATCTAATGAATTTTTGTTGCCTGTGGTGCTTCTTGTTCAGACAGTGCTTTTCGAATTGAACTATAACCCTACTTACAGGTTAGGCTCTGGCGTAGTGAGTTGTTCTCAGCCTCTCAACAGGGCAGATGAGAGTGCCCCTGAAGGCTTGCTGTGGCTGCCAGGCTGATCAGGCAGCACATTCCTGTTCATCCCTGGGATCATCAACCCCAGCAGTCAACAGAGAGCAGTCCCAGGTGCGTTTAGACAGGGGGAGAAGCACTGCCAAGAAAATCATATGGAGGGAAGTTTTCCCAGGATAACAGTAGCCTGCTGGGCTTACGTCACCCTCAGGTAAGGGGACTGCTACTTTCAGAAGCTTCTGAGAAGCATGATTTGAAGAGATGGGGAATGGGTTGCAGGGAACCAGAAAATTAAAGGATCATTTCAAAGGGGTCACAGAAAAAGATCACAGAAGGGGTATTTTTATCAGTATCTGAAATCATGCTTTGTTTTCCTGCAGGGCATTAAAAAAAATGGGGGCGGGGGAGCAGCAGGGAATCATCTCTCAGTAGAAAGAAAAAGTACTCTCAGAGGCATTTCTGGCATGGTATGTCTGTGTCGCTATTTGGTGCTCTCGATGTCCAGCCACTTGGTTGTACACTCTTGAAATTGGACTGATCTTTTCATGTGCTTTGGGTGTATAAAATCTCACACACACACAAATGCATGCATGTCTTTTTGCCAAAAACAAGCCTTACTGTTTGTCAAGTGATGGCTAAAGCAGATTTCACTTCTTTAATTATTTTGTATACACACACACACACACGTAATTTATGTTCTCCAAGGGACACATCTGTAAGGTTATAAAATATAACTTAAAAGGGCCCATCAATTTGGTCTTCCAACAAGTTCTTGTTCACAGTCTACAGGAGAGAACCTGAATTTCTGTATCTTATTTCCTGGCTGGCTCTCACCCTCCCTCCTTCCCTATGGGTAGAATCATGTTGTTTTGCCATGAAGTGGCCACATCCATTACTGAGAAAAACTAGTTGTATTTGTGTGGAATCTCAGGTAGCACTGAAGAGCAAGGGTGAGTGGACATCCTAAACCACCAGAGGCCGCAGGATCCCTTGCCAGCCTTGGCAGTCATCACAAACACTGCCGTTGCCTGGCTGCGTGGGCGTGGCTGCGGCTTCCCACCACTGTCCAGTCAGAGGCTGCTCATGCTGCAGGTCAGATTTTGCCCGAGTACAGGTGCCCTGGCACAACAGGGACTTCACTGGGTGCCACACTTCCCCACCTCTCCCTGGGCCAGTCCCTGAATTAGATAAGCCATGTGGCATTTCACTGAGCCCATTTTAAAACCTCTCTCCTAGTTCCCGAGTTCTCTGTGAAGTCCAGCTAGATAAGGAGGGTCTTGCCCCAGCAGGAGTGCTGCTTCCCCGGGTGGGCCAGGTGGGTGCATCTTCCATCCCTGGGACTGACCAGGAGCAATCACAATTACAGAGGGGACTCACTACAACAAACCCGGAAATCTCTTAAAAATAAAATGACCTGCCTTTTTATTTGATAGTGTACTATCATTTATTTTATACATTTTTTAGGGTTTTTTCTCATTGTAATATTATTGTACAGTTTTGCATGGCCTAGGTGTAATCATTTTTTGTTTGGAATTTAATGCTGACAAATCTGTGTATGGAAGAGGTAAAAATACTGCTCTGGCCTCTTCATCACTCCTTATGTTGTTTGGTTTTATGCCCTTAATGTCTTAGAGAACTTAAGAGATTCTCTGCTACCAAACAATGATGTGGATTCTTTTGCACAGAAATATTTAAAGTGGGATAGTAAGAATGTAACAAGACTCCTCACCAATATTTTGTGTTGATATCCCTTAATATTAACCAGACTTTGATGTATTGCAATAAAACAGGGAACTATTAGACTTGAGTAGTTTGTCTTTCTTTCCCAGCGAAAAAGGCGATTGACTCTTGATGTCTGTTTGACTCTTTCTGCTGGTCCCCTCCTCATGCAGGTCGCTGCCCCACCACTGCAGGACACGGGCTTAGTTTGCCCGTGGTTTAATCTGTGACTGTTTCCTCGTAGCTCAGGTAAGAATAAAGTTAATTTCTCTTGAAGGTTTTGATTCCCTTCTTCTGGTCAAATATTGCCAGTTATTCACTCGCGCAGGCGGTTTCCTGCAGGGTCCTGACAGTATCAGTGTGGGAGCAGCTTGAAATTATTCTGCTTATTGCAGAGAATCAGCAGCCACTTAGAACAAGAGTTGGTGTTAGGTTTTTTTGTTGCCTTGGAATGGCATGGGCCAAGGTGAGAGAAGGGCTTAACAAGGGAATTCCTCAGCTTTGGCTGCAGATGATTCGTTACTCAGGGCCCCACTCCCCTCTCCATGGCCCATGTAATGGAGGGGCTTAGAATGTATGCTTGCTCTAGAGGTAGCAGCTGTACAGTGGTTTAGATTAGGGCTTGGAAAACGTGACAGTAACTCTCTGGCCTTAGGGGCCACATACAGTCTCTGGTGCGGCTGCTCCACTCTGCTGCTCTCATAGAGTCACAGACAGAAACATAAGGATGCCCAGGGCTGCATCTGGCCTGTGAAGCCTGGCTGGCCAGTACTCAGTGTAGACTAGACTCGGCCTGAGCTCTGAGACACACTGCCTTACCCGGATCCTGGTCCCAACACTTAAAACTGCCATCTAGCAAGCTGCGGACCCTCTAAGCCTCAGTCAGCCCCTCTATGAAATGCCCACTCTGAGTATCAGGAGTTAATACACAAAATGTTAATGTCTAGCCTCTACTTTGTCATTACTGACCCCCAAAACCTATAGTAACAAATACTCTGGTCTGTGCTGTAATGTGTCCAGCTCTTCTAGCTGTTAGAGACACAAAAACACAGGCCCTGGACAAGCATTTTTTTCTGGCCACGTTTCAACTTTTGAGTGGGTGACATGATAGTGTGAAAGTCAAAATTGGCACAAAAGAAAGTGTGATCAGTTAAGTTTCAGAGCAGACTGAACTCTGGGACCAGAACAGTTAATAATCCACAGTGATCTCCTCAATAAGGAGTCCTTTCTGTTTTGTTTTTTAAGCCGGCTCTCAGACTTAGGGCAACAGGGCTGTGGTTTGCACACCCTTGGAGAAGTCCTCTTGTCCAAACACTTGTGGTTTGGGGAAAGCAAATACTTGCTGTTCTTTATTTTTTCCCTTCCCTTCCCTTCCTGCTGCTACATTTGTTTGGGCTGAGAGGAAGAGGCTGTGAGAGCCCGAGTGCAGCTGGCAAGGCTCTGCCCCTACGTGTACGCTGCAGGAGCACAGGGCTGGACAGGTGGTGCTGGGTGCCAGTGCAGACTGCCCAGACCTCCACATCCTGCCTGCTACTCAGCAGTCCCAAACTTGAGAAAGTTGACTTTCTATGAACCCTTATTAGCATGCACGTGAGGACCTATTTGGGGGCACTGTGTGCAAGTGCACTTTCCAGGTGCTCAGAGGTCTGTGGGAAGGGCCTAAGGACACTTCAGGAAGTGTTGCTTTAGCGGCAGCTCATCTTAAAAGTGGCTGACCCTGCTGCCAGGTATCACTGTGTAGACTGCTTCAGCAGGGAACATGGGGAGGATGGGGGAGCATTCCCTTCATCCCCTCCTCTCTCAGGCTGAATGTAGCTTTCTTCCAGGTTCAGGTCCCGAGGACCTCATGCTGGGAACAGGCACAAACCTTGCAGAGGCATCAAAGGTGGAACAGCTGTGATGCGGACCCTCGGGTCTGAGACCCCTTCACGGGGAAGAGTGACCACCAGGTTAGAAAGCAATGGGTCATCACCATTCTTCAGAATCCTTAAGGACACAGAAAACAGTGCAATCACTAAAGCACTTCTCAGAGGCACTTTTTTTTATTGAACAGAAACATGTAAATTAGGGAATTACAAGACTTATACAAAAACCCAGAGCCTGTGCTGACCCTCCTGTGCATCTCCTCCCAGAGACCCTGGAGGGGAGGCCAGGCAGGGAGGGATCTCCTCACCACATCACCTCCCAGCAGCAGGTCAGAGCTGTGTCTCACCGCCCCTTGCCTTCCTCTCACGATGTGGCAGGTGTCCTGGACGGCTTCAGTTTTCCAGGGTTAACTCCCAGCAGGCCTGGCTTTTCTGTGGTCAAGCAGTAGTACTGCTGGCACTAATCAGATTAGCTCCTCTGCCAGTTCCAGACCACACAGGCTGGAGAGGAAAAGGGCAGAAAACAAATCCATTCTGAAAACACACACACACAGACCTCAGACTGCAAGGTCGATAAAATCCAAAAAGGCTTCTTGGGGTTTTCTTTTTTGGTGTGTGGTTTTGGTGGCAGGGATGTGGGGGGAGGCAGTACTCTGACTCCTGGTTAACATTCACTTTAGGAAAAAGAAGAAAATAAAATTGCCTTCTTACCTAGAGTTCAGAGGACAAAAAAAAAAAAAAAAAAAACACGCAGGTTTTGACATAGTGGGAATTCATTATCATTCTTGTACTTCTTTGTACTTCTTACCCTACACACATTTAGCAGTGAAAACCGTGTACATCGCTGGCACTGGGGGCTTCAGGAAGCCTCCCTTTCTCGCTGGGCAGAGGGGTCTGAAGGGAGCATCTGCGCCACCTGCTGCTAGTGTTAAGCTTCGCGCAGGAAAGCCCCACCGCCAGATGCTACTGCTGCTCAGCCTTCCTCCTGCAGTAGTTGCCATAGGCCTCCTCAAACATGGCTTTGCAGGGGAAGCGGGCCTTCAGCTTGGAGCAGATGAGGAAGGAGCCGCCCATCTTCCTGTGCAGGGAGTAGGTCTCCTCTGGGGGTGGGATGAGACGGTGCTTCAGCATAACAGGAATCAGGTTGTGAATCTTCTCGGTGGTGCTCTGGGTGCCAAAATCAAAGGGCTCATCCGAGGCAAAGGCCTCCCCCAGGATGAGAATGGCATCCAAGTGGGCATCTTCCATGGCCTTGAGAGAAGAGAGCAAGTGGGTGAACGGCAGCCCTGGGGTTCCTACCAGTGCCCTAAGCACTGAGTTCTCACTAAAAGCTCTGCTGAGCAGTCTACAGGGATGTCAGGGTGAGTGTTTAGATCCAATAGTGGTTCATAGGAACATAGAAAATAACAAATGTTAACTGGGCTTTATAGAAGACCAAAGGGCATGTTAGGGCCTATGGCAGGTGGCAGGCAAGAGCCCTGCTTAGGCTCTCAAAGTTTTCACAAAACACTCTTCTGGCCCAAAAGAAGAGAACGTGAGGACCCTGGTCTCAGCCATCCTGCCCGACTCAGCCCAGGACCATCCGCTGGAGACGGGGCAGGGCTCAAGGCCTTGTGCCTACCCATAAAGAACGTGAGATGTAAGGAGAGACAGCAAGAGGAGCAAGTCTACTGCAGACCGCCCAGGGTCAGGGGTGCTAGGTGAGAGCCAGAAATCAAGGCAAGCTTCACAGAGGAAGTGGCCATAATGAAGTGGGAGCTTCTGTTTCCCAAGGGCTTCCGAGGTAAGTACCACTGGCTGCACTTGACAGGTAATAGGTTGCAGCTCAAAGGTAATAACTAGCCTGAGGTCACACTCCTACACTGGGGGTGGGCCCACCTCACCCAGACCACCTTGACAGATCGCTCTCCTGGGTGCTTCCTGAGCGCTTCTGGTGACAGGAAGAAAGACCATGCCTCCTTCTCCCAAGTCAGCTATGATCCCGCCCTCCTGTCCTGAGTGAGCCTTAGGACAGAGGGGACTGGGCTTTCCCCGTCCATCTGCCCTCACCAGAGCTCTGCCCTCCAGCCAGAACAAACCCACGGGGAGGGAGAAACAAGCTTCCCAACGAGGCCTAGCGTCCCCGACTCGCCTGACCAGGGCCCAGCTTTCCAAGGAGCTGTGCCCAGGAGAAGCCACACTCTAGGGAGCCCTCGCCAGGGCTTCATCTGCACACTGAGCTCTTAGATCACTAAGATCACTTAGAACACTAGAACCTGAAGTGTTCAGGAGGCCACTCACCTTGACCTCGTAGCCAGTGAGGAACTTCATCTCGATGGATTTCCTGAGCACAGCCTCTCTGTCCCTGTCCGCAGCAGCCCTGATGATCTGGGCGGGGGCACAGGGGGCACGGGGGCACAGGTTCCAGTCAGGTTCCTCCAGAGTCCCCCAGCATCCTGTCCCCGCCTCAGAAACACATTTGCCAGGGCCAAGCCACCCTCTAGACCTCACCTGAATGTAGATGTCAGTGAAGGACCTGTCGTATTCTCTGGTCGCCCCAAAGTCCAGAAGAGCCACCTGGTGGGGGAGACACCAGGAGGGGGATGGATGCACAGAGCAGGGTAACATCTCCAGGGTCCAGGAGCCCCCTTACCTCCCAAGCTCAGGGGCAGTCAGGAGGCTCACGGGTCCTGTTCCAGTGCAGCTCTCGGGCCCCAGTGTCCCACCCAGAGCCTTACCTTGTGCTGCTGAGGGTCATAGAAGAAGTTGGACCAGTTGGGGTCTGTCTGCATGAAGTGGAACTCAAACAGCTCCCTCAGGCACAGAACCAGGATGTTGTAGCAGATCTGGGGACAGGGCGGCGGCCTGCGTCAGGCAGCACCAGCAGGCTGCCTGGCAACCTGGGAGTCTGGGGCTAGAGAACTCCCTGACCCCCATCTTCACCCCCCAACACTCCACCTTCTTCCCAGCTGGCTGATTTCCAGTGCCACACCTGTGGCTGGGAAATCAGCAGCCACCCTCCTATCCACCTACCAGGGTGCCTCAGGGCTCCACAGCGGGGACCCCAACCCTGGCTGCTGTCACATACCTCGTTCCGAATCTCCTGACTCAGTCCTTCAGCCTGGTCCAGGGGGAAGCCGGACACCAGCTCTGTGGTCAGCACGTGGGGGCTGCAGAGCTCGTCCACGATCTCAGGCACGTAGAAGAAAGGGTGGTCCTTCAGCAGCTCCCTGGGCAGGGTCAGGGGTCACATCCTGGCCACAGACCCTCACAGCCTTCCCTTCAGGGCCACCCACCGGGCAGAGGCCCCTACTGGGGAGGGTGTGGCTGTGAGTCCAGACTAGACCAGGGCTCCAGGGGCTGTCCCTTCTGCCTCTGGGGGGAGCTAGGCCAGAGGCCGGGCTAGGAGCCACACCTGAACTTCCTGGCGCAGGCCGCCTCCCGCTCGTAGTCACACTCCAGGGCCAGCTCCCGGCGCAGCACATCTATCAGGTGCTCAGGGAACAGGCCTGGCCGAGGCAGAAGGGGGTGTCAGAGTGGGCCAGGGGCTCTGCAGTGAGGCCCCTTCTGGTCCCCAGGGCCTATCTTAAGCCCCAACTCCTGCCCTCAACCCTCAGGCTGGCCTCAGACCTTCCGGAAGCATGTTGCTCATGTTTAGCACAGTCATGAGGTTGTTGACATCGCTGTTGATGCTCTGGGCCACGCCAGGGTACTGTGGGGGTGGGGACTGGAGGTTAGCTCAGGGTGTCACTGTTCCCATGGCTGTTACCTTCTCGCTGTGTCCTAGCCAGACCCTCACCCTGGGCGATTCAGAGCTGAGACCCAGTGCCGCTGCTGTGATCTACCCAGAAGGACCAAGGGCAGCCACCCGTTGACAGCAACCCTCTCCACACACTCCTGATTACTGATTAACAAACAGGGCAGCAGCCACTGCTGGCCAGGTCCCTGCTCCAGGAGAGGGGGCCATGGGAGTGGAGGGGGCTCGAGCTCTGCTCCCTGCAGCCCACCCCCCAGGCACCTACTTGGATCTTCATGGCCACCTCTCGGCCACCCTTCATGCGGGCCAGGTGCACCTGCCCGATGGAGGCTGCTGCAAAGGGCCGCTCCTCAAAGTACTCCAGCTTGTCCCGCCAGTTGGGGCCCAGGTCATTGTTCAGAGTTTTCTGGAAGGAGAGGCCAGAAAGGAGCTGTGAGCACAGCCTCGCCACCTGCCGATACCCCAGCAGGCACCCCCCAGTCTGTCCCCTCCGACACAGCAGGGGAACGGGGAGCCCAAGGCCCTCAGGCCACGCACCGTCATCTGTTTCAGCGGCATGAAGTCGGCACTCTGCCGCACACGCTCAAAGATCTTGGCCAGGTGGGGATTGATGAAGGCGTCATCTGGAAGGCAGGAGAGAAGTCAGCGGAGGGGGCTGGTCCTGAGGGAAGCCCCCAGCAGCCACCCCACCCCCAGCCCCTGCAGCCTCAGCACAGGGGGGAGCTGCTGCTTCACCTCACAACTGGGCTGTGGTTCAGAGACTACAAGCAAATGGCTCACACCACACAGCAGGCCCGGCCTGGGTGCTCCTCACTCCCACATGGAACCCAGGGCCCTGAGGCTGTGGACCAGAGCTCCTAGTTGGCCATGCGGACCCACGCATGTGCCGGCTCCTGGGGCAGGCACTGTGGCCAACAACTCGATCTAGACACCCTTGCATGGGTCCATGCCAGCCACCCCAACAGGAACACTGTAAGGGAAGATGGGTGGCCACAGCAGGACCCCAACACCGGGAAGCATCACAACTGCGGCACAGCCAGCAGCCCTGGGTTCAGCCCAGGGGCTCAGAAAGAGGGTTCACACAAGCATATACGGTACTGAGAATTGTAAAAGGAACAGAAAATGTTAAATTACCCATAATGCAGCCCACTCCAGAGACCATTATTTTCTTGCTGACGTTTTGCTGTGCGTTTTCCCCAGCTGCAGTCTTGACTGTCCAGAAGTTGCCTGGGCTGCTCAGGCAGTGTTCTCTCAACGTTTCTCACGTGCTTATTGGTTAACGAGTTTGCCTATTTTTCTTGAGACAACTCTGCTAACAGTAGCCTAACATGGCTCACGCCAAGTTCCCTGACCGTCCCACCCTGCCGCTGCTCGCTTCACCCTCAGGAGGCCCCAAAGCTGAGACTCCAGGGGCATGGAGCACGCCCTGGCCATTGCAGCCATTTGGGGAGTGAACCAGCAGGTGGAAGATCTCTCTCTGCCTCTGTGACTCTCTAACTCTGCCTCTCAAAACAAATAATGTTTAAAAAATCTCCATGCAGTCCAGTCTCCCGGGCCCAGGCTAAGCAAGAGGAGTCTGTGGCCAGAAACTGCCCTCCTGCCCGCCCCACATCCTGCTCACGGGCAGAGTGCTGTGTCCTTCCCTGCCCGCCCAGGCAGCCCCGCCGCCACTCACCCTGGATGCTCAGCATCTGGCCCAGCTTGAGCGCCGCTCCGCGCACCTTGCACAGCGTGCTCACGATGCGCTCTGCATTCGCCTCCGACAGGAAAGGGCTCGAGTCCAGCACAGCCTTCTTTCCTGGGGGGGGGGGGGGGACCACGACACTCATGGGGGGCTCTGGGAGTGCCCTGCTGACAGACCCAGCCCTGAGCCAGTTTCCTCCTGGACGTCCCCAGGCCCAGCGATGGAATTTTTTTATTTTTTATTTTTTTATTTATTTTTTTTTTTGACAGGCAGAGTGGACAGTGAGAGAGAGAGACAGAGAGAAAGGTCTTCCTTTGCCGTTGGTTCACCCTCCAATGGCCGCCGCGGCCGGCGCGCTGCGGCTGGCGCACCGCGCTGATCCGATGGCAGGAGCCAGGAGCCAGGTGCTTCTCCTGGTCTCCCATGGGGTGCAGGGCCCAAGCACCTGGGCCATCCTCCACTGCACTCCCTGGCCACAGCAGAGAGCTGGCCTGGAAGAGGAGCAACTGGGACAGAATCTGGCGCCCCGACCGGGACTAGAACCCGGTGTGCCGGCGCCGCAAGGCGGAGGATTAGCCTAGTGAGCCGCGGCGCCGGCCCCCAGCGATGGAATTTTAGCTCCATGCCCCACATCTACCTCCCCAGTGCCTATGAAATCAACCAGAGCCACGCAGGCCTTACTCCAGCATCTTTCTAGTGAACACACAGGCTCAGTCTTGGCGATGGGGAAGCCAGGAAGGAGCATGGTCAGTTGGAGGTGGGGGCAGCACTGGGCTGGAGGTCAGCACCCAGCTCCGCCCTGCACCCCTCCTGCTGTACTGTGCGTTCTCCACATGGGGCAGCTTTCTGCAGTGACAGCCCCATCCTCAAGGGACCTGCCTCCCTTGCTATTCAGATCTCAAGGGTGCCGTGACCTCTGTCCAGTCAGCAGGGGTGGCAGGTGCAGGGGAATGAGTCCAAGGAGCCACAGGAGGCCAGCTGAGTCCAGCCACCAGCAGCAGTGTGGCCATGGAGAGTCGGGCCCCTCTGGCTTCAGGCCCCCTGCCCCAACCATCAGCTCAGCCCTGCCTAAATAAATATTGGGTCTACCACTGTCTAGAGGTGGGGGGCTGGGACCCCAGGCCCCTCTGCTTTCCCAGAGCATTCAGCACTCTTCGCTGGGTCTCCTGCCCCTGGGCCCTGTGCATCTGCTTAGCTCAGAAGGCCCCACACGTTGCTGGGGCTTCCTCCCCAAGGCCCTCCCTGGGACCTGGTGCCTTGGTCAGCTTGCATCACCACAGGCCTGCTCAGCAAAGGGACAGGAGAGGTGGCCATGGCCGGCCTGGCTCCTTCCTACTGGCACAGTGGGCTGCCGGGGAATGAGAGGCCTCGGAAGGAACCAGCCATCTGCTGGCTCCCAGAGGCAGGAACACGGGAAGGGAAGAGGCTCACTCCCAGTCTCAGCAGCAGGACAAGGTCTGGAGCAGAAGGGGCACTGGGTTCGATTTTCGCTCCACAGTAAAAAGCTGGGCCACCCGTAAGTCAGGCCCAGAAGAGGCCCAGGCCCTTGCCGTGGACTGCAGCAGAGGGCAGGGCTGAGGCAAAGGCAGCCCCTTAGTATCCCCTCTGCCCTCCCCAGCCCCTGGGGTCCTTGGTCTGAGTCCCTGGAGGCAGGAAAAGCAAAGGAGTCTAAGGGAGAAGGCCAGTGCCTCAGGCCCATGGGGGCGAATTTCCTGACAACACCCAGACCAAGCGGGGATAATCTAGCGCCTGAGACCTGGGGACAGCACCCAGCCCAGTCTGGGTTTTCCCAGGCAGCCCCTCCCCCTGCCACAGGCATGGCTGGTTGTCTGAGCATGGCCCAGGGGAGGCAGTGGCAGGGCCCAGCAGGCTGGTTAGCACCCTCCAGGCCAGTGGTGCCAGGAAGCTGCAGCACAGCAGGGGGCCACCCAGGACCCCTGTATCTCCAGCCCAGTCACCACTGTCCTTGTCCTCGACAAAGGACACCATCTGTGACCTTGGAGCCCGTCTGGCCTCTGCCAGCTGGGGCCAGGCTATGATGGGCAGTCTGGCTCTGGCTTCTCTCGGAAGAAACCCTGGCTCCACCTCCCCGTGTTTCAGCACTGCCACTAAAAATACCCTGGCTAAATCTGTCCTCCTCCCAGGACAGACACGGTGCCCCGGGCCCAGTCCCGAGCGGCCGGGGGGCGGTGCCCTGCCCTCCAGGAGGAAGCAGCTCATGAGCCAAGGGGGAGGGGGCTGTCCTCGCAGTGTAGTAGGTGGTGGGCGACACGGTGGAGGACTGCGAGATGACCTGAGCAAAGGTGCCCCCCCAGAACCACAACTGCACTTTGGACAGCCCAGCAGGCAGACATGGTCTCTCTCCAGGCTGTGCTCAGCCCCGGGTCCCACTGAGTGACTTCTCACCTCCCCACACTCCTCCCATACCTGGAGAAGTCTGGGGAGGGGACCCAGAACAGTAGCCTTGTGGGTGTGAGGCCGCTGGAGCCTGGGCTGTACCCCCGGTCACCATCATGACCCCAGCATTTCACTGTGGCCAGCGAGCCGGGCCCACAGCAGCCACCCAGAATCATATCCCAGTAAGCACCTGCGCCTGGCCTCAGGCCTGCCCCCAGGAGGCAGAGCAGCTGAGATCCTTGTCACACAGGGAGGGCCCCTGCCAAGGATCCAGCCTACTGAAGCCACGAAGTCGGCGAACACAGGGTGCCCACGTCCAGCACACACAGATGCAGGCAGAGCCTCAGCCAGACGGACCAACAGGCCCCCGCGACTCCTGGCCGGCAGGGCCAGAAGTGGGAGTGAGGCTAGGTCCTGGAGCTGGGCACAGGAGGGCAGGGGGAGCCCAGAGTGGGTGGGGAGACCATGCAGGGCTGGAACCCTCCAAAATGGGTAAATCTGTCTGAGAATGGCCTCGCGGCCCACGGGGGCCTTGTGCACAGATCTCACGCCGGGGAGCTGCTGGCGGTGGGACCTCCCCACGGCCTCCCATGCCCCTCCCAGCCAATGGCCCCAGCTCACCTGTGGGGTCCTCAGGACGCAGGCTCTTCTTGGCGACTTCGGCCAGGGCCCCAAAGCCCAGCCCCACAGCCAGACCTGCAAGGGGGAGGGAGCCACTCAGCGTTCCCATGGGACTCTCAAGGCCTCCACGCCAGGATTTTTAAAAGGGGGTGGGGGTAAGGTGCTTGGCTCTGGATGGGTGTTTCCCGTGAAAAAGCTTCACACCCCCTACCACCACCACCATTCCCGCTGAAAACCCTCAGGCTCAGAGGCACGCAAACGCCCTCCACAAAGTAACGGGCACTGGGTAACACATTGGGAAGGACCCAGCAGACAGGAAGGTGGCCCAGGGACGGTCTGCGGGCCGAGGACACCCTGGAGACATAGGGCACCCACCATCTGCGTGATGAGAATCATTGCAACATACTGTCTGGCTTTCGGGCCACGGCGCGCTGCTTGGGGAACATACAGCAACGCAGAGCAGTTGCTGTGGACTTGGGACCTTTTGCAGAAGTTGAAGATCAGGTGTCCCCAAGCCAAGCCAGCTCAGGCTGCAGCCTCACGGTGAGTGGAGGACCCTCCCTAGCCTGAGGACCCTGAGGACTACCCCCTCACAATCTTGTGAGTTAACTTCATTAACATCTCTGGATGGCCCCAGCAGCTGAGAAGAGCCCAGCGGGAAGGCCCAGCCCACACGGGAAGCACAGCACCCTCCCCAGGGCCCACCTCCTCTGACCCCCAGCCAGTGCGAGCGGCTTCCAGGCAGACACTCTCGAGCAGGGACCTGAGGGTCTGGCAGGCAGGATGGGAGACACCGCAGGCAGGCCAGGAACGCAGCGCCACCCGCTCAGGCCACACTGGGCACTGTTCCAGAGGCTAGCGTACCCACACCTGTTCTCAGATGTCCCAGATTTCTACATTAATTATGTATTATTTCGGTGAAAATAGTGAACATATTGAAAAATGTTTGGACAATAAATTTTAAAAATCAAAGGAAGGTAACTTAATTTTATTACATGATTTTGGGGGAGGCACAGCAGTTGGGTTGTCAGGATGGCAGCACTCCCATATCAGAGTGCTAGGTTTGAGTCCTGGCTCCTCTACTTCTGGCCCAACTCTGTGCTAATGCATGCAGAGAGGCAGGTGATGGCTCAAGTACTCGGGCCTCTTTCACCCACATGGGAGACCCGGATGGACTTCTAGGCTCCTGGCTTCTGCCTGGCCCAGTCCTGGATGTTGCAGCCATTTGGGGAGTGAAGCTGTGGATGCAAGTGCGTGCTCACACATATACATACACATACACACACACACACACACACCCCACACACACCACACACACACACTCTGCTTTTTAAATAAAATGAAAATGAATATATAAAAATTTTTAAAGATCTTTTTGCAATACATCTTATATACCACTAGGGGGCAATACAACTTCCACGTCACCAGCTGCAACAGCCTGGGGAAGTGGCAAATCAAACACATAATTTTCTAGTAGACCCTTTAATAAAAGGCAAGAAGTAACCTGTAAGACAAACCCTTAATAATATACTTTATTTACCTCAATGTATCCAAATCTTTTCATTTCTACAAATCATCAATATAAAACTATGAGAGACATCTTCCGGATTTGCACGCGTGCACCAAGTCTTCAAACCTGCAGTATGTACTGAGTGCCCAGGGCACACCACGTTTTGGACAAGCCACACTTCAAGTGCTCAGTGTGGCTGTTGATCTTGGGGTGTCCAGCACGGGGCAGAATAAGCCAAGCCCTGGCAATCACACAAAGAAGCCATAGTTATCTGGCAACAGCCCTTCGGAGTGACCGCATCAAGGACATTTAGGTGTTACAGAATGAAAGTGCCTGGCAGGCACACTCGCTGTGTCTTCTCCCTGACCACTGTCCTCCTGCAGCTCTGGAGGGCACTGGCCACAGAGCTGGGAGCCAGTCTCTGGTTAAACTTTAACTGCCTGCTGCTCGCCCACCTCCACCCCAGCCGGCACACTAACTGACTGAAAGCAACAACAGCAATGGTAACCTTCACACTGGAGTGACCTTCCCTGCTGTCTGTCTGCATCTCGATCAGAGACAAGCCTGCCAGAGGGACACCGCGCCACAGGCTCCCTGGCCTGTGGTTAGGAGCAGGTGCACAGCTGGGGGATGGCCAGTCTGAGCCTCTCTCCATCTCCTACAGAGGTGTGCCCCTTGATATGGGATGAGCAGGCAGCCAGACAGGTCTGCTGAGCTGGAAGTCACAAGCCCCCATACAGCTCGATCCTCCTCCTTGTCCATCAAAACACTCCCTTTCCCCGGATGCATCTGCTTCATTTGGGACCTAAGGTGAGGAAGGGGGGGAGGGAACGCCATGAAATTTGGATGTTGAGCTCCATATGGAGCCTGTGGAAGTACCATGTAATTCCCAGATGGCTTCGTGCCCAGCGAGACACCTCCCCCAACCTCATCCAGGAGGCCAGCAGGTGGGAGGGAGTCTTCCACCCAGACCACAGGGGTGGAGCCGCTGCCTTGGTGCTATGCCCCCTCCTCCTCTTGGGCAATCTTCTGACCCGCCTGCCCACTCCTGGTGGGCATTCGTCAGGGGGTGGGGGCAACCCATGGAAGTGTGTTCACTTCCTAACCTCTTGAGTAAAGTGTGCTCTCACTCTGCACCTTCCACACGTCTGCACTCAGCATGCTTGCCTGGCTGTAAGACAAGAGCGTGGAGCAAACATGAATACACCCAAGCCCGCATCACCCCCACGCCCACATCAGCACCCTGCTAGATCCCTGTCAGACGGCTCCTTGGGCCTTTCCAGATTCCAGGCAGAGCCAGAGTTCTTCCCTGGCAAGGACCTGCCATTACACCAATCGCCCGAGCAACATTCCACAGAGGGCCTCCGGCTCCTTCTGTAGCCCTACACGTCCCGCAGGACCAGCCCAGCGCCAAGCTGAGGTGCTACCAACTGCCGGACAGACAAGCTTTCCAAGACTGGCAGCCCAGGCCCAGTCAACCAGTGCCCGACCTTGGCCTCCCAAGGTCACTATTGCTGCTCCAGTGACCACAGAATAAGCGCCTCCCCCTCCTCTGCTGCGGGCTCTGGCTTAATATGGCTCTTAGAATCCCCAGCCAGGCTCTTCCTTCGCTTACACCCAAGGGGTATATCTGGAGACAACTCCAGGAAGATGGGCACCTCAACATGGGATTCCCCAGGCCCTTGTGGGGACCCCTAGCCCAGCACCCAGGCTCACCTAACACCCTTGCCCTGTGACAGGCCCCACCTCAACCACCACTCAGCCTTCAGGCCGGGGCATGCCTCTCCCTCCTCTGATCCTGGTTCTAAGAGACCCCTTGGGGCTGGCACTGCGGCACAGTGGGTTAAGCCGCTGCCTGTGACACCGGCATCCTCTATGAGCTGTGGCTCACGTCCTGACAGCTCCACATTCAATTCAGCTCCCTGCTAATGTGCCTGGGAAAACAGCCAAACATGGCCAAAGCACTTGGACCACTGCCATGTGGGAGACCCCGATGGAGTTTCTGGTTCCTGGATTTGGTCAGGCCCAGCACCAGCCATTGCTGCCATTTAGGGAGTGAACCAGCAGATGGCTCTGCCATCCAAAATAAATAAATAAGAGACCTCCTGGCCTAGCCAACCCAATCCCAGAAAGTTCCTGACCATTCTCTCTCATGGGTAGGTTTTGTAATTCAGGAAGGAGAAGGGGCAGTGGTAGGAAGAAGGGCTCTGCCCCAGCAGGAGGATCCTGGACCAGGCTCCCAGGCAGTGGGTCTCCTCCATGTGACTTCGGAGAACCCAGATCCACCAGTCAGGCCCCTTCTTCCCTGAAGTCTCAGAGGCAAACAAGGCCCTCCCTCCGATGCGGCCTAGGGGGCAGCTAGGTAGGTGTGATGAGCTAGAGGTCCCCGCACGCCACCACCCCTGCCCCACATGTAAGTCTAATCTACTTGTCGATCAAAACACTCCCCTTTCCAGGATGCATCTGCTTCATCTGGGACCTGGGGGAAAGACACCATGAAATTATGGATTTTGAGTTCCACATAGAACTTGCGGAAGTGCCATGTATGTAATCCCCAGGTGGCTTTAAGCCTTGGGAGAGCCACTGCCCTGGGCTCATAAAGGAGACCAACAACTAGGAGGGGTCGCGCGTGCTCGCTCTCTCTCTCTCTCTGGCTGCAGACCACAGCTGGAGGAGAGCCAGGTGCTCTGTCTACTCTCTGCTTCCCATCTCCCACCTCTCTCCTTTTGGGCAAATCTAGCCCACTGTCCACTCATGATAGGTATTTCTCTGTGTGGAGTAATCTTGTGTGTGTGTGTGTGTGTATGTGTGTGTGTATGTGTGTGTGTTTGCTTTCTCTTGAATAAAATCTGCCTTATATAGGTCAGCACCTTAGATTCTTGCATGACAAGAGCCTACAGTAAAAAGAATTAGTATATCTGCCTCCCTCCAACACTGAGCAGCCTCTGGGCTTCCATCTGGACAGACAGCAGAGGTTAAAAAAAGAGCGAAACATAAAATGTCTTCCAACAAACGGGGCCCTTCCCAAGCAGGCTGGGTGGAAAGCGCCTAAGGGCAGGTGCAAGAAGTCAATGTTCCTCCTGGCTCTGCCTTTACCTGGCAGGAACTGTAGTGTTTACAGAGCAAGGCTCAAGGGCGCTCTGTGCAGCAGCACAGGGCGGAGACAGACAGTATCTAGGAACCACCACACCACCGCCGCTGCCACCGCCGGCACTCACTGTGTGCCAGGCACCGGCCCAAGCCCCACTTTCACAAACACATCCAACAACTTCTCTGGTCTGAGAGGGCAAGAAACTCCACACGGAACAGGCAGCAGGACAGGGATCGTCCCACTGCTTCAGGGGGTTCCTAACTCCCCAGGAATCCAGCCGACTTCACTGTCATCACCTGGCACCTCCGATGGCTCCCAGCCCCAGAAGAGGCGTGGGGAGGTGGCTACAGCACAGGTGGAGGGGGAACAGGAAGGAGCATGGAGGAAGCCCCCAGGCTTGTTCTCTCAGGTTCTCAGCATCTGCCTCTCTGTCCCCAGAATGGGCCCAGGGCTCTGCAGATAGACCTGACCCAGGCCTCCTGCTGGCTGCAGGCAGAGGGGCCCAATTAGAGTGGCCAATCAGGCCCGGATGCTGCATGCAGGCCACAGGCCTGGCTCTGGTCCCAGGGCTGTCACAATAAGCACAGGGCCCTCTCTGGACGACAGGCCAGCTTCCTGGCTCATCTTCCTTATCTGAGGCTGGAGAGAACGACACAGATCTTTCCAGAGGGCCAGGCATCCACAGGCCCCCTCGCAGGAAGCTCCCTAGAGAGCAGGAAGGCTGCTCCCACACGCTGCCACGGGAGCAGAACCCGCAAGCCCAGGGTGCATCTATCTCGCTGTGCCCCGGAGGTGTCCTGGGCCCGCAGTAAGTTAGGTGAGTGCCATGGAGGTGGCCTTGCCCACACCCCTGCCAACAAGGGGTACCATGCCAGCAGGTCAGGGCACACAGCACTGCCACAGTGGGTGTGGACACCCTCCTGCAGCCCTGCCCCTGCCCCCAGCAATGGAGTCCAACGGCATCACCACCGTGCAATGGCCATAAGGCCCCTGGCAAGCCACAGCTGGGTCTCAGCCAGTGTCTGGAAACAAGGACAGCGAATTTTTCACCAAACTATTCAATTTAGTATGTTATCTTAGGAGCTTATCCTTTGTACTTCTGCATTATCAAAATGTCCTTTTAAACAAAGATAAATAAAATGATGGCAACAGTTGGTGGTAGTGTTTTATTTTAAATGTTCTTACTCGAAAAATTTTTAAGAATTACCGCCCTATGTTCATTCACCCAATGTTTGTTTTGCTTTTGATTTCACCATAAAGGTAGGTTCTGTAGTCAAGGAAAGAAGCGGTGGTGGGAAGGAACAGGGCTCTCCCCCAGGCAGGGGCACACTGAGCCCAGGCTGAAATACTATACCCAGAAAAAGCATCTCCTAAAACTCAAGTACAATAAAGGCATTTTCACACAAATAAGTGCTGAAGGAATTAATGATTACCAAACTGCATTACAAGAGAAAATGAAGTTCATCAGAGAAACGGAGAATTATACAAAATATTATAGAAGTAGTGGGAAAAACACAAAAAGGGCAAAAATGTGGGTAATTCGAAGTGCATATGAGCTGGACAAAGAAATGATGTCTTGTGACGCGTCACACGTCAATATATATAATATGGAACATGAGGAATGAAACGCATATCCACATCAGTAGAAAAGAAGGGGGTGTATGGATTTAAAGGGCCTAGTACTAACATTAGTGGAAATGTAGCAAAAATAATCACTTATATCACGCTGTAATAACTCAAGAATATAACCTCAGGGGAAGAAATAGAACAGCAGAAGGAAGTAAAAACAAGGAGAAATATATCTCTTAAGAATGAGCACACACAGATGAGTTAAACAGTAATAAAACTAAGAGTATAAGCCCCAATACATAAGCAGTTGCATTACATGTAAATGGACTAAATCTTTCTATAAGACTGTCAATCTATACTTAAAATACAGGAAAAAATTTATATATATATATATACACACACAACTCACAAAACACGGATGTCAAAGACATAAAAAAAGGGGCCAGCACTACGGCGCAGTAGGTTTAATCCTCCACCTGCAGCACCAACATCCCATATACCAGTTCTAGTCCCGGCTGCTCCTCTTCCAATCTGGCTCTCTGCTATGGCCTGGGAAAGCAGTGGGAGATGACCCAAGTGGTTGGGCCCCTGCATCCCTGTGGGAGACCCAGAAGAAGCTCCTGGCCCCTTGCTTCAGGTCAGCCCAGCTCCAGCCCTTATGGCCATTTGGGGAGCAAACCAGGGGATGGAAGATCTTTCTGTCTCTCCCTCTCACTGTCTGTAACTCTACCTTTCAAATAAATAAAATCTTAAAACACACACACACACACACACACACACAAGGGGGGCTGGCACTGTGGCATAGTGGGTAAAGCCTCTGAGGAGCTGGTATCCTATATGGACGCTGGTTCAAGTCCCAGCTGCTCTACTTCCAATACAGCTCCCTGCTAATGTGCCCAGAAAAAGCAGAAGATGACCCAAGTCCTTGGGCCCTGCACTCATGTGGGAGACCCAGAAGAAGCTCCCAGCCCCTGGCTTCAGACTGGTGCAACTCCAGCCATTGCAGCCATTTGGAGAATGAATTAGTGGATAGAAGATACTCTCTCTCTCTCTAAATCTGCCTTTTAAATAAATAAACAAATCTTAAAAAATACATAAAATAGTTAAAAGTAGAGCAAAAGAAAAAGATACCACGCACACATTAACCAAAACAAAGCTAAATTACAGATAAATTATCAGACAAGGCAGACTCTGAAGAGATAAAAAAGGGGCATAACCAATATTTTAATAAGAAATAGAAATGCTGGGGCCAGTGCTGTGGCACAATGTATTCACCTGCTGTCTGCAATGCCTGCATCTCCTGTGGGCACTGGTTTGTGTCCTGGATGTTTTCTTTCAATCTAGCACCCTGCTAATGTGCCTGGGAAAGCAGCAGCAGACGGCCTAAGTGCTTGGGCCCCTGCCACCCATGTGGGGGACACAGAGGAAGCTCCTGGTTTCTGGCTTCAGGCTGGCCCAGCACTGGCCATTGCAACCATTTGGGGAGTGAACCAGTGGGTAGAAGACCTCTCTGTGTCTCCCTCTCTCTAACTCTTTCAAATAAATAAATAAATGTTCAAAAAAAAAGAAAAGAAATATTAGCTAATAGCTGCTGTGCAAAGCAGGGTACATGCCGCATATTCTGGGGGCTAAGGACCACTAGAGCCCACCAGGGTGTGATTTTCTTTTTTTTTTTTTTTTTTTAGATTTATTTATTTGAGAGAGAGAGAGAGAAATCTTCCATCTGCTGGTTCACTCCCTATATGGCCACAATGGCTAGAGCAGGTTGGTCCAAAGCCAGAAGCCAGGAACTTCTTCTGGGTCTCCTTCATGGGTGCAGGGTTCCAAGTAATTGGGCCATCCTCCACTGCTTTCCCAGGTGCATTAGCAGGGAGCTGGATTGGAAGTCGGAATAGCCGAGACTGGAACCAGCGCCCATGTGGGATGCTGGCACCGCAGGTGGAGGCTTACCCTACTACGCCTCAGCACTGGCCCCTGGGGCAGTGTCTTTCAAACTCATTCTGGTATTGCAGCCCAGGAGGTTACGACATTCCATAAGGAACTGCTCGAAATGCTAACTCATGAAAAGGAAATAAAGCATTACTTTTGTGCTACAACTGAGATGACCCTTTATACGAAACTGTCCAACAGCTAAGAAGCAGCAGATGCCAAGTTCTAAGGTAACAATTATACTTGTGTGAGAAGAACTTACAGTTGAGAAAGTTCTATCCAATTAGCCTAGTCTGCTCTGTGTGCTGGGAAGACAGCCACCCTGCATGCAGTGTTGGAATCTGCGCACTAGTCTGGCTCCCACACTACAAGGCTGCTGGGGAACACTGTGTATGAGCATCTGCCCACAGCCAGTCTGGAGTTTCCAAAAGAGAAGAGGTGAGGCAGCAGATGAGAAGAGAATAAGGGCTGGGCAGGATAGGAGAGCAGAGATTTACCAATCAGCCAAGCTACACAAAAGGCTGACTCGTGACACCATGAACCATGGAGATTTCATGCCTTGGAGGTGACCTCTTGCCCGCGATCAGTATATGCATCAAACTGCCGCAACTGTTGCTCTTGGTGGTTATAATACCTGGAGATGCTACTGTGGGCAGCTGGCCTTTAAAGAAATACACCTGCAGTCAGTCCCTCTTAGGGATGCTGCCACAAAGGTGACGGAAATTTCAACAGGAACATCTTGGTCAGTAAATGAACAGAAGAGGGTCTGGCACTGTGGCCTACTGGGTTAAGCCACCACCTGCAGCACCAGCATCCCATACTGGCACCGGGTTGAGTTCCGGCTGCTCCACTTCCAATCCAGCTCCCTGCTATGCTCCTGGGAAAGCAGTAGAAGATGGCCCAAGGCTTTGGGCCCCTGCCACCCATGTGGGAGACCTGATGAATCTCCTGGCTCCTGGCTTCGGACTAGCCCAGCTCCGGCTGTTGTAGCCATTTGGGGAGTGAACCAGCAGAAGAAAGATTTCTGTCTCTCTCTCTCTCATTAACTCTTTCAAATAAATAAATAAATCTTTAAATTAAAAAAAGCAGTAGATACAACACAAAGTCATAAAAGCAATTATAGATGCTATAAACCTTCCCTATAAAATTATACTATAACTTATATAAAACGAGAGCCAGTGTAATAGACAAAATGGTTCCGCAAAGAAAATCATAAATAAAGCTCATGACACCACCACATACTGAAACAACTTTAAACCACATCAGCTCAGGGCCACAGCATCCCATTGGTTGGTTTTCATTCCCCTGCCAGCCTGTGGGATCCAGCAAATGCACTCTCCAAATATCTGGTCCCAGGGGCAAAAAGAAAAAAAAAAACACCATGTAGGAGTCCCAGTGAGGAACCTGTACCCTCTACCTGGCCTCCTTCCTGGGCAGCTTCCAAAGAGGCTGACTGGTGGACAGGCTGAGGTAAGGAGCTGATGCCACAGCTGACAGTAAGGCAGCCATTGCGTGCCAACCCTCGGGGTCAGCCAAGGCCAAGCAGGAATCCAGGAACTGAATCATCAGCCGTGGAAGATGTCCAGTCCCCCCTCAGAAAATGCCAAGAGTTGGCCAGTGCCCGCTCTGGGATCTCACTGCATCCCCACTCACTTCTATTGCCCCATAGGCCCCAGCTCCTCTTGGCCGGGACTGGCGCGGCAGAGCAGGCGAGACGGCACAGGGGCATGTAGCCACCTTACCTCCAAAGTTGGCCAGCCGCCCGAGTCGTGTAACCGGCACCTTCCGCTCCCGAGCCCGCTCACTGAGCTGGAGAAGAGAGAAGGACCTTGTAGAACCAGCAAGTGGAGCAGGACCTGCCTTCAGACGCCCATGCTGTGCCCACATCCTCTCCCGGCTCCAAAGGATTTGCTCCTGGCAGCAAATTCCACCACGAATTCTCCTGTTCCTGAGCACCCCAGTCCCCAGCACCCTGGGCAAGTCCCCAGTAGGGGTCGATGCCTGCGCTACTGCCAAGTGGGCACTGCCCTGCCCTGCCGCGGGGCCCTCCCAGACGCACCATCTGCTTGTGTGGCTTGTTCTCGGGGCGAGCCTTGGCCTGCCGGGCCTTCTCAATGTCCTCAGCTGTGAGGCCCCCCACAGGGGACTGGTCCTGGTGGAAGAACCTTCGATGAATGCCCGTGGCAGAGAAGGAGTCTCTAGGGTCTGTGAAGAGCCTCCCGTTGACCCTGCCCTGGCCCGGGAGCCCAGCATCCTTGAAGGGTCCACTGCCAACGTAAGCAGGAGCCGGGCCCTCACTGTGGGCAGGATTCAGGGACGGAGCTAGCGGGTCGAGGGTGGAGGCTTCGGAGAAGTTCCCGGAGGCCCCTGCTGCCTGTGCCCCTGAGAAGTGCAGCTCTGCTTCCAGGTCATCGAAGCTCTCGGCACTGGTGGAAGATTCGTCATGTGCAGTCTGGCCCTGCAGGGGAGGGAGCCAAGGTCAGTGAGAGAAGAGCAGGAGTGGCTGGGCTTCCCTCCCTGTCATACCACCACCGTCCCAGCTTCACCGACCCTCCAGAGGTGGCACAACGTCTTGCCCGGCAGCCTTCTCAGCCGGCAGCCTGGACCTGGCTGTGTGGTTCAGGGCAGGCAGCCCCACGTGGCCACCAAGTGCCCTGCCAGGGCCAGGCCAGGTGCACACCACTCTCTGACCCAACAAGCTCTTTCCCTGTCAGAGCTTTGGGGAGGAAAAACCAGGGCCAAGGATGAGGAAAGCCTTGAGGGGCAAAATCACGGCTGAAGGCCGATGCCGGGAGCACAGATGGGGAGCACCTGGCCCACCCCAGGCAGCACCTCCCTGCAGACCCAGATTCTGCCAGGGAGCTCAGGGCGTGTGTGTTAACAGGCTCTCCTTCCGGGGGTGGTCACAGGCCTGGTTAGAACTGGAAACACAGCAACAGTGTGCCAGGGACAAGGGAGCAGAGGATCCTAGTGTCTAGTAGCAGTCACCAAGGCCTGATCTTGGGGCCTCAGTTCCTTCCAGCTTTTCAACCTGGAGTGACCTTGAGCTACTGGTTCATCTGAAAATAGGACTAGGTCTCCCCCAAGTCCTAGAGTTATGCGGGGCCAGGGTCAGGGACACTGCCTGAGGAGGCTATTATTAGGACTGACCGACTCCTGGAGGGAAGCCAGTGGCCTGGATCCCCCATTTAACTGAAATGGAATAACCCCAAAGGGCCACCTGCAGGTCATGCACAAACAGCCAGAGATCCAAAGTCCTCTCGGTCTCAGCTTTCCAAGATATCGGAGGCCCTGAAGAGATCAGACGCACTCTCCTGTGGGAGGACAGAGCCTGGCTGTCACCATCATTTCACCAATGGAGACTGAGGCTGGGAGTTGCCATGACTGGTAAGGCCACGAGTCAGCCAACGGCAGGGCAGGGCTTCAAAGCTGAGGCTTGTCCTCTGGCCACCCCTGGGGCCAACTAACAGCAGATTTGCTGCAGTAGCAACGGGTCGCGTTTGAGCCCACTGGGCACCTCCCAGCAGCCAGTGAGGAGCATGGGACAGGGCCCTGGGCGCCGCAGCACAGGCCCCTCCTCCTGCCCTGTAACTGCCACGGCGGCTGCCCGACACTAAATCACCAGCACTGTGGTGGGGGGGCACATGGGCAGTCGGGGTCGCCCAGCGGGACCCGACACACTGAGTCTACGTGCGCACAGCCCAGGAGCTAGAGGCAGACAGGTCCCCACAGTGGTGGAACCCATGGGGAGGAGGGAGCCTCCAACTACCTCAGTGTTTAGGGCACCGAAGGCAGAAAAACAGTCGAAACAGTCTCTTCACCCAGGCACCTCCTCTGTGATAGTGGATGATCACCATCCTGCCTCCAGGGCACGCTAGGCCTGAGGGAGCAGAGGTCAGCAGGAGGCCCTCATCCTCATGGCCAAGGCTGCCCAGTCCTGGCATGCAGCCTCACTTCTGGACCAGCCACGGTAAATGGGGCAACCTCACTTTCTAGGCAAAACTCCCAACAGGAAGGCAACTGCTGCTCACCACAAACAGCACCAAATGCAGTGGCTGGGTCACAGCCCAGCCTCAGCAGTGATGGCCAGGGCAGGGACAATGACAAGGATTCTGGTCTTGTCTCTTAATAGTCACAGGTCTCATAGCAAACCTGTTGGTGTCAGCTTCATGTGAGAAATAGGAGTGAGCATCTGGGATCTGGGCTGTCCCGGGCCTAGGTCAGCAGTGAGACACCAGTGTGAAGTTCTCTAAAGAGTAAAGAAACCCATGTGTGGTCAAGAAAACACTGATGCCCGGGACAACAGGAGGGGAGTGGCTGAGCATTCCAAAGCTGCCAGTGCCTAGAGGCAACAATGAGACAGGACAGGGACAGCAACATGTCCTTTGTCCAGGAGGCCAGCCAACCACAAAACAGAAGGAGGGAGGAGACAGGGCAGCCCCTGCCATGTAACTGCTAGGCTGCATGGGCCCATGCACCTGCACCCATGCCCTCAGGCCAGGGACGCAGGGTGGCAACCCATGCACAGTGCTCTGCTGCGGCCAGCTGGGCTCAGCGTCACCCCTGCAGCACTTGTGTTCACTTAACACCGTGCCTAGCACATAAGAGTCAACGCTCCTGGACCTTCGCACAAAAGGGAATCCCCTCCCCTAGGCAGTGCAAGAGGCTGGAGGATTGGCTGCCTTCAGCAGGGCCGTAATAGCCATCAGCCTGGAAAGGAGCAGGGCGCCCAAGTCAGGCATCCAGAGACACCTGGCAAAAGCAAAGAGGAACCCAGGGCCAGGCCTTGGCTGGGGCTCAGCAGGCCCATGGGAAGAGGCTCCGAAGACTGAGCCAGGCTGATCGACACAGGAGCCCCTTTATAGGCTGCACACATGTGCCCCCTAATTCAAGTTTTGGAACCTAACCCCCATATGACATTAGGTGGGAGGCAATTAAGTTGTGAGGGTGGAACTCACACACACAGGACTCAGGCCCTCTGACAAGAGGCAAGGACTGGCACTGTGGCATAGCAAACAAAGCTGCCGCCTTCAAGGCTAGCATCCCATGTGCCTGCCAGTTCAAGTCCCGGCTGCTCCACTTCTGACCCAGCTCCCTGCTAACACACCTGGGAAAGCAGCAGAAGATAGCCCAAATGCTTGGGCCCCTATACACGTGTGAGAGAGACCCAGAAAAAGCTCCTGGCTTTGGCATGGTGCATCCCCAGCCATCGAAGCCATTTGGGGAGTGAACCAATGGACGGAAGAGCTTTGTGTCTCTCCTCTTCTCTCTGTAACTGTGCCTTTCAGAAAAATAAAATAAATCCTTAAAAAAAAAAAAAAAAAAAAAAAAAAAAAAAAAACAGAAAGCGCCCCTGTCCTCTCTGCTGAGTCAGGACACTGAGAAGACGGTATGTATGTCAGGAAACGCGTCCTCACCAGGTATCAATCTTCTGGTGCCTTAATCTGGAACTCTCTCCAGCCTCCAGAAGCATGACAAATAAATGTTTGCAGCTTAAGCCCCCTTCCGTCTGCAGCATTCTGTTACAGCAGCCAGGGCCTCGCACAGGGAGCCCGCCCCACCCTGGAAGGAGGGGGACACGCCAGCTGCTGGGCTCTCTCCTCCAGGCAAGGCCAGCTGTCTTTGTCCTGCTTCACACCCCTTGGTCTCGCCAAAAGCCCAAGTTCCAGGCCTCTTCTTGCCAGGGCCCCTTCCACTTCCTGAGAGAGGCCCTCTTACCTGTTCTGTCCCAAAGACCATGCCAATCTGCTCCACAGCCGTGGACTGTAGGGCCCTGGCTGCCAGGATGAGCTCCCCACCAAGGCCCAAGTGCTGCAGGTGGGTCTCCAGGGCCACCCGGGTCAGCTTGATGAGGCCTTTGGCCAGCATGATGGCATCTCCCAACATGGCAGCCATGCTCCAGGGCTGAAAGAGAGGGGACAGGGTCAGTAAGGGCTCCACACTCATACTGACCAGTTCCACGTCAAACTCCAGCTGTCTGCTTCCATCGATTTCTCCTTCTGAACCAGGCTAAGAGAAAAGAAAAGAACTCAGGCTCAAGGGCCCTGGGTGACTCCCAGTGGCCCACAGCAGGATTCAGACTGCTGAGTGGGGACTGGAGGACACTTGCCACTTCCCACATGTCCCCACATCCAGGCCCCAGGACATCCTACAGAGAACCTGAGGTGCAGAGAGGTGAGTGACCGCAGCACACCCAGGCCTCAGGGCGGGCACTCTGACTTCTCTTGGTCCAGTGCTCTTTCCTCTGGACCAAACCATACACTGGGTGGGACCATCCCTCTCCTAAAACTGTTCCCTGCAGGGCCCAGTGGGCTGAAGTCCTGGCAGTCGCAGCTGCCTGTCCTTCCCCAGCCAACTCTGCCCTGCCCAGCGAAGCCCTTGACAGCTGCTCACAGAGTGCAGGACGAGAGTCCCTCCTACCCCCTCAAGGGCAGCCAGAGTGCGTCTGTGCCCTTCACAGGCTGCGTGATGGTTCATTCGGGTGCCCTACCTGGAGCGCCATCTACACTGCCCTGCCATCTGGGTTCTGAGCAGATCCCGTCTTTGCTCGCCCAGCTGCCCCCCGCCTAGGCCGCAGTCCTCCTCACAAGTCTCTCTGGGCCTGCTCTTCCTTCCCCACTACTGCCTGAGCCACGGGCTCCCACTGCAGCCCTGACCTGCAGTGCCTTCAACCTGGGGAACCCAGGGCAGCAGGCAAACGCATGAAAGACAGCAGCAGCCAGCAACCCAGAGCATGTGCCAGGGGGTGCTGAGATGGGGCACCCTCCTGAACCCTCAGCCTCCCCTGCTGTACACGTGCCTCACGCTGGCTCCTTTTCTGTTGACGGGGTCACAGGGCAACACATGCGTCTTAATGTAGGTCAGGGGCACAGAAGTCCAAAACCGCCTGGGTTGTCACTAAGCACTAGTAGGAGTCATGTGCCAAGGGTTAGAATCGGTCCTGTGAACACCTTGGAGGCTGAAGAAAAACACACAAAGGGAAAGGAAGAGTGGGCCCAGAGAGACGTCTAAGACGACTCCAGCCAGGGCGGGGTGCAGCTAGGTGAGCAGAGTAGACGGGATCTGCTCTGAGCCCCAGAAACACTGCTCAGAACCCGGAGAGCAGGGCAGTGTAGACAGCGCTCCAGGCAGGGCACCCGAACGAGCCCACACGCACCCTGCGAAGGGCACATACTCTGGATGCTGGCGTGGCCGGCAGGAGGGAGTCGCTCCAGGAGCTGATCTTACACGAGTTAACAGAAACACAGATGGGGAAGGCCGAGTAAGAGCACTGACAAAGGGCCCTCAACCAGAACAGGGGCGGCCCCACCACTCCAGCTCCCTGCAGGGGCTGGCTCTGCTCCTGGGCAGGGATAAAGCTACTTTTATTGAAAGGGGAACTGCAGTGATAGAGAAAGCCATCGATGCACGGGGCCTGCAACGTTGAGACCACCTGCGAGTGACAGCAGCCACTGTGCACTGGGCTGAGCCATGTTCTACACAACATCTCCTTTTCATCTCTGTAAACGACCTGATGATGTGGTTATTACTGACCCACGTTACAAATGGGAAAACCCAAACCAGGGAGGGGGCCTAACTGGCTGGGGGCATGCAGCTCCGGAACAGAGGCCCTGGCTCCGAGTCCAGGCCTCACCATGCTGCCTCTCCAAACTCTTGGCCTGGTGACTCTGAGGCCCCGCAGCAACAATAGGGCTCTGCTCAGGCACAGATGAGTGCCTACCCCGAAATCAAAGCCACAGAGATTTGCAGAAGGTGACCATACCCTTGAAAGCACCAGGAGACAGGGACAGGCTCAGCCCAGCCCATCCTCTGCCTGATGCCATTTTTTTTTTTTTTTTTTTTGACAGGCAGAGTGGACAGTGAGAGAGACAGAGAGAAAGGTCTTCCTTTGCCGTTGGTTCACCCTCCAATGGCCGCCGCGGCCGGTGCACCGCGCTGATCCGAAGGCAGGAGCCGGGTGCTTATCCTGGTCTCCCATGGGGTGCAGGGCTCAAGCACTTGGGCCATCCTCCACTGCACTCCTGGGCCACAGCAGAGGGCTGGCCTGGAAGAGGGGCAACCGGGACAGAATCCGGTGCCCCGACTGGGACTAGAACCCCGGGGTGCCGGCGCCACTAGGCGGAGGATTAGCCTATTGAGCCTGGTGCCATTTCACACCCTAAGCTCCACTCCACACTCCTGCAATTTATGGCAATAACAAGGGCAGGCCCCACAGATCAAATATCTAGGACTAAGAAGAGAGCACGTAGCAGAGCTCAAATGTGACCAGTGCCAGCTCTCAACAAGGCCAGGCCTTGAACCCACCCCAGCATGCTTCACTCGTTACACTCAAGTCTGGGGAGAAGACCCACCGAGGTCCTTGACCCTAGGGAGGCAGGGGCTTGAGAGGAAAGCAGAGGCCTTGGAAACAGCTGTTTAGAAAGACCTTTGCCAGTGGCTCCAAGACTATCCACCATTGTTCACTCACTGCCCCCAGAGTCCCCAGAAATAGGCCCTGCCCAGAGACCAGGGTCTCCCATATGCCACAAGCCCCAGTATCTCCAAAATCTCACCTCATCCACTACTTGATGTCAAATCTTCCTCAGGATGTCTTCCCAAAACCTATTTTATTCAGGCTTAAAACCAATTTGACCTGAATTTTTCATCCAATTATCATAAATACATACTAAAATTTCACCAGAGCAAGCCTGCTACATGTTTTTTTTTTTTTTTTTTTTTCTTCATTCATTTCTTTGTCAATTGAAGTTGCCTGGCCCATTTGTACCAATGGGTGTTCAATTTTAAAAACCTGGGGCAGGGACTATGGCACAGGTTAATCCTCTGCCTGCAGCACCAGCATTCCATATGGGCGCCGGTTCATGTCCTGGCTGCTCCTCTTTCGATGCAGCTCTCTGATGTGGCCTGGGAAAGCAGTAGAAGGTGGCCTAGATGCTTGTGCCCCTGTACCCGCATCAGAAACCAGGAAGAGTCCTCCTGGCTCCTGACTTCAGATTGGCCCAGCTCCAGCCATTGCAGCCATTTGGGGAGTGAACCAGTGGATGGAAGACCTTTCTGTCTTTCCCTCTCTTTGTAACTCTACCTCTCAAATAAATAAAATCTTTTTTAAAAAAAATCTTAAAAACCCATTTCAGGGGCAGGTGTTTGGAACAGCCATTAAGATGCCCACATCCATACTGAATGCTGGGGTTAAGTCCTGACTCCACTCCTGATTCCAGCTTCCTGGTACAGACTCTCACAGGCAACAGGTGATGACTGAAGTATCTGGGCTTCTGCCATGCATGTGGGAGACCCAGACTGTGCTCCATGCTCCTGTCTTCAGCCTGGCCCCCTCTTGGCTATCACGGGCATTTGGGGGGGGGGAGGCAGTGGATGGGAGCTCTGTCTCTCTTTCCCTCTTCCTTGCAAACAAAATAAATACTTTTTAAAGATTTGTATAAATTCCATTTTTGGCCCTGCCCACTGCAGTGGTAACAGCATTGGGTCCCTCTGGGTTCAGTCCTAATTCTTCTGGTTTCTAACTACATGGACACTGGATACAGCCTGCAGCAGGCTGAAATCATAATTACTTTACACTAATCTTTTGAAAGAAAAAAAAACTGCTTATGAAAGGGAAAAATGTTAACAAAATAGGTTTTTTATTTTAAAAGCCATTTAAATTCCTTTGGCAACTGTAAATAACAACGACAATGGTCACTTCCAGTGATTCCCTAACTATATCTTCCTAGCTTTGTTGGTGTACAAATCCATTAAAATAAGGGGGAAAAGTCATTTAGAAAAAAGCAGCACAGAATAAGAAGTAGGCCTCTCTAAGTGCCTGCACCTTGCATGTCCGATGAACTCTCCTCACTGGTGCAAATCTCTCCTTGGATGGCGGGTATGGCCCAGGGAACAGACAGAGCCAGCTCCTCAAAGAAAGGCCGAGGAAACTCCTGGCTCCAGATCAGCCCAGCTCCAGCTGTTGCGGCCAACTGGGGAGTGAACCAGTGGATGGAAGACCTCTCTCTTTCTCTCTCTCTCTCTGCCTCTCCTTCTTTCTCTGATTAACTCTTTCAAATAAATAAATAAATCTTTAAAAAAAAAAAAAAGCACCCAGTGACCACAAACTACCACAGCAGTAGCAGTGGAAAATGGGCACTCACACTCAGAAGCACCCACTAGCTAAGTACTGCCCCCAGATAAAGCTATCCAGCGCTCCGCTCACTGCCATCTCCTCCCGGGATGAACATGCCTGGCTGGGGTACTCGCAGCCATGGTGTCATGTAGGCACCATCACCAGGGACATGGCCAGAGAGGCCCACTGACGCTGACAACTGAAAGCCAGAGGTACAGCAGAGCAGGGGCCTTGGACACAGGTCCCCAGCTCTACCACAACCAGCTGTTGACACTGAGAGCGAGACTCTGATCCTAATGTGCTACACAGTTATCAAAGAAATAAAGGCATTGCCTAGAGAGAGAAAGAACTAGAATAAATACAGCTTCCCACCCCAGGGACACAGCTGAGAAAGGAGCATGAGGCAGAGACTGCAAGCTGCGGGGACATCTTCCTGATGCACCTGCCCTTTGCCCAACCACAGGGCTTTCAAAGCGGCCACCTCATACATCCTTCTGACCCACACATTAGTGGGAAGTTACCTGAGGCATACAGGCCTTCAAATCTAGTCTCAAGAACTAAAATACAGTCACCAGTGTTCCCTTCCTGGCTGGGTACAGTAAGGTGTGTCCACAGGAAAATGAGTTGTGCTTTTTGGGGCCGGTGCCACGGTGTAACAGGTAAAGCCACTGCCTGCGGTGCCTGCATACTATATGGACACCAGTCTGAGATCAGGCTGTTCCACTTTTGATCCAACTCTCTGCTGTGGCCTGGAAAAGCAGAGGAAGATGGCCCAAGTGCTTCAGCCCCTGCACCCACATGGGAGACCCCGAGAAAGCTCCTGGCTTCAGACTGGCTCAACTCCAGCCATTGTGGCCTTTTGGGGGGAGAACAGGCAAAAGGAAGCTCTCTCTCTCTCACTCTTTAACTCTGCCTTTCAAATAAATAATTTTTAAAAAATGAGTTGTGCTTTTTAAAAATAAGGCAGGCAACCCTGACAGGCATTAAGCAGATGAAAACATAGCACATGGGACCGCCATGGTGGAGGGAGTTCGGTTCTGAGGCCCCCATCCCCTCTCCAGCTCCCCCCACCCCACAGCCAGCACTTCCCAGGAGGCACCATCTGCCGCCATGACAGGCAGCCACAGTAGCAGAGCTTCACTCAGCACTTCTCCAGCTCCCTTTGCAAGTGTGAAGTGTGGCAGCCCCGCCCAGCTCCAACCCAGACTCTGCAGGGCACTGGCATCTCTAGGACCCAGGGGCCCCTCCTCTGATCTCTCCCCTGTCACAGCTGCTACCGAGGCCTTGGCTCTAAGGACTCTAAGGGTAAGCTGCTGCCTGCGATGCTGGCATCCCACATGGGCCCCGGTTCATGTCCCAGCTGCTCCACCTCTGACTCAGCTCCCTGATAAATGGTCTGGGAAAAGCTGTGGAGGGTGGCCCAAGTGGGACACGTGGAAGAAGCTCCTGGCTTCAGCTTGGCCCAGCTCTGACCACTGCGGCCATCTAGGGAGTGAATCAGCAGATGGAAGTGCTCCCGCCCACGTGCATACTCGCTCACTCGCTCCCTCCCTTTCTCCCTCCCTCTCTGTAATTCTTTCAAATAAATAAATCTTAAAAAAAAAAAAAAAAAGTCTACAGCAAGCAGCCTAGAAGACCCTTTGCCTGGGATGGGGCAGAGGTGAACCAGGATGGAGATTCCCTGACCCACAGGCACCTCAGGCTCAGCATGTCCTGAACCAGCCTCACCACCACTACCCCATCCTCCCAAGGAAAGCTGCCACCTCCCACCCTCACCAACCTCCTTCACTTGCCTTAGTCCACCTGGGAGATGCAACAGCCCCTTACCGTCGTTCTGCCCAGGCTGAGCTCCCTCTGATGCGTCCCCCAAGCCAATGCCAGAGCCAGCACCTTAAGAGGAAAATCCCAGTAAATCACTCCCAGGCTTCAGGGCTGCTGAGATTCAAAGGGCCCCAAAGAACCTTCATGATCCAGCCTCCCTGCATCCCTGGCCTTATGCCTACCATGTTCTCCCTACTGCCTGTGTCCCCACAGGCCCATACACTTGTAGCAGCCTCTTACCCTCCTCCAGCCTCTTCTAAGAAGCCTGCCCCTGCATGCGTGTGCTCCACCAATCACAGCAGGGCCCCTGCTCTGGAGAACTGTGTTTCTCCCCGACTGGGGTGTCAGCAGAGGACAAGGACCACATCTCTCCTCCACTCCCGTCTCTCCAGTGCGGAGCATGCAGCTTTTGCAACAGGGAATGGTGGATACTACTCATCAAACGGAATGAACACAGCTGTGCCCACCAAGGTCAATAAGGCCTGCCTCTGTGGAGTCTGGCTCTCACCCGCTTGCTATTTCCCATGCACAAACAGATCAGAGGCCTCTGAGGGCCAGGTCTGAGGAGTGGTGCTCCCAGTCACCTGCATGACTTCTCAATCACAGGTTGCTGACTCTGTAGGGACAGTAAAAAGGCCTGGGAATCTCCCTTTCTAGCAAGTTCCCAGTTGCTATGGATACTGCAGGTGGATCTTACTTTGAGAACTTCAGTGCTAGAAGAAGATAGAGGCTGGCGCTGCGGCTCACTAGGCTAATCCTCCACCTTGTGGCGCCGGCACACCGGGTTCTGGTCCCGTTCAGGGCGCCGGATTCTGTCCCGGTTGCCCCTCTTCCAGGCCAGCTCTCTGCTGTGGCCCAGGAGTGCAGTGGAGGATGGCCCAAGTCCTTGGGCTCTGCATCCCATGGGAGACCAGGATAAGTACCTGGCTCCTGCCATCGGATCAGCGCGGTGCACTGGCCACAGCGCGTCAGCCGTGGTGGCCATTGGAGGGTGAACCAACGGCAAAGGAAGCCCTTTCTCTCTGTCTCTCTCTCTCACTGTCCACTCTGCCTGTCAAAAAATAAAAAAATTAAAATAAAAAAGAAGATATAGAGGGAGCAGAATCTTGCTCAGGACAGGCACAAAGTTGCAACAGAGACCCCTTCCTAAAAGGCTTGCTTTGCACCCACCTGCCCCTTCTCTTTCCATTAATCCTTCAAGAAGCTGAAGAACGAAAGCCCAAGTGAAGTAGCTTAAAGACAACAACCCACTGAGCCCCCACCAAGGGCTCCCACGACTATGTCAGGCACATTTCAGCCAAGACTGCTCAGGGATCTCTGAGAAGCCCCGGTGGGGCTCAGGAAGGGCCTTCTGCTCCTACCCCGCAAAGAACCAAGAACCGTCCGTTGACTTGGAGCAAGAGCATCTCAACTTCCAACCCCCGTGACGCTGGAAAGTTCCTTTACATCCTTGAACTTTTCCCAGTATCAAGTGGACTGTTTCCTTCAAGGACGTCAAGAATGTAAGTTTTGGGGAAAAGACAAACTTCTCAATCAAAATCCATGAATTTCCGTGGATCTGTCCTTTGCCATTGCCTTTAAAATCGCACACCAGGGGGCTGGTGTTGTGGCCTAACAGGTTAGGCTGCCGCCTGCAACACCAGATGAAGCTCCTGGTTCCTGGCTTCGGTCTGGCCCAGCCCCAGCTGTTGCAGCCATTTGGGGGAGTTAACCAGCAGATGGAAGATCTCTCTCTCTCTTCCACCTCCTTCTAACTCTTTCAAGTAAAATAAATCTTAAAAAAAAAAAAAAAAAAATCACACACCAAAAAGCACTATTCAAATGCATCAGGCAACTCCAGGTTTCTATCCACCCTCAGGGGCTCTGTGAGCAGGGTCTGAAATGGCCTTACAGCCAACCAATTTCCAAAGGCAACTGAATACAAGAAAAAGAACCCAGGGCAAGAGAAAAAAAGGAAAACTTGCCCCTGTGCTTCCGCCCCACCCAGGACTGGTGAGTCAAACTTTCCCAAGGGGAGACAGACCAGGCTGAAGCCAGGCCCCATGGGCATCCCCCCTCTCCTCTCTCAGGCCATCCTGCCAAAGCCTGTTAAACCCCAGTTCCTTACACCTGGCTGCGTGTAACAACCCAGCTGCAGGAATAGAGGTAACAACACTAAACTGGCTGGGTGAGCAGTGGCACAGCCACAGCATGGAATGCTATGGACCATTAAAGTGACACTACCAGAGGTGTCTGTTCACAGAAAGTGTCTCATCTATTTCCCTGTGAAGGAAATACACAAAACAGTAGGATCCTTTCATAGGTGGGAAGGAAGCAAGAAGGGAATGGGGGTTCACAGGAAAAATGAGTGCAAAGCGTCAGGACCCTCTCCCGGCAGCTGGGTGACAGGTGCTCTGCACACTTTTCCTGCCCTTGATGTTAGACAGTGACAGAGAGAGACAGAGAGAAAAGTTTTCCGTTTTTCCATTGGTTTACCCCTCCCCCAAAATGGCCGCTATGGCCAGCATGCTGCACTGATCCGAAGCCAGGAGCCAGGTGCTTCTTTCTGGTCTCCCATGCAGGTGCAGGGCCCAAGGACCTGGGCCATCCTCCACTGCACTCCCGGGCCACAGCAGAGAGCTGGACTGGAAGAGGAGCAACCGGGACAGAATCTGTTGCCCCAACCGGGACTAGAACCAGGGATGCTGGTGCCGTAGGCGGAGGATTAGCCTAGTGAGCCGTGGCGCCGGCCCCTTGATGTTTTCTAAAACTCCCTACAAAATAAATTATACAGAAATCATCTGCTACCTCCTGTTAATTTTTTAAAATAAGCACACACATGTGTAACTATTTTTCTTTGTTTTTGAAAAGCAGCGAGACACACAGAGTTCCCATCACCTGGTTCATTCTCCAAATGCCCATAATAGCTATGACTCGGGGGAGGAAACTCTATCCAAGTCCCCCGACAAAGGCAGCAGGAAACCAACCACTTGGGCCATCACCTGCTGCCTCCTAGAGCCTGCATTAGCAGGAAGCTGGAATCGGAAGCCAGAGCCAGGACTCAAACGCAGATACTACCATGTGGGATGTGAAGGCTTTAACCAGTAGGCCAAAGGCCTGCCCCAGCACATATAATTTTCTTTACTTATCTTTAAGGATTCATTTGCTTATTTGAAAGTCAGAGTTGAGAGAGAGAAAAAGAAAGAGAAAGAGAGAGAGAGAGAGAGAGAATCTTCGATATGCAGATACGTAATTTGTAAAACACTGCTCCATACCCCTTCAGTGCTTGTCCAGGCTGGAAGAGGCAGAGGGTAAGGCAGCAGATCAGAATGCTATAAATAATGCCTCCCCACGCCCTTAGTAATTAGCACTGTCCTTCATCAGAAGACAACTGCCCTCACGGGCTGCCAGGCACACAGAACATGGTCATCTTATTTTGGGGAAAGAGGCTCAACTGCTCTTCTTAGAAGAGGGGTGAGAAAATCACTTGGCACAAGCAGGCAGCAGGTCTGCCTGCCTTCCCTAATATCAGCCCCTACATTAAAAGACAAATAATCACACTCAGAAAACCACAGGGTCCTACTTTACAGCTATGTAGCTAAGTGCACTGACTACATTTTCTGAACCAAAAGTAAAGGCATGTAACATGAAAATGTCATTCTAGGGCAGGGCTCAGCAAAGCATTATCCTGGGGCCAAATCTGGCCCTGCTGCCTATTTTTGTAAATAAAATTTTATTGAAACATGGCCATGTTTGTTCATTTGTATACTGTCTACAACTCCATCACTTACTTATGTACTTATGGCTGCTTTTGTTTTTTTCTTTTTGGCTTCAACAACAAAGTGGTTGAAAGAGAGACATATGGCCCACAAAATGCTGAAACGATTACTACCTGGGCTTTTACAGAACATGTTTATTTTATTCTAGGGCAACAGAGCAAAACAAAACAGTTACTCCAGGAAACCTGGAAAAGTCAGCAGAGCTGCATCAGAGCAGCCCAATAAGGTTGGCTTTGGGGTGAGGAACCCCCACTACAGCTCCATTCCTGACCTGGAGAGAGAGACTCACCCCATCACACAGGGCTACCGAGCTGGAGACAGACAGACAAAGGGAGGGCTGGGGAGATGAACACCTTTTACTGGATTATCCAGGATGAGAGGAAGCGCTCAGGCCTGGGGTAGTGGCAGGGGCGGGGGGAAGGTCAGATGCCACCTTGCTACACATCCCTCTTTCTCCTGCTACTCAGGAAGCTCACAGCCTTCACTGCTACCACAACATCCCCTTGCTCTGCCGTCAGTCCATGGCTTGGGCTGCAGCTGATATAAACCCATCTACCATCTAATCATCCCTTCAATTCTGTACTTTCTTAGCGTCCTTAACAAGAGTCCCTTTGCAGGCAAGCATTGGGTACAGGCAAGTACGTGGGCAATGAGTGTCACAGGGCTGCACACTGTTGATTCTACTCTAAGCCCTGATGGGATGGTAGTGGCCTCCTGAGGAGCCCGTAGGCTGGTCTGTCTGCCCTCGCTGTATCTACAACCCTTTCAACAGCCCAGTGGAGTCATGCATTGTAAGGGAAGGAGATTCTCAGTTTTCTCCTAGGCTAAGGACTCCATGGTCTCTTGAAAACTGCTTCAGACCATTGGGATTTTTCTTGGAACTGTTTAAAAAGTATCCATTCTGGTGCTAGCACTGTGCCTTAGTGGGTAAGCTGCTGCCTGCAGCCCCAGCATTCCACATGGGTGCCAGTTCAAGTCCCGACTGCTCCACTTCCAATCCAGCTCCCTACTAATGTGCCTGGGAAAGAAGCAGAGGAAGTTCTTGGGCCCTGCACCACATAGGAGACCTGGAAGAAGCTCCTGGCTCCTGGCTCCTGGCTCCAGACCAGCTCAGCTCTGGCCATTGCAAACTTTTGAGAATGAACCAGCAGATGGGAGATCTCTCTGTCTCTCCCTCTTTAACTCTGCCTTTCAAATAATAAATACATCCATTAAAAAAGGACTCATTATTTAAATTATTTGAAAGGCAGCAATAGAGAAGGAGGAAGAGATAGATAGATAGATAGATAGATAGACAGATAGACAGATAGA